ATATATATTATATATATAATTATTATATATTAGTAATTAATAATTCCTGCTAAAAATCCGTGATTTTTTAAAATATACTAAATCTTTCTTAAAATTGCTACCAAAATCTATTTTCCCAAAATAATTTTCCAAAATTGTTCCTTCCAATAATTATTCCCATAAAATTCCCATAAAACAAAATCGAAAATTATTCCATATATAATATAATTGTGTCCCATAATTGTTCCAAAAAAGTTGTTTACAAAGCTACTCCCCAAAGTTGTTTCCGAAAGATTATTTTCCAAAGTTGGTTCCCGAAGCTGCCCCAAAGCAAAGATGCCGAGAGCTATGTTCTAAAGTAAGTTCCCAAAGTTGTGGTTCTTTAAAGTTGTTGTTCAAAGCTACCGTACAAAGTTGTTTCTCAAACCTGCCCCTGCTCCCCGAAGCTGCTCCCAAGAATTATTGTCCAAAGTTGTTGCCCCAAAGCTGCAGTTCTTCAACTCTATCCCCCAAGACAGCTCCCCAAAACTATTCTGCAAAGCGGCCCCCCAAAAATGCTATTCAAAGCTGCTCCCCGAAATGGTCTGTAAAGCGGTACCCCAAAGCTGCTCCCAAAGCTGCGGTTTTTCAAAGCTTCTGTTCAAAGCTGTCGCACAAAGCTGCTCCTGCTCCCCAAAGCTGTTCCCTAAAGCCGCTCCCCAAAGTTGTTATCGAAAGCTGCTCCGAACAGCTGCTCCCCAAAGTTGCTAAAGTTCCCCACTAAAGTTGTTGCCGAAAGCTGCTTCCCAAAGTTGCTTTCTAAAGCTATACTCCCCAAAGCTGTCGTTCTTCAAAGTAACTGTTCGTCAATGCCGCTGCAAAGCCGCAAAGTTGCTTCATACAGTTGTTCCCCAAAGCTGCTCTCCAAAGTTGCTACCCAAAGCCGCGTCCCAAAGAAGCTGCCCAAAACAGCGCGCACAAGCTAAGGAAGCAAGCACAGTGTGTGCGGTAGCAGGCGGGTGCAGCAAGCAGGACGTCTCGCAGAGGTGCGAGAAAGAGCACAGAGACAATAATAGCGCAGAAGCTGGGCAAGCGGGGGCAATAGCTCGCAGGGGGTCGGGACGGACCTAGCGGGAATCGAGCCCCCGACCGTCCGTGACCGACCGTGCTGCATTTGCCTAGTGGTACATTGACTGGGGAGGAGGAAAAAAAAACAAAAAACGATAACTTTTTTGGGAAACGCAAAACGAAATTTCCCACAAAAGTAGTGAATTTTCGACCTCCGTGGCAGGTTTTTTGGGAAAATTTGGCTCGGGAAACTGCGTGCGCGCTCGGTGTACAGCCAATTCGATTTGCAGTAAAAAACACACAATTCAAATATTTATTTGAATTTTAAAAGTCAAACTACTACTATTATTTATATAGTATATATAATTACCCATCTATATATATATGTATATACTGTAATTATATTTAAATTATGTAGTATTAAACCTATTCATGTTATAGTAATATTCGACAAATATATTTATTGGCAAAGATATATAGTATCTATTTATTTTGAAACTTGGTATTTGGTTCTGCTCGTAGCCATGCGAGAGAAGTTGCCGCTGTGAGACAACCGTCATGCGCTGAGCTCGGATATTTGGGATCTAAAAGGAATAATTATGATATAATATAGATATAAACAGCTATAATTATTATAATTGGATGAGGATAATGCCACATTCGGATCATCTGTTTGGCCACCTGCCAGGCGAGGGTCTCTAAATTTTATTGGAGCTGCACGCAGCCCTCCTCAACCACGAGCTCCAGGTCTCAGTGGGCGCTGCCAGACCTCAACCGCGAGCTCCAGATCTCAGTGGCACTGCCAGACCGCAACCACGAGCTCCAGATCTCAGTGGCCACTGCCCGACCTCAACCGCAAGCTCCAGATCTGTACCAGACCTCAACCGCGAGTTCCAGAGCTCAGTGGGCATTGCCGGACCTCAACCCCGAGCTCTAGATCTCAATGGGCACTGCCGGACCTCAACCGCGAGCTCCAGATCTCCGTGGCCACTGCCTGATCTCAACCGCAAGCTGCAGATTTCAGTCGCACTGCCGGACCTCAACGGCAAGCGCCAGATGTCAGATAGAATGCCACAAAGAATGCCAGATAGAATGTCAGAATAAATATCAGAAAGAATGCAAAACAGAATGCCTGATGGAATGTCAGAATATATATATATATATGTGTGTGTGTGTCAGAAAGAACGCCAGCTGGAATGTCAGAATATATATATATGCCGGAAAGAATGCCAGGTAGAATGTCAGAATATCTCAGAATATATTTATACATGCCAGAAAGAATGCCAGGCGGAATGTCAGAAAAACTCAGAATATATATATATATATTTATATTTATACATATACAAATATGTATGTATGTACGTATGTATGTATGCATGCATGCATGGATGGATGGATGTATGCATGTATATGTGTATGTGTATATGCAAATGTAAATATATATGTACATGTATAAGAATATGTATATGTTTATGTATATGTATATGTATGTATGTATGTATGTATGTATGTATGTTTGTATGTATGCATGCATGTATGTATGTATGTATGGTATGTATGTATGTATGTATGCATGCATGTAATGTATGTATGTAATGTATGTAATGTATGTAATGTATGCATGCATGCATGTATGTATGTATGTATGTGTGTATTTGTATGTGTATGTGTATGTGTATTTGCATATGCATATGTAAATGTAAATGTATATGTATATGTATATGTATATGTGTATGTATATGTGTATGTATGTATGCATGCATGTATGTATGTATGCATGTATGTATGCATGGATGTATGAATGTATGTATGTATGTATGAATGTATGTATGTATGCCAGAAAGAATGCCAGATAGAATGTCAGAAAATATGTTAGATAGAATGCCAGATATAATGTCAGAAAATATTTTAGATAGAATGCCAGATATAATGTCAGAATATGTGTCAGATAGAATAGAATATCAGTTTGTGGGGATCACTTGACGAAAGTAATTGTAGGATGTTTCAATGCATATCAAAGGTCCCAAACTCGTTGCAACAGGGCACATGCCCGGCAAGGTTAAATAAATGGTTAAATGTAGACAATTGTAGCGGAACAAGATGGAGACTGTAGAGGTAGCTTAGCATTGCTGACTTGAAGACCTCACATTCATGGAGTGCTCCGAAGATCTCCACTGCTCCGCTGAACTTTCAGTGAGACGGAACACTCACAAGTTCAGTGGCATATAGCCCCCTCCCAATTGGTCCTGCATCCATAGGATGACCGAAGTTGCTCAAAGGTAATCTTGGTGACTCAGTTCAATCTTGGCGCTTCGACCTTGTCTCTCCCTGAAATTTCAGAAACTGGTATTCATTCCATTGAACACATCCTGAGTAGTAACGCATTCCGAATGGCAAGTCACACAACCTACAAAATAGACGCAACCGAGAGCGAACATCATGTTGACTTGTCTCTGCTGGGCAATGCAGGTAAACACTCAAAATCAACACTACTGGAAAAGAATTGCCCGTTATCTCCGCGGCATCTTACCAAAGGGAGATCCTAATAATGAATCGGCATTCATGTTTGGGAGTCCTCTCAAGATGCTGATCCGTTTCGATCGACATAAGAGATGTTCTGATGAAATCTAGCTAGCTTGCAAATTTCTTACAAAAAATGACTGTAAGCATGTTCAAAAAGACTTTTGCCAAAGCGGCTTCGGGCCTGGTCATTTTCCGTGATCAATGGCTGGCAAAAATCATCTACTGGGTGCAAGGAATATAGTTTTGGAATTTGTGGCAAAGCTTTCCCAGATGCTTGGTCCCCCCGAACTGAAAATCTGTGATTACTCACATTCAGTCTTGAAAATGATATGCAAGACAAATACAGCAAAAGTATTGCAAAACTTGCAATCCGAAAAAACAAGGCAGATTGCAACTCCATTGTTTTGTCCACATCGGATCAGCACTATGAGTAGCCTGAACCAACATGTTTTTTTGGAAAAGACATTGAGAGAATTTCAGAGACTGGTATAACCATGAGCTATATCCCTGGCAAGGGGGCACGAATCTTTAGGCGCAAATTGTGTGGAGCACATTTCGGTGGGCTTGTTTCCTTAGCTGGAAACCGGCATTGTGTGTGTGTGTGCAAAAGGGTGCAAGACGCATCAGTTTTCAGCCCGAACTAGATGGTATTTGCATGTATTTACAGCAGCATATTGGACGAAAAAGATGCTGCCTCATTTGCATGGCATTTACAGTGGTAACTGCGGGCACTTGAAACAAACAGTTTTCCAGTTCGCATGGTCGAAGGAAGTTTAGAAGTCAAACTTCCGACAGTATGGACAGATGGGAAAGCGGACAGATGGGAAAGCAGAGGTGGGAAGAGTCAGAGAAGAGAAGAGAAGAGGAGAGAAGATCAGAGAAGAGAAAGTCAGAAGAAAGAAGGAAAGCCGCGAAATATTGTGTTTTTCCAATGATTTGTGGCTCCGGAGGGTCGAAAAGTAGGCTCGCCAAAGCAGCGGGTGCGGAGCCATCTGGCTAGATGAGAGATGAAAAATTGCACACGTTGCGGCACGAAGCACATGTGGAAGTCAAAATGTAGAAAGCACCTCACGTTCGGACCACTCTTGGAAGTTGAGATGTCGAAAAAGTGCACGCCGGTGTGGCGCGAAGCACATTTCCAAGTCAAAATGTACAAAGCACGCCATTCTCAGAGCACTTTTGGAAGTTGACATGTCGAAAAAGTGCATGCCATTGTTGCGCGAAGCACATGTCCAAGTCAAAATGTAAAAAACACCACATGTTCGGACCACTTTTGGACGTTCAGATGTCGTTTGCGTGGCAGTCGCAAGGGACCGTGTCAAAAGTGAGCAGAAAGTGAAGGCTTTGTGGCAGTTCCAAAAGCGTTGGCAGCCGTGGCACATTTCAAGAGGGTCTGCAAAGATACATTTTCCGTGACAGGCGCAGTGCAAGAGACATGTCCATCTGAGATGTTAGGAGGTCCGGGTGGTGATTTCCTGAGAGGGGTTGTATTTTGGAGCATCAAATCTTCAGTTTTGGGAAAATGATTTTGTGTGACCGGTGCAGCACTTCCTATGACCTGGCCTCATTTTTTCGTGGCAGGCGCAGCACTTTAGACAGATGGAGTGGACAAATCGCAAGACGCATTGGTACGAGGCCGTCAGCTCTGCACTCAACTTTCCATTTTTGAAGGAAGTCTCCGAGGATTGCTTCGTCTTTGGTGCTGTCAACTTCGATAATTGGCGAAGTCTCGCAGAATTGCTTCGTTTTTGACGTTGTCAAGTTGGAAAATGGTGGAAGTCTAGCAAGAATTTCTTCGTTGTTGACGTTGTCAACTTCGAACATTGAGGGGGTCTCGCAGAATTGCTTCGTTTTCAAGACAGAAAGATAGATAGATAGATCGATAGATAGATAGATAGACAGATAGATAGATAGACAGACAGATAGATAGATAGATAGAGGGAGAGATAGAGAGAGAGAGATAGCGAGATAGAGAGATAGAGAGATAGAGAGATAGAGAGATAGCGAGATAGAGAGATAGAGAGATAGAGAGATAGAGAGATAGAGAGATAGAGAGATAGAGAGATAGAGAGATAGATAGATAGATAGATGGATAGATAGATAGATAGATTAGGTAGGTAGATAGATAGATAGATAGAGAGAGATAGATAGATAGATAGATAGAGAGATAGAGAGATAGAGAAATAGAGAGATAGAGAGATAGAGAGATAGAGAGATAGAGAGATAGAGAGATAGAGAGATAGAGAGATAGATAGATAGATAGATAGAGAGATAGAGAGAGAGAGATAGATAGATAGATAGATAGATAGACAGATAGATAGACAACTACAACTACACTACGCTACATTGCAACTACAACTACCACTACACTACTACTACAACCACAGCTTCAACTTCATCTCTAACCTCCACTTCAACTACACTACAGCTACAGCTACCACTACCACCACAGCTACAACTATAACCACAACTTCACTTTCAACTTCAACTACACTACAACTACAACTACCACAATACTACACTACAACTACCATTGCCACCACGGCTACAACCACAACTACAACTACACTACAACTACAGCTACAACTGCAACTACCACTAGACTACACTACTCTACACTACAACCACAACTACAACTACAAGTGCAACTGCAACTACAAATACACTGAACAACACTACAACTACAACTGCAGGTACAACCACTACAACTACAATACCACTACACTACAACTACAACTGCACTACAACTACAGCTAAAACTACAACTACAAACAAAACACACCACACCACACTACATTCAGCAGTTGTGGGTGAGGTGGCCACTGCAGCGACTCCAAAGAGCACAAATCTCACCACGTTTCGGTCGATCAGTGGATTCGCTCTGCCATCCATGCATCACAATGACTCACCTCTCCTATAGTTTCCTATCTTTGAAACTTCCGCCACCGCCTTGTGCGGTACTACTGGTATTCACAGCATGTGGGCATTCTATAAACAAGCATCTAAGTGAACATAGTGAACCAAAAGGCTCAGTACTGTGGTATGCGCATATGGTAAGTTCATGCTATTTCCGGCATTTTAGATTCTATACCTCGATGTCATTCAGCCGCTTTGCACTAGGAAAGCATTCATTCGGCCGCCTTGAAAAAGGTCAGATTCATCGGGGCAAAGTTTGCTGTTGCTGTTTGCTGGTGATAGTGGTGGTGCATTTGCTGAAGCCTCCAACTTCTATGGAATTTTACATAATTAATATTCGCAGCGTCTTGGGATTGCAAGAATGATCAGAATTGTCTCTAGCATTGCATTTACCTGGAACTACATGTGCAAGATGTTGGAAACAAAGCCGTCTCATGCCGCCTCATGTGTACTTGTTATTTGCATGTAGCCTCATAGCATCCGCAACTTCTCATTTCTGCAGTAGTATTTGCATCGCAGCATCTTGGAATTCAATAAAACGTCAATGAGGGGACCTTCTACGGACCTTAAGGATCCTTTTCAGGTACCGTATCGGGTCCCAGGTGCTGGCCTCAAAGGGGAAAGGCAGCTGGTTGAGCTGACCTGCCAGGGTGGCTCCGACTCCAACTGGCCTGTTGAATCAAAGCCTCAATTTCTCAGCTTTGAAAACACCAAAATAGCGGTTAAAATAGCTGCACTTCTTAAATTTCATGAGCAAATACTGCCACCTCCCATTGCGGGCCACGGTGGCAGCTGCCCTGGTCGCATTGTGGCTGGATTTTTTTTTCACAATAAAGGGATGATGTGATAAACCCAATGCAATAAGCCCCCGATTTTTCATAGTTAATAGTCAATGTTTACATGTTATACAATACCCATTTCCGCAACCTTTTTGCGAGACCAGATTTAGGCAGCTTTCTCGAAGGTGAGATCTGAAGATCTGCCACAAGAACTCAGCTTCTTTCAGTCGTAGAGTCGCAAGCACTGAGCTTGTCGTGTCAATCATGTCCACATTAGATCCATCGTGCGGAAATCCATCACTTTAGGTCGTGCGTTGAGGGTGAGTGTTCTAGCTCCATTGGCTCGGAAGAGTTAAGAGCACGCTAGCCAAGGGGTGACAAAAAGGGGCCAGGTACTGCTATATATAAATGGAGCTTGCGTCAGATCGTTTTTCGTTCAGTTGTTCTTATGATAGCTGGGGCTTCGGTTTTATAACTCTGCATAGATGCAACTTTTGCATACAGACACCTAATAGACATCTATATTGCCATGTTACTCCACCTGTGTCTTGCCTCCTATGCACCAAACGTGGTCATGCGTCGGGATGGTGAGACTTCAACAACCCCCTGTCCCCCAGTCTTGAAAAACATGGAATGCGGGAATATTTAGGGGAATCATAATTTATAATTAATATTTCAGGGTTCACAGTCTATAATCTATAAACGTATCATACAATCAACAGTCTATATAAATCTATAAGGTTCTAAAAGTAAACATCTACAATAAATCTACATCTAACCATCTATTGTAGATCTAAAAGAACAAACTAAAATGCATATCACAGGAAGGTTTTCAGGACTCAACGGGCGCCTCCTTTGCCACAGCCCGAGCCGTGGCAGCCTTGGCAGCCGCCGCAGCCAGGGGGATGACCTTAGCATCCATGGGGCTAGGTCATGGGGAAAGGTCCTGGGTTTTTCTATAGTTTTTTTCTAGATAAAGATGGCCGAAGATCGAATTTTTCTGGATGAACATGGACGAAGATAGAAAACACCTAGATGAAAATGGATGAAGGTAGAGACTTTCTTGATGAATATGCACGAAGATCGAAAAATTCTGGATGAATATAGATGAAGATAGATTTTTTCTGGATGAATAAGGATAAAGATCGAAAAAATCCGGATGAATACGGATAAAGATCGAAAAAATCTGGATGAATGTGGATGAGAAAAGAAATTTTCTGAATGAATATGTATGACGATCGAACAACATTCTGGATGAATATGGATAAAGATAGAAACTTTCTGGATGAATATGGATGAAGATCAAAAAATCTGGACGAATATGGATGAAGATCGAAACAAATGGATCATTACGGATTGAAAATATCCGGATGAATATGGATGAAGATCGAATAAACCTGGGCGAATATGGATGAAGATAGAAACATCTGGGCGAATATGGATGAAGATAGGAATTTTCTGGATGGGCATGGACAAAGATTTTTTTAAAAAAATGATGAATATAGATGAAGGAAGACAAATTCTGGATGAATATGGATGAAGATCGAAAAATTCTGGATGAATACTTTATGAATAAAGAACATATGGATGAATGTGGATGAAATTCGAATATGGATGATCATGAACTAATTTTGATGAATATTGATGAATATAGAACATTTCTGGATAAATATTGATAAAGAAAGAACGTATGGATCACTATGGATGAAAATGGATTAATTTCTAGACGATTATAGATGAAGACCAATTTATTTTGGATGGATATAGATGAAAGAACAAATGGGTGAATATGGATGAATATACAGCATATGGATGAGTATGGTTCAACACGTGCGAAAATGGATTAATATGGACGAATATAGAAAAATATGGACATGGATGAAGATTGAACAAATCTGGATGAATATGGATGAAGATAGAAATTGTCTGGATGAATATGAATGCATATCGAAAAAAGTCTGGGTGAATATGGATGAAGAAAGAAAATTTCTGGATGAGTATGGATGAAGATAGAAAAATTCTGGTCGGATATGGATGGATCAAAACGGATTATTAGAGGGGGCATAATGGATCTATATTTGGATATGTTCTATGTAAATGCTACTACGGATGGATAAATGATTTCAATGGACGTGAGTCCATGGTTGTTTGTATAAGTGAATAATATACAGGGTTCTTGAACTATTGATGGCAGTTTATGTAAGTGGATGACAAATGGACGGTAATCTTTCCCAGCTATGCTTTTTTGTCCCATGCCCATATTACCCGAAATTAACCAAATATATCTCTTGTTTACTGTAATTGTTTTTTTGATAGGTGGACAAGGTTGCAAAGAAGGATGATAAGTAAGCTGTTTTTTTCCTCTCTTCATCTTTCAGGCCGCTATTTAATTGCTATTGCGATTTGAATGAAGCCCCTTGGCGCCATCTCATGGAGGAGATGTCTGGAAGGATCTGGCTTTTGGTGCTGGCTTATACTCAAACCAGCAATTTAAGCCAATTTTTTTCGGAAAGATCTTGGACTGAGAAATCTTGGTGCTTTTTTGGTGCTCCCCTTCCTGAGCCCATCGGCCCATGTTCATAGGAAACATCTGTGCCTCTCGGCCGGCCCAAGTCGTGGTCATGTTGTGCAGCCATGGGATTAGCCCATCAAGCTGGAAGCAGGGCGTGTCAAAATTTCTGGTTTTGGTGCCCGAATTACAAAAGAAATGCAAATCGAATAGGATCCTTATCCCTAGAAAAGCAGAGACATTACAAACCACCACTCGCTGAATGTCAGTTCTGACTCTGACTTCAGAATATGTTTTTTTCTCCATCCCGTTGTGGAAGCCAGTCATATTCCCATGATCCCCCATGTATTCAAGATTCTTCCTATCGCATCATATCCCCAGCATCCCCTTTTTGATGCTTCCATCCTGTTCCATCCTCCCGCAGCTCGCCCGCAGCTCGCCTGTGCTTGCCACTGGGCCTGTTGTGCGGCAGCTGTCGGAAGCGCCTCCCACTGTCCGTTGGGCCATGTTTCATTACCAGGAGGTAATCTGGTTCCAATTCCCCAAAATCTAGTGATTAGCTAGACACATCGACATGAGTTCCAAGAATGTACCTATGTACAGACAAATATATATATGGGAAAATCTGGCCATTTGTGGATGATTTTCCTTTACTAAGCATCATCTATGGTGAGGCCACTTTGCATGTATACATACATATTTATGTATGTATTGTACATATTCATATGTAGAAAGTCTTTGAGGTGATGGTTCCAAGTCCGAAACATTGAATTGTAGCCTCCAGTAGTGCTTCTATAGCAACCCCGGTGGCCCTCACCCCATTGCTTGAAGCAACCTTGTTCCAAGGTCCTAAGGTAGATCGATGGTCATCTTGGCGGGATAAGAGTCCTAGCTCCTAATGAAGCAAACACGTGGACTTGACCAATCTTGCCCCAAGTTTGAAATCCTGTGCGACATGAAGCCCTGCAGCAAATGCCAAACTTGTCCTTGACTTATTTTGCTAGTTTGGGCCCGTGTAGCCCAAAAAATTTGCTTAAGAACGTAATTTTCCCCTTCAAAACTGCCATGCCAGGCGTGCATCCCCATTCTCAGACACACCCATGTCAATCATACTTAACCTGATTTAAGTTGCATATTACCAATGAAATCCCTGTTTTTTAAATCAGTTTTTCCAATGCTTTGCCAAATTTCAGCAACATCCCATTGACGCAGCCGACCAAACGGTAGCGTTCAGCGACCTGATCTGGGAACCCACGTAGACTCTGTAGTCCAGGTGGCCCAGCCCAGTGCTGAAGCCTGGTCGTTTTCAAACCACCAGAGGTAGGACGGTACGATTTCAGTGAAGATTTCAAAGCATGAAATATTTTTTTAGCAACAAAATGTACAGGGATTATCAGGGATTTACTGCATTGATTACCATGATAGATAGGTCTAAGACCGAAATATATATATATAGAAAAGACAGGAGAGATATCGAGAGTACGTCTTCGGCAAGGTGCCATCTTTTTCTGCCAGGTCTTCGGTCTAGTGACCAGCTGCATGATGGCGGAAGATGCCATATGTGATGTTTCACCAAAAGTAGTGGAATAAATTACACGCGGCAACCTCTCAGGCATTCGTGCCATATCTGAGCGGCATCCTTGCCTTCACGCGCTTCAGTTCATCAGGGCGCATCTTGCTTTTGTCCACGAACTGCTGCTTGCATTGCATCAGGTGCTCTAAGGCTAATAGGCATCCTTACTCCGAGTCGAGATGCGAAGCTGATGTGAAGAAGGCATTCTTCATTATTCGGCGCAACTACTGGTGGGTCATCTCCTCCAGCAGCGATGCATGCTTCTGGTTGGCCAACACGATGGCCAGCTCTACATGTGGACAAACTTCGTTCCCTCAGGAAACATAACATAGCAGCATAATTGCTTGATGCGTGAGTTCTGAATGCTCAAGGCAGCAGGTAGCGCTGTGCCTCCGAGTTTGTATAGATTGTGGTGTCCAAGCTCCAGTACTAACAGGTGCACTAAAGAGCACTCGCTCTGGACCACAGGCAACTTCATAGCTTCACTCTGAAAGCTCTTCACCAACCAGATCAGTCTCGTTTTTTCCATGTGAACCCTGCAGTGAAGCCAGCTAGGCATCGCGCAGCTGGGAGGCACCTGCATACGAATGTTTCACTCACGCATTTCACCCATGACGTTTCACTTTTTCCAACCTTGCGTTTTCACTAATGTTTTTTTCACACATGCGCTTTTTCACTCATGCGTTTTCGTCCCACTCGTCTTTGCTCCAGCGGTAGCCAAGCCTTCTTTGAATCCACGCGCTTCGTGATGCGGCAACTGCATGCTTAGACTCACTGGAGATGAGGTTTCCCATGTAATTAACGTGGAGTGGATATGACTTTGCCGTCCTTGATCGCACCATAGGGCGAAATTGCATGTCCACCTGTGTCGATAGCCAGAAAAGCGTCTCCTCGTTATTCACCACAACCCCTCTCACTGCCTTAGTGATGTCAGCGAACGAAAAAATGTGTAAAAAACCACATGGTTTCAGCGCATCACTCCGGCACTCATCCGCTCAAACCGTGGAAGGGTCACACCAAACATTGTTACACTCTCGCAACTCTCCGCTGAAGAAAAAGGTGGCAAAACACATGATTTCAGAACGTCACTCCAACAGTCATCCGCTCAAACCGTGGAAGGGTCACACCAAAGTTGGCCAATCTGATTCTGCAGACAAGTGACAACTTGAGTATGCAACACCGGTGTGCTTCTGGTGTCCTCCCACAACACAGTCTCCGAGCCTCCGGTAGATCCTTGTGCATGTTCAGACTCTATATGTCATCCGGCACCTGCACGCGCTCTGTTTCAGCTTGAGCTTGCATTCGATCTGCTGCCACTTGGCGCTGAAGTTCACTAAGTTGAGCTTCTGCCTTATGTCGCAGCTCTTGAAGTTCTCTCTTGTGTCTTTCCTCCTGGAGGTTGAGAGCTGCACTGTGTCTGTTTTCGTGGAGGTTGACAGCTGCTTTGCTTTCGCCAAGTTTCAACTGGGAGTGATAATTCTGCTTGAAGATTAAACAAGCACTGCGACATCTCTTGATAGTCTTCTGTCACATCTCTCACAGAAGTCCAAGGCTGGTAAATCGCAACTTGACTGGATGCTGCAGCACGCTGCACAGCTGTCAAGCAGCTCCTGCTAACTGGCTGACACTGCGTCCGCCAGCTCCAACACTCTTCGGGCGTCTCTTGCAGCTTGTAAGAAGTTCTCAGGGTCTGTGCGGCTTCGGCTCAAGTTGCTGCTGTTGCTGCCCCTGTTGTGCCCATGGCTGCCATTGGGGCCGCAACAGCTGCTGAATGCCCTAGTGCCAAGACAGGCAGACTAGTAACTCTACTGGCCGCTGCAGCTGCTCTAGCACCAGCGCCAGGTTGCAACCTGCCGGCGCAATGGCAGCAGCAGCTGCTCTCGCGCCAAGGCTGTGCGACCTCTTGCAGCCATTGCGGCATCGGCTGTGTGCCAGCCACCAGAGACTGCGAGTACTCCGTAGGAGTGGCACTTTTCACTCTTCCGTTGCCCTCTTGGATCAACGGTTGCCATGAGATGTGATCTCTCATTTTTTGAAACTCTATAGGCGGCTTGAACCATGTACTTCCTGGCAGTCAGTCGAGCAACAAATGCAGAGTCACCTTACTGCAATAGACTACCATGCATATGTCGTTCAAAGCAATCTAAAATGGCATCGTTTGCACCCCAAAAAATGGCGTCTAACCTAGGCCGAAAAGAGCATCCACAAGATCAAACCCACCTCGATGGGCCGCTTTGCTGCGCTTGCTCCGCTTGCTGCGCTTGTGCGTGTCTGGCCTGGCGTCCAGTGGGTCATGGCTATGCCGCAGCAGGGTGGCCACGGTGGCTGCGCAGCTGCGCCTGCAAACTGGAGAGCAACTGCGCCTCCTGGTGAAGCCCATCGGTGAGACAGCGAAAGTTTCGAAGCACCAAAACATCGAAGCACAGCGAACATGCGAAAATTGCTCAAGATGTCTGATGTCAATTCATGTCAATTCATGTCAAATCATGTCAATTCATGTCAAATCATGTCAATTCATGTCAGTTGATGTCAGTTGATGTCAGTTGATGTCAGTTGATGTCAGTTGATGTCAATTCATGTCAATTCATGTCAGTTGATGTCAGTTGATGTCAGTTGATGTCAGTTGATGTCGATTGTCAAGAAAGGTCCAATATCTGAATGGACGCACCTAGGATTTTATTTGGTTTAGTCAAAAAGTCTCTGATTTCAAGAGATCTTTGGCCGCCCCGTCCTCTGATGCCATCCAAGGTTGATTTGGCTGCGCTGCCTGGTCCGGATCCCAGGGGGGCACAGGACAAAAAAACTCTGACTCAAAAAGCGTGCCTACCAGCTTTCAAATATATACTAATATATATATATACTAATATATATATATACATACTAATATATATATATATACTAATATATATATATACTAATATATATATATACATACTAATGTATATATATACTAATATATATATACTAATATATATATATGTACTAATATATATACTGTATATGTCCATAATATATATACTAAATATATATATACTATACATATATATAAACTATATATATACTGTACATATATATATATACTATATATATATATATACTATGCATATATACTATACATATATATATACTATACATATATATATACTATACATATATATATACTATACATATATATATACTATACATATACTATACATATATATATACTATGCATATATACTATACATATATACTATACATATATATATACTATACTATATATACTATATATACTATATATACTATATATACTATATATACTATATATACTATATATACTATATATACTATATATACTATATATACTATATATACTATATATACTATTTATACTATTTATACTATATATACTATATATACTATATATACTATATATACTATATATACTATATATACTATATATACTATATATACTATATATACTATATATATATACACACTATATATAAACTATATATACTATATATACTATATATACTATATATACTATATATACTATATATACTATATATACTATATATACTATATATACTATATATACTATATATATATACTATATATACTATATATACTATATATATACTATATATACTATATATACTATATATACTATATATACTATATATACTATATATAGTATATATACTATATATATTATATATATACTATATATATACTATATATATATACTATATATATACTATATATATATATACTATATATATACTACATATATACTATATCTATAGTATATAGATATATAGAATATACATAGTATATATATATACACTATATATAATATATAAATATATATTCATTATACATATACATATACTATGCATATATACTATACCTATACTATACATATATACTATACGTATATATACATATATATACTATACATATATATATATACACTATACATATTTAAATATATATATACTATATATATATATTCTGTACATATATATACTGTACATATATATATTCTATATACATATATATATACTATACATTTATATACTATACATATATATACTATCTATATATATATACATTATACATATATATACTATACATATATATACTATACATATCTATATACACTATACATATACATATATACTAGACTATGCATACTATATATACTATATTTACTATATATACTCTATATACTATATATATATACTATATATACTACATATACTATAGATACTATAGATACTATATATACTATAGGTACTATATATATATTCTACATACACTATATACACTATATATAGTATATAATCTATAATCTATATATACTATATATACTATATATATACTATATATATACTATATTTATAGTATATAGATATATAGAATATATATAGTATATATATAGTATATATATAGTATATATATAGTATATATATAGTATATATATAGTATATATATAGTATATATAGTATATATATAGTATATATATAGTATATATATAGTATATATATAGTATATATATATAGTATATATATAGTATATATATAGTATATATATAGTATATATATAGTATATACATAGTATATACATAGTATATATATAGTATATATATAGTATATATATAGTATATATATAGTATATCTATAGTGTATATATATATTCTATATATATTCTATATATTTATATACTATATATATACACATAATTATAGAGTATAGATATATACACTATATATTTATATACTATATATATATATTGGTGTACTGTATTATCAACTCATGTCGACATAAGAACTCTCAACTTAAATTTGGCGCCTGTGAGTTACCCAAGCCGGGCGGGGCATAATCGGCACCTGTACGCTGGGGACGCTGGGCTTGGAAAATGATCCATGCTGGAATTGTCATGGATGTTTCATGGCTTTTCCATGGATTTTCCATTAATAATCCACTAATAATGGTTAACAGTGGTTAATAATGGTTAATAGTGGTTAATGATGGTTAATGATGGTTAATGATGTTTAATGATGGTTAATGATGGTTAATGGATATTACTACCCTGTAAAGATTTTCCAATGTTTTTCCAGGTGTTTTTTAGTATCTTTCCAGATGTACAAAATCACTGGAAACATTAAAAGCATTTAAAGTATGTTGTGCCTCCTGGCGTGCTGTCCAATTGGGGTGATCCCACTCTCCGAGCTCTGGACGATTCGGCCGCTTGTACTTGCCCTGACGAAGCGAACGCCGCAAGGCGCAATCCATCCCCTCCGATATCATGGGCCCCGCAGCATCTGGTGATTTCATGTGATTTCAACATATTTTAACCCACCCAAAAGTAGCAATGCTGACTTCGGCGGTTTTTTTTTTAATACGGGACATTCTCTCATTATCACGACCAGTGCGACGCTTAGGGTACGACATGCTCGACGTGGGTGGTGGCAACCCCTTTTTTTGTCCACTCCACATACCCTCTGGCAATTTAACATAGCTATTGAAAATGGCCCATTTATAGAGGATTTACCCATTAAAAATGGTGATTTGCCCATCAGTTTTTTGTATGTTTACCAGAGGGTAAGGCAATTTTTTGGGAAAATCTGTCATTCACCAAATACATCCCACTGAAAAAGCACATTTGGAGTCCCTCTTTTCTCATGTGGAGATGGATCAAAACCTATGTTTCATACCCTCTGGTAAACATACAAAAAACTGATGGGAAAATCACCATTTTGAATGGGTGAATCAACTATAAATGGCCATTTTCAATAGCTTTTTGATGCTTTTTGTATGTTTACCAGAGGGTAAACTTCATTATTTATCCATATCTGAGAGGATGAACACCCTGTGGAACCCACCTCCGCACTTGACTGGTGAATGACTGGTACTTTCAAGATGTTGAACTACCCATCCCAAATGTATATATATATATATATTGTATCAATAATCATAAACAATCATAATACTATACTGACCTATCCTTACATATACTTACAATGTATGTATATATATAATTCTGACATATCATCCACCAAATCTGTCACTTGGGATCCCCTTCAGCAGCAACCAATTCCAGCTTCGAATGTCCCCGAACCAATTCCATCTGAAAAAGTTAGCTCGGCAGGGATCATGATCCATCATGATCCGCATTTCATGGTAGAAATTTAAAAAGAGGCTAGAAATCACCAACTTCTTCTTCTTGCTGTTGCTGCTGTTCGTCTTCTTATTTTCCTTGTACAAACAAATACCCAGCTGCCAATTTCTCAGCACCTGCCTTGGCTTGAAAGTCTTGGCCTCGTGTCGATGGACGGAAAAAACTTTGAGTATATCTCTCGAGTAACAGTAAAATAGCTATTCTGTGCATATATGCATATATGTTGTATATATATATATATTATGTACAATATGGTGAATATATGGTGTATGTATATAGTGTATATATGGTATATATATGGTATTTATATATCTGGTATATATGGTGTATATAGTATGTATATATAATTATATATATATATACACATGGTGCATATAATACGTATGTATATATATATATATGGGGGTTGTCCAAAATACCTTTTCCCGGACAGCCCTCAATCGCTCAGCCAATCGCGTAGCAACCGCGGTACCACAGTGAGCAATCGCTGAAGGTTTGTTCTTCGTTGATCAGATCATATACAAAAAAATATAAGTTATGTATTATATAATGAGGATCCATGCGTGAACGCATTCGATTTCAAATTTGGGAGCAAAATAAGCTTGCGCGGTCCGGAAACGGTCCAGAAAACTCAGAGTAGTGCCAGCAGCGTAGTAGTAGTAGTAGTAGTAGTAGGGGTAAGAGTAGGAGTAGGAGTAGGAATAGGAGTAGGAGTTCTAGTAGCAGGGCAAGGGAAGAAAGGGAGAGGGAGGGAAAGAGAGAAAGAGAGAGAGAGAGAGGGAGGGAGGGGGGAAACAGATGGTTGCGTTTGGCCGGTTTCTGACGGGTTTCTGACTGGTTTCTGACTGGTTTCTGACCCTTCAGCGGGACTCCTGTCAATTGGATTTAAAAGCAAAGGCAAAAATTCCTAGGTGTACTAGTGGTAGTGGTGGTGCAGTAGCAGTAGCACTAGCAGTAGTAGTGGTAGTGGAAATTGGAAAAGGAGTAGGCGTAGGAGTTCTGGTAGGAGGGTGAGGGAATAGGCAAGGGAGAGAGAGAGAGAGGTTGCGTTGGCCGGTTTCTGACTGGTTTCTGACCGGTTTCTGACTGATTTCTGACCCTTCCGTGGAACTTCTGTCAAGTGGAGAAAAGCAAAGGCAAAAATTCCTCGGTGTAGTAGTGGTAGCGGCGTTGCAGTGGTAGCGACGCTAGTGGTAATACTGAGATTAGTAGCAACACTAGTAGAAGGATCCGCCCATGAACGCATTCGTTTTCATATTTGAGAAGAAAAGAAAATTGCGCGGTCCGGAAACGGTCCGGAAAACTCACAGTAATACCAATAGTAGGAGTAGGAGTACTAGTAGTACTAGTAGTACTAGTAGTAGTGGTAGTAGTAGTAGTAGTAGCAGTAGTAGTAGTAGCAGTAGCAGTAGCAGTAGCAGTAGCAGTAGCAGTAGCAGTAGCAGTAGGAGTAGGAGTAGGAGTAGGAGTAGGAGTAGGAGTAGGAGTAGGAGTAGTAGTAGTAGTAGGAGTAGGAGTAGTAGTAGTATTAGTCGTAGTAGTAGTCGTAGTAGTAGTCGTCGTAGTAGTCGTCGTCGTAGTAGTAGTAGTACTAGTAGTCGTAGTAGTAGTCGTAGTAGTAGTCGTAGTAGTAGTCGTAGTAGTAGTCGTCGTCGTCGTCGTCGTAGTCGTAGTAGTAGTAGTAGTCGTAGACGTATAACCAATCGCCAACCAATCGCTCAGCCTATCGCGATGCAGGTTTTGGCAAGCGCGCAAAGCAGAGTAAACGCATCAATTCATAAATTTGTTATCTGCTTTTACGGACGGCTCCCATATATGGTATATAGGCAGGGTAAATAGGGTATGTATGGTGTATCGGTGTTATGATTGATTATGTATATCTATGTTGTTTCAATTTCGTTGGAAAATTGAGATCGCGGCCATATTTTGCCCCACTTAAGTCTGTTAATGATAATATTGATAGCTAGGTTCAAGCGTATGCCTTTTCTTTTTTCTGCTCCCTGGCCACCTCCATCTTGCATCATTTGTATCGACGGAGCCTCACGGCGGGGATACAACAAGTTTGAAGCCTTGGGATCCAATCATCCGAACAAGATGTTGGGTCCCCTCCACATTTCAACCTCAATCCCACAATTGATGTTGGGGCCCATCATTGACAAAGAAAAATCGTGGACAAACGACGAACGATGACAAACGATGATTCGTCAACCAAACAGTCTGATTCGTCAACCAAAACCTCTAATTCGTCAGCCAACGCTGATTCGTCGACCAGAAAATATGATTCGTCAACAACCCCAAAGTCTGATGTGTCAATGCTGCTTCAACCGAAACATGCAGGGCGCTGCAACCAAAGCGTCATGCTTTTGAAACATGCTTCCAGTTGGTGAAGTTGCACTCCTCTAGGCTTCAAGGTATACCCCCAATAGTGGTGTCGTATGGTGTGGTCTTGTTCCATGGAGAATCCGCACAACCCCGTCACCTCAGGTGGCTGAAACCGCGACATAGATGCTGACCTGGCTGTCCAGGAAACTGAAGCAGTTGTTGTTTGGTTTGTTCCCGGATTACCCTCCGGTAATCCAACATAGCTATTGAACATGGCCCATAGAAATAGTTGATTTACATACTAAAAGTGGTGATGTTCCATAGTTTTTTTGTATGTTTACCAGAGGGTAATCAAACTTCAGGACCCTCTGAGTGGCAGAGCAGTTCTTTGTCTTCTCGTGTTCTTGATCCGAAACTTGGTACCTGTGCTGATGATTTCATGTCAGTCATGAAGGTTTTCTCTGGAATGAAGCATCTACCCTCTGGTAAACATACAAAAAACTATGGAAAATCACCAATTTGAGTGGGTATATCAACCAAAAATGGCCATGTTCAATGGCTTTTTGTATGTTTACCAGAGGGTAAATAAATTTCTTTGTGTACCTTCAATTACCGTCCAAATCTTTAAGAATCATATCCACGTGGAATCTCATATCGAATCTTTGGCCAAAAACGCACCATGGTTGTCGAACAGAGATGGCCTCTGAACCTCGTCACTGAAAACGATTGTAAAACATGTCGGACCTTCGTCTGACACCGTCGGGGCAAAAAAAATGGAGCCTTTATCCTAATTGTCCATCATTTTCCCCTGTTAAATTATGTCGAGTTTGACCAAAATCGGTATACAACATGTCACATAGGTAGCAAAGCCTCGGGGCACCGGCATGGACACAGCACTCGGCGGACGCTGGACCTTCTGAGGTCGGTTTGCCTGGAATACAACGGGTTTTTTTGACCATTTTTGGAGATGGCTGGTCAAAAAAAACTGATAGCCTTCTGTTCACCCCAGTTTTTTTTGTGACTGATCTGAAGATCTAATTAAATTTGGGAATCATGTTGCATCCTGATTGGCTAGGTTCGCTATTGTGGCTAGAATTTTCCAAATTATTCAGAACCCATGATTAGATTGGAAGTTTCACTATTGTGGCAAGAATTTTTGGCAGATTATGTTTTTTGCCAGAAGACATGTTTGTGTGGAAAAAAATATTATCATCTTGTCTGGAAAAAATCTTGCTTGTCTGCCTTTCCCTAAAAGGATCAGATTGCTTATTAAATCCTTATTAAAGAACAGCTTTTCCACAAATTTCCAAGGCACTGGACCATGAGAGGGCCCAGTTCACTTGAGTAGGTTTGTTTTCAAGGTTCGGAATTCCAGCAAACTTTTCCGGAGGTGATCCTGGAGCCAAAAGAAGAAAGACACGCCTCTTACAAAAGCAACCTTCGCTTTCTCTTTCTCCGGTGCAAAAAGCAAACGCAATCAACATGCTGAACCCCACTCACTACAAGTACTCTATATACAAGTACTACAAGTACCATATACAAGTACTACAAGTACTACCAGTACTACAAGTACTACAAGTTCACCGGCAAAAAATCAGTTTTAATTCGGTTTCAATTGTCGCCAATTAAAATACTTACTTAAATGTATGATCGTATCTTATCTGGGGAACGGCTTTTTAAAACTCAACTTTAACGATGGTGCATCCGTTTGAGCGGCCACACAAATCAGGACGGAAGATTGGGTCTTTTAAGACCCACCCCCAGATGATTAAGCCAATAATCTAATATCGATTTAGCGAATGGAGCTAATGGATATTATTTCGAGATATTTTTGGAGATTGGACACTTCGCTAAACATGAAAAGATCAACCTTGGTATTGGGTGACACAACGGCCGCCAACTTCAGTATGCCACGCACCTCCTTTTTGCGTTCCTTGTCTTCCGTTCCTGAAGTCGCTGATGCCTGTCCCACTTGCCTGATGCAACAATTGGGCCAAAAGGCAAAAATACACCAATACCGGACATTCGAATGCTATCTTTGTCAAACTCAACAGTTTCTTCATTTGAATGGATTGAGGAATTCTGGCCCTGATACTTGCAATAACAAATGCTGAGCAACATGGCTTCATGGTAGCAGGCCTGATTCCTTAAAAGATCTATGAACTCTATCCCTCATTTTGTTGCTGATCGCTGACATTCAGCAAATCTGCCACGCTTCACATGCACAGACCTAATTTGCTTTCAACTTCTGTCAGTCCATCCAACTCGTAAATGCCCGATGCAACATGTGTGTATATTATATTAGAATATATTATACATATGTACCGTATGTATGTATGTCAATGTATGTATATATATATACATATATATATACATATATATATATATTCAAATATATATATATATATACATATATATATATATATGTACTGTAACTACGTTTAAATATACGGACTTTTAAATATACGAACAGGTATTTTAGACTACCTCCCGGAAGGTTTTCCTTGACCTGCCCGGCCATTTAAACATAAGGAATCCAATTCGTTTAAAGATCCGGTAACTACATTTAAATATAGGAACTGGTATTTCATACTACCTCCGGGGCCTCGCGGTCTGGCCCGCCCTCCACATATTTAAATGTCGTTACCGTATATTTGTTGTGTCATACATACATATAGATGTGTACATGTGGATCCATCGAGATCAAAGCCATGTATCCGGTATCCATTCGCCGAAATTCGCGGATCCTGGGTGTCCTGACATGTCCTCTTCTCGTACTGGCGTTTTTGGTATGAAACTTGGTACCTGGCAGAAACGATCTTCGATGGGGTGATCTTCGAAATACTCTCGATACATGTCGAAAAAAGGGGGCGATCTCAAGTTTTTCATAGAGTCCTTAAATAGATGAATCTTTCAAATGGAAAGACATATTCATAGAAATGCTGCTTTTTCTCAGGATCCTAATTGGTCTAATGTTGGGGGATGGTCTTATCATCGTTTAACGATCTTTTCCTCCACCCATGAGCCGCAACACCAGCGCCGTACCATGGGCACCTGCATAGACGCAGCTTTTGGTGGACGCTGGATTTTCTGCGTTCGCGTCTGCAGTGGCAGTTCTGAAGTGTCCAGTGGCGAGTTGTTTTTTCCCTGTGTGATTACCCTCTGGTAAACAAACATAGCTATTGAAAATTGCCATTTATAGTTGATTTACCAATTAAAAATTGTGATTTTCCATAGTTATGTGTGATTAAACAGTGGATTAACCAATGTGAAAATGAAGAATCTTCAGAAAATCCAGGTGATCACAGGGTGTTCCCCAATCCTGACCCGCTGCGAAATCATCATCCTTCGATGTGCATCACTCGAATCGGATCCGTGGTTTATAATCCATGAATATAACCCGTATATAACCTGTAGAACCCCATATATACAATAGGGGACATTTCATATTACATGTCATATACTGTATGTACATATATAGCTGGGGGATAACCCACTTAGTAAATTACTAAGTGGGATGAGGATGCACCCCCAAGTTATCATGATCCTTTTGAAAAATGCTGGATCTACCTGGATCTGCCCCTGACACGTTGATAATGCCACCTCCTTTCCGCGCTCTTTGTCTTCCGCTCCTTGCTGGAAGCCAATGGCCAAAGGAACGGATGCCTGTCCTGGAAAACAACTGGAAGCATCTCCCAGCCTGAAGCCGATGCCTGTCCGGCTTGCCTGAGGCCATTTGAAAATGTGTTGACAGACATCAGGCAACCTTGGAGGTCACGACAAAGGTGTTGAAGATGTTTTCTTTCAGCACCAAGCTGGACTGGAATGTAGATCCAACGAAGGACACTTACCATATTTTGCTGAGACTGTATTTTGCTGAGATTACCACAGGAGAATTACCATAAATTCTTGAGAACCACTTTGGACTCCCTCTTGGGGAGTTCCCCGCGTCCTAGTGTCCCACAGCCAGCCTTTCATCTCGAGAAACAGCATACCTTGAGCCACATGTGAATGGGTTTCCCACAGATTTTCCCTACCTGGTAGACTTGGCAATGGGCACAGCACAACTGGTACAAAGATCCTTAGGAGGTGCATTTCCCGAGCTACGTATGATCTAAACACATTTGTGGGGGAGAATTTGGGTTACCATCCCCCAAACATAGACCCTGCTACTGGGGAGGGCTTGAAGACTGGATTCCTCTAAAACCTGATTCTCAGGGTCTAGGTCAGTTGGAGAGATGGTAATGACGCAACGTTTACAAATCGCAGAACATTTCTTCTTGGGTGACTGTAGCAATCCGTGTGAGCTTGTCAATACATTCTAACATCAACTGTTGTGTTTTGTGTGATTGACATCGGGGTTCCAGAACACACCTTTGAATCTCAAGCATGCAATGTATAGTATTTCTACATTATATCAGCTGTGCATGTGTATTGTGTGTGTCTCTACATGTGTATATATATATATATATATATATGTACATGTACATGCACAAGCAAACAAATGTATAGATATGATGACACATCTTCATATATGTAAATATATATGTGTATGTATGTATATATGTATGTATATATGTATATATATATATGTATATATATATGCACATGTGTCCCTGTACATACATACGTATATACATATATACATATATGCATGTGTGCGCATGTGTGCATGTGTATAGTTACATACATACATACATCACATCACATCACATTACATTACATTCCATTACATTACATAGATATATATATGTACACATACGTACATGTATATTAAAGATATACATATATATATACATACAGATACATATATGTGCATATGTATGTATATATATACACATACATATAGACATACACAAATAAACATATGCATATATGTTTACCCATTATATCCCCAGGAAGGGGTGAATTTGTCTTATTGCTCACTTGGTCAAAGCCAGTTTGTTGCTGGTAAAACCTCCAGGTATGTCTCTTTCACCCATCATATATCCTGTAATATATCATATCCCCTATAATCATGATCCCATGACACTCCCATGATGTTCCCATGATATTCCTATGATATCCGATATGGGTGTGCCTGAAACTGGGCTACACCCCATCTCCTAGCAATTTTCATGGGGGAAATGATGACAACTGGAATAGGGGATAGCATATTTTCAGGCAAAGCCATCTGCTTTTCAGATAGCTTATGGGTCAATTTTAGCACACCCTATGTTTACCCTCTGGTAAACATAGAAAAAACCATTGAAAATCACCATGTTTCATGGGTCAATCAACGAACTTTCTATGGCTATGTTTAATAGCTATGTTAGTCTACCAGAGGGTATATCCCATTAATATCCCACTATAAATCACATTCATATCCCACAAAATCACTATAAATCCCAATTTTTTGCAGCCAAATCGTCTGACCCACAGCCTGGAATCCTCCCTGCTTATCCCTGCTGCACCTGCATAGCAGCAGCGAACGATCTGGGAACCAGGGAGTCAGAGCCAGCTGCTCCTGGCCGCCAGATTTTTTTTCAGAATCACTTGCATTATATAATATGATTAATATATTTGTATATGCCAGTGATTAATATATTAATTTGTATGTTAATCATAATAATGTTCATATTCATATTAATTCTATGATAATCATAATATATATATATATTAATATAATACTTATACTTATATATGATTTTCATAAAATGCCAGTATTAAAATGATAGATATAATAGATATATAATTAAATATTCTTTAATAATACATAGACATAATGATTAATAGTGTTATATTATAGATATGACTAATAATACTTATAGATATATGGCTAAAATGGTATGATTAATAAAAATAATAATAATAGGGTTGATAACGCCAAAAAGTATATGTTATACTGGCATTGTTAAATATACTTGTATTATCATCAATTGTATTTTATGAATCCACGGTATTATAACATTTTTTAATATGGGTGTTATAATGATAAATGGTTCGTAATCAGCCAGGTATAATTAGAGTGGTTCATAACGGTTAATAGTGGCATTTATAGGTATTGCAATGGCTAATAGTGTCTAATAATAGTTAAGTAACGGCTGTATAATGATTGTTGATGATGGTTACATAATAATAATTTATCTTGGTAAATTATAGTAATTCACTAACCTGAAAAGTTCGGCTATATTGGGATCATTCCTAGCAATCCAACCATCATTCCAGTGAGGTCACTATTATTTGCCGAGAAATATATATATGATGTGATGTGATGTATTGTACATATGTATGCATGGAATGTTGGTATGTATTCATGTATACCTCACAGCTGTCTAGACGTGTTCTTTTCGCAGTCCCTCCAAAATGCCTCCCACTCGCCACAATGGGGTTCTACTGTTGGGATGTGCTATGGATGTGGCACTATCTACTTTTGGCTTCAACATTATGTACTATGTATACTACACCAGTATTATATGTTCATGAGTATGTATGTATGTATGCATGTATGCATGCATGCATGCATGTATGCATGTATGCATGTATGCATGTATATGTATGTATATGTATGTATATGTGTGTATGTGTATGTATATGTATGTATATGTATGTATATGTATGTATATACATATATATACATATATATGTGTATGTATGTCTATGTATGTATATGTATGTGTGTATGTATGTGTGTATGTATGTATATGTATGTATGTGTATGTATATGTATGTATATGTATGTATATGTATGTATGTGTATGTATGTGTATGTATGTGTATGTATGTGTATGTATGTGTATGTATGTGTATGTATGTGTATGTATGTGTATGTATGTGTATGTATGTGTATGTATGTGTATGTATGTGTATGTATGTGTATGTATGTGTATGTATGTATGTGTATGTATGTGCATGTATGTATGTATGTATGTATGTGTATGTATGTATGTGTATGTATGTGTATGTATGTGTATGTATGTGTATGTATGTGTATGTATGTGTATGTATGTGTATGTATGTGTATGTATGTGTATGTATGTGTATGTATGTGTGTATGTATGTGTATGTATGTGTATGTATGTGTATGTATGTGTATGTATGTGTATGTATGTGTATGTATGTGTATGTATGTGTATGTATGCGTATGTATGCGTATGTGTATGTATGTGCATGTATGTGTATGTATGTGTATGTATGTGTATGTATATGTATGTATATGTATGTATATGTGTGTATATGTGTGTATATGTATGTATATGTATGTATATGTATGTATATGTATGTATATGTATGTATATGTATGTATATGTATGTATATGTATGTATATGTATGTATATGTGTGTATATGTGTGTATATGTGTGTATATGTATGTATATGTATGTATATGTATGTATATGTATGTATATGTATGTATATGTCTGTATATGTCTGTATATGTATGTATATGTATGTATATGTATGCATATGTATGTATATGTATGTGTATGTATGTATATGTATGTATATGTATGTGTATGTATGTATGTATGTATGTATGTATGTATGTATGTATGTATGTATGTATGTATATTAAATAGTTAGAGTATATATACATATATGATGTCTATGTATTCATTTAAGAACGTGTATATATATATATATCTTGTGATTTAATATATCTGTCCATTTATACATATTGTACAGTACAATCCAAATTCATGTCAACAACCCTGGTGGTTCTATGCTAATCTTAGGGCATCCCATGCTCTTTGTTTATGACCATGGGTATTGTTGAAAACATCTGAAAACAACAGAACAAAGCGGAAAACAGATTGGGGACGGATGGTCAACGTACATTAAAAAAAAAAACTCATTCTGGATAGATAGTCCCTTCCGTCCCCCTTTCATATTAAACAGCCCCCCTAAACCATGATGGATGTGGGACAATGGGGGTTTTCCATATGGGAGAAGGGATCAGTGAAATGCTCATTGGAACAGAAGATTGACCAACAACTCTGCTCTGCTCAAACACCGAAACTTGGAGCCTTTGCCAATAACCCAATCTTGGCCATCTCGTTGACCAACTGCCGTGATGCGTGTGACATGGCATGACCGGAGTCGCGCCATGTCTCTGTTGACCCTCCGGTTTTTCACATGGCAGTGAAAAATCCTCCATTTTTTGTATTTTATGGATGATTTATGGATGATTTATGGATGATTTTCCCAGCTACAAACCTCCAAATTTCGTTCCCTTTTTTTCCAGGCATGCTACAAACCGCCTTTGGGTGCCTTTATTGGTCCCCAGCCATCACCATAGCTTTCACCAAGTCATGTTCTAACGACTTGGATGACTGGGTACCCCCATGACTTCGGAATCCGTAAAGGTCTGTCTGAAAAACGGATATGATATCACCGTCCCGATGCCTAGAGGGCCTATAGATTATCATCAGTCTCAATATTTTGTGATGGCCTTAAAAATTGGGGCTGTTATCCATTGTTATCCTTGATTCTTAGCATCTGTTGGACAACATATATTCATTCCATATTCATGATGCCAAAATGTGCAAAGTCAAAAAGAATCAACAAAAAACCATGTTTCGGAGAAGCGACAGGGCAAAGAAGAATCAACAACCTGATCACATGTGACAGACATTTGCACAAATGCAGCAATAACATGATCACTACCTTTGTGGCTGCGGGGACCATATCGAAATGCATAAGATACATGTTCAAGGTGTTGTTGAAAGATGTTTAAAGTATATACGTTGTTCAACGATTCAATTTCTCTTATTCTACATCTTTCAGATCTTTCAGCTCTGAAAAACGGGGCGGACAAAGATATAACTATAACGGATATAAAACATCTTTCCAACCAGCAGTTGGTTTCTCCTCCCAATACATCGCGTTTCACGACGGCGTATCACGACCTTGAAGTCCAGGTTTCGACTGACGATCAATTTGGTTCTCATATCCATGATCACCCAAATCCTGAGGAAAATCGAGATTTGGGAGGGAAAAAGGGGATATGATGATAGCTATTGGCCTATATATGTGGTAATTAAATATCTATAAATCTATAATACATCTATAAAAATCTAAAAAATATATATAAAAGTTCTACGAATATACGGTAAAAATGGCTTTTCAGATTTTTCACCAGCTGAAAAAAGACGTTTCTGTCGTTGCCTGCTGCACAACTCGAGATCCGAATCCCGGCCACCAACTTTTTCAGTGGCTACCCTCTGGTTATGTCAAAATAGCCATTGAAAATGACCATTGAAATGGTGGATTTACCCATTGATAGCATGGTGATTTTCCATAGTTTTTTGTATGTTCACCAGAGGGTAACACTTGATCAGTGGCAGCAGCGTCCTCTCATTGTCTTTTTCTTGACCTGACTCTCCTTCCGAACTCTTCTCCATCTTCGGCTTTGTAGGCTTCGGCTTCCTGGCACCGTTCTGAAGCTCTTTGGCTTCGCCGGGGTTCTAAAGTGGGACGCCTGCACTGTGGATGATGTTTATCGCCAGTCCTCCAATGTTGAAGGATGTTGATGTGCTTCAACGCCTGCAAGTTCAACACTGTAGCAACTTGCTGCCAGTATTATACACTGCGATTGAGGACATGGCTGAAGGCGAAAACGAAAGCTGGCAGCCCGGCTACGGCTCGCTTAGCGCCTGATCAAAGATCGCCACGGTGGTTTCCTCTTCCTGTCACAGCTTAAGCATTGAATCATGTTGGATCTGAGCTAAACTGCCATAAGCAACCACCGTTGATGGTAATTCTAGATATCGGCAATGGTTTATACCGTTGTCAGTGGGTGGGCGGTATGTTTTTCAGATTTACGGGGATGGGACTAACTTGGCAATCCTGGTTCTCTCCGTATCTTTATGATTCTTTATGTATCTTTCGTCTTTCGTGTCCCGGGTTCGCCCCACTTGTAACACCCATATGCACCCGGAAAAAATACTGTAGACTCCTCTAGAACCCATGAAAATCCTATGAAATCATATGAAATCCCTATGTTTCTTCAAAGGCAAAGCGCTCCGGGCCACCTGAGACTCGTCTTGCCCTTGCCACATCACCAAACTCTTGATCTGAGATGGCGTAGTGCACCTGCCGTGGCATAATAAACGGTTGTCTGAGACCCACCAAACCACCTGACTAGTGACTAGTTTGACCTGGTTTGTCCCTGTTTGACCTGACTCAACCTGACCTGCATCATTTCTCTTAGGATTGACATGGAGGTGTCCTAAGTCATAGGGGTAGCCCCAAATCATCCTAGTTTTTTGGGTGATTTTCCTACATAAACCATCCATTTGTTTAGGGCTAACCCCAATGACAAATGGAAACCTCCATGCCATGCCCGGGTCGACTTTTGCCATCCGCATCCGCCACACGAGGAAGTCGAAGATGATCTTGCAGATCTTCTCAGCTTCCGGTTTCAGCAGCCTACAGTGACGAAAAAAGTGACACTCCAGTGATGGTTTCTGTTCATTGGATTATGGTGATTTCGGGAAAAAACTCAAGCCGAAACCGTGGGTTTGGATGGCTTTGGGACGTTTTGACCATCAAACATAGAGGTTCCCCCTAAACTTCCCTTAAACTCCAATGATGAACCTGGGCTGCAGCTACCAATCTGATTCAGCCGGGTGATAGAGCGGCCCCTTGGTGAAGCTCAACTGAGCAACGACGTCAGCCAAAACATCATCCAACGGTGTTTTTGTTTTTTCAAATATATTTGAACAGTCTATCTAATCTACCATATGCATTATATATAATTATGCATCTTTGTTCTCAAAGTAAAACTCTTTCAAGGCTTTCGCGCTTGGACAGGAGGTTTGCGAGACTTGGCTTTCGGCGATGTCCGGCGACTCCGTCGGAAAATGGGGATAGACAGACAGATCGATAAAACATGTTTTTCTAAGGGTCTAAACTGTTATACATTGTGATAGTTATGATTGAACATATCTAATTCCATTCATGTGTTTATTTTTATGAAAATCAAATATATAAACATGGTTAGTGAATGTTAGTGATACTTTTTTATTCACTAACATTCTAATTCCATAGAAATTCACTAACATTCTATGTGTTATAAGTATCACTAACATGTTTCTATGTATTACCATATGGTCTAACATTCTAATTCCATAGAAATGATACCGGGAAATTCCTGGAAACTCCAGCTGCGCAGCTCCAGCTACGTTCACGGCTCCGTTCACCACATCGGAGAGTCCTTAAGTATCGATTCGGAGATTTTTTTTGATATAGATGATTCTAGTTATAAGTCATAGATTATTATAGTTATATAAATATATATATATAAACAATGTGGTTATAGATTTCAAGATGGTAGATGATAGATGGCTATAGATGCTTAATATCTATGGATGCTTAAAAGAAAATTAACAACGAGGAATCCACCGGCCTGGCAGGGCTGTTGGCACCCAAGCGAGGGTGCAGGGCCATCAAAAAGGCCCACCTGTGCTTGGTAGCTCAAAGATCTTTAAATATCTTTAAATGACAAAGATTTTGCAAATTGTGTGGCTATCTTGAAGAATTTAAAATACCCTCTGGTAAACTAACATAGCTATTGAAAATAACCATTTTTGATGGGTAAATCCACTATAAATGGTCATTTTCAATAGCTATGTTAAATTACCAGAGGGTATATCATTGTATCATTGATATTTTTATGATATCCACTAGTGTACTATATATTGTTTGCTTGGATAATATTCGATATGTAGCTTTATATGGATTGAAATCGCGATTTATGTCACTACGCCAGGTTTAACGGTCAAGAACATATAAGGATAAAAAAGGCCTATCCATGATTCGCTGTTGGGACATGATGGGACGCTTCGCCGAGTCGAACTGAAAGATTTACGACACTTTAGAATTGTTGGAGAAAACCATCCCAACAAAAATGTCTGGACCAAAAGCTTGGAGCAGTTGTCAGATTACGAACTCAGAACTAAAAAATATCCATAGAATCAGAACCAGATCATTCTTTTGTACCAGAGGCAAAATGCAACTAAAGGCCTATGGCCTGTACAAAAAGGTCTTGGGCTTCCAAATCATAAAACACCATGGCCCATAGCTTTCCTCCCCCGGTGCCTGCTATCATCCGGCAAGCTCAAGAGTCTTGTGTATCGCTCCAGACTCGCTTCCTGTGCAACGACTTTGAGTTGAACACGACTGTCAACCAGGATTGTAAAACCCTCGTTTCTTAGGGGGTCCCAAAGAGAAATGGTACTTTTGCCCATATTGATTAACATAGATCAACCAAGGGTTAGGATATCCGAGGTTGACGTTGTACACAAGAAAGATCAAGAAAGGGCCTCCACGTTCACCTCTCATGACACAAAAATGCTCGGGCCGATCCAAATGGAGATTAGACATGATTGGACCATGACTTATTGAAACATCTCATGGTGACATATGGTGACGACTGGGGACCCATTTTAAGGACCCCCAAATATCCATCTGTAGAAGTTGAGGTGGAACATGCCGAAGTGGCTGACCTCTTGACATGTGCTGCTTAGTCCCTTTTTGAGCGCCAGCTCAATAGAATCTGGAAAGTTCCAGTGGCAATATCGGTTTACCCCAGTGTGCCCAAACTTGCTCCAGCCTTGATATCTTCAAAGATCACTGTGGTGTTCTTGTGCCTGCGGCAGCACAACTCAATCTACAAGGCGCTATCCCGTGCTAAAAAGTGGGAAAAATTGCCATAAATATCCATAAATGCCATAACCCGACTTCGCCATCTACGGAGCACCACCAATCAATGTCAAGATCATTCCCACCCCCCGCGCAACGCTCACCTCATGATGAAACGATGAAGCGTCTCTGGCTTCAGCGGTGTATCATGGCTAAGCACAGCAATCAGATTTCCGGAGGGGCCCAGAGTGTCCTGCCCCGCTATCCAGCACCCCAGGACCCCAACCCATGCCGGTCACAAAATCTCATGCTGATCATCATACTGAGATCCGAAACCACAGTGAGCACGTGACCGTCGACCCGTCGACCCGTCGACCCGCAGTCCGAGATGTGACTCAAGCTATTGAGTGACCAGAAAATGGCGAAGACGTTGCTGTTTGGCCTCATGCGTCCACGGATCTGCAGGGATCCGCACGGATCCGTGGCACAAGGGTTGTTCCTCAACGGACTCAATGGCATTCTATTCATATCACCCAAATTCTGCATTGGACCATGATATACCATGACGATTCGCAAGATTTTGTGAATGACTATATAACCGCCTCAAGTTTGATGAGTATCATCTCATTAGCATCAACTCTATCCCGCTGGACGTGATAAGCACGAATATAGTTGGCTTATGTTGGGAATTTAGTATCAACACAACCCGCATCAACTTGTCAACAGTTGATACTCTTTCTAAATTTTGTTGATCATCAAATCAATTTTGTTGATGGTAATTACCAACTGTTGATCATCAAAATTGTGAAAGATGGTAATTGCCAACTGTTGATCATCAGTAATTACTATCAGTAATTACTATCAGTAATTACTATCAGTAATTACTATCAGTAATATAGTAAACTGTATCAAAACTGTTGGAATCAAAGTCTTTCCAAACTCCAACAGTTTTCAAACACGGCGCGACTTTCGCAACGCGACAGCGTTACGCGGGGCGTTCGGGTCGCCCCACTGAATCGGGAAGTGAATCAAGCGATTGTGGATGGAAGCTGCCAGAGGGCCTCACCGTCTCTGAAAAAAAAACGGCAAAAATAGTGGATAAAAACATCTCTAAGTTGGGTTTAACCATGTTTAACTATGGTTAACCATGTTTAACTATGTTTAACCATGTTTAACCATGTTTAAGCATCAAGATTGGGGCTAGTTGGCTCAACGGATTGAAACAACAGGACATTGGCAAACAATATCAATTCGTCGGGGATTTTATTCTGGTTGCCCTCAATGTTCCGGTCAACCGATTCCGGGAGAATGCATATGATACCCGGCCTGGTAAACATACAAAAGGCTAACTGGAAAATGGCCCATTGAAATAGTGGATTTACCCATTGATAGCATGGTGATGTTCCATAGTTTTTTGTATGTTTACCAGAGGGTATAATAGGCCACAGTAAATGAGTGGTTGGTGGTTGAGCCCTACCCCTCTGAAAAATCATGGAGTTCGTCAGTTAGGATGATGACATTCCCAATATATGGAAAAATAAAATTCATGTTCCAAACCACCAACCAGATGAGATGAAACATGAGGAAACCAACTTAACCAAGGTAAAGAAAAATGTCCCTACTTGACTAAATGTCGAGTCCGTCACTTGCACCAGGTTATATAGCAGGTCTATGAACAACCCCCAAGGAGGCTCAAACTTAACAGGACAATCGTGATTCATGCGATTAAAAAGAGTACGTACATATATATGCTAATATAGATATATATACATATATACACACATATAGATATACATATGTATAAAATCATGTGTATATATATATATATATACATACCTCATTAGTATATTACCTGGAACCCAAAGAATCAGAAACAAATGGTTGTTCCGAGAAAAAACATGTAATGTAGAGATTCTTCACTACCACAGGGAAAACGCCATATCTCTTTCGGTGTTTTTGGCGTTGTAGAAGCTACGGAAGAACTGAATCAAGGCGACCACGGATTGATAAACCCTGGCCGGTGAGGTCGGGGGATGCCCGAGCGCTCCAAGTCTCAGGGTCTCGTTTTTATTTTGATATGATAATAAAACAGACTAACTATAGATTTACTATAGATAATATGTATACTATAGATTTACTATAGATTTACTATAGATTTACTATAGATTTACTATAGATTTCCTATAGATTTACTATAGATAGTTTTACTAACTATAGATTTACTATAGATAATATGTATACTATACAGATACTATTGAATATGATGATACAGTAAGCTGCATAAACATGAAGTTTGTCGGGCTTCCCGGCATCTGGAGGGATCCCATGGGCGAAAGGTGGTCTGTTGACCCTTGTAGCTGAGTGTGATGAGACCTTGCGATGCAGTGCTTCATTGCATTCACCATGAACGAACGAACGAATATATTGAGGTTTGGACATTGTATTTTAATTCTGGATTGTAGAAAAATATTATGGATTGTAAAAACCAGTTATGGATTGAACACCCCTTGACGAATGAATGACGGAATGAAGGAAGGAAGTAAGACAGTGGGTAATGAAGGAAATAATGAATGAACGAATGAAACCAATGACTGGTAATTTCAATTATTCACCTAGTGGATAAGTGAACCCGTCCTCTGGGCCAAGTCCTTTCTTTGCATATTCTCTGGGCCGCTTCTTCCCGCTTTCTACTCTGGACTTCTTCGTCTCGAAACGGCTTCTCTGAGCCACCTCTCTGAGCTACCTCTTCTTTGGGCCAAGACTTCTCTGACATTCTTGTTCTCTGAGCCAAAACTTCTCTCAGCTTCAAATTCTTTGACGTATGTCTTCTCGTCTTCTCTGATCTGCCTCTTTTCTCAGGCACTTCTTCTCTGAGCAAACCTCTTCTCTGCACCAAATCTTCTCTCAGCTACTTCTGCTGTGAGCCAAGTCTTCTCTCAGCTGTTTCTTTTCTGAGCAACCTCTTCGCTGAGCTCCTTCCTCTCCAGGCAACCCCTTTTCTAAGCAACCTCTTCTCTGACCGAATGATTCTTCGAGGTATCGGATTCTCTGAACCATTTCTTCTTTGAGCCGCCTCTTCTTTGACTTACTTCTTGTCTCAGCTGCTTCTTCTCTGACCACTGCCTTCTCTGAGCTACTTCTCTGAGCTACCTTTTCTGTCGCCGCGTTCCCGCGTAGCTCGAGAACTGCACTATCTCATAAAACTTTCTTTCAGGCTGCTGTTACAATGCATTTGGCAACATCCAGTTGCATTGCCGCATAGCCCAAGGAGTCGCATCTTAAGTGAATCAATGGAACACAATTCCAATGCGTTTCGCAAAGACGGCTTGCAATCCAGCATAGGATGGACAAATCCGGCAAGGCTCCACCATCTAATTCCTCTGTGGTTGACTTGGTGCAAGTTACCCAGTGACATTTGTCCGTAACAGCGGAAGCTTCTCAACTAAAATTCCTTGGCTAAAGGTGAGAATATGTTTGTTTCACTTGAAAGAAGTTCAACAGGCTTGATCAGTGACAATCAGCTTCTATATACAGTCGATAGTTCTCGGAAATGAATGCTTTCCAAACATATGGTCTAGCTGCGAAAAGGGACATGATGACATGTATATTATTGATACATCTGAAGGACCTGTAAAAAGCAACTGAGTTCACTTGCTGTTCTTTGGGCTGGAAGCATTTGAGTCCTGCAACGGTGTAGAGCATCAATTCATGCTCTCAACGATACGGTTCTCAGTCATTCTGTCGTTTCAATCAACTTGGAATCCCAAAAATCAAGAGAAATATCACAACTTTCAGCAAGTTATGCACTTTGCTTTACGCAGTGTACATCTTGCTTTAATGCTTGCATCCGTCAGGTACCCTAAAAAGCATCATATTGTCAGTGACAGTGACCATGGCTGTAGCTCCTCTTCCTCCATGTTCCAGTCCTGAAAAATCGGCTTCGGATGTGTTTTTTTGCTACCAGATGATCTTATCATATCTTATCATTCTATGGCCATAATTGGGAATGGCCAAACTAAACATTATGATACATGATGTATCTCATTGTATCTGTGTAATTGATTCCAACTCACCTAAATACTTCGACCATTTAGCGATAGCTACCCAGATGACAAAAACTGCGCATCATTCCAGTGACGGAGTGTTTTTTTTGTTGCGTAGGTCGTTGCAATTTATCCAGAGGTATTTTAAGATAAACCCAATGTACCCTCTGGTAAACTAACATAACTATGGAAAGATCCACCATTTTTAATGGGTAAACCATCTATAAATGATACCCTCTGGTAAACGTTTACAGTTTGCGAACTTGAAAATGGCCATTGAAATAGTGGATTTACCCATAAAAAAATGGTGGATCTTTCCATGGTTTTTTGTATGTTTACCAGAGGGTAAACCCAATGTATCCGTCAATGTCGGCACCCAAGTCATCACCATTTTATGGGTTCACCATCCCCGAATGGTCTGCACGCGGCACAAGGGTTTCCACATTGCACTATTGAACACTCATAGACTACAAACATCTATAAACCACTACTCACTATTATATGATTATATTCACCGTTATTAAACATTATTAACCACTATTAATCATTCTTAACAACTATGAACCATTATTAACCACTATGAAGCATCTATTTTCACCACTATGAACCACTCTTTTCACCAATTCAAGCCATTGAAGGATCCGTCCCAGGAATCCAAAGTCTTTAGCATCAAAAACTTCTCGGGTAGATGGAGTTATAATTCCTGAGTATAATTATTAGCTGATCTACTTCTCTAAAGTGGGTATATCCCCCATATTACTGAGTTATTACTGAGTTATATATAACTTGTATTGCATGACCATACATGACCCAAATAATTAGGATTCCTGCGATGCACAAGTACCTTTCCCCGGAGCACAACAGGCTGTCCACAAACACCCTGACCTCACACTCTTCAGCAGATCCTTCTCGGGAGGTACAGATCACCTGCCCAAAATTCCCAGTGGTTGGCCGTCAAAAAATTATGCCGAACAGATTTTTACAAAACATCAACAGAAGAAAAAAATTGAATTAGGTGTGTCTAGAGAGTTTGCCATAGTTTACAGTACCATTTTGCTTGACGTACCCCCATAATGTCATAACTAATAGTACGAACTTCCGGCATCCATCCCAACACAGGGTCGCCGATTCAAGAGCTGTTCAGCTTGTTCATTTAAACTCACATAGCTATGGCAAATTACCATATATGATTTACATAGGTAACCATACGTGAGGTTTACCTCCATATATGATTGCCATATATAATTGCCTAGTACATATATGATTTTACCTCCATATATGATGTAGTTTTCCATACGTAACCAATTACAATAGGGATCCAGAGGGAATCATGCGAAAACGTCCCATTTTTGGGTCCCGAAATTCGCACCCAGGGCGGCACCTGCACATTCCGTTTGGAGGATGTTCTTTCCTGTTGCAACACTTACGGAAAAAAAACAACCGTCACTTTCAAGAAAAAACAAAAAACGTGGTAAATGCGGGTGTATTTTTTTCCACATGGGTGCGCCATGGTGTTTCACAACGCTTCACCACTTTCCTCCATGATTTGTGGGGCATCCGCTACACGAAAAACTGGACCTGGTTGACCTGGTTCCCGGGATACCATGGGATACCATGACATTTCCGATGGATTGGGTGCTTGAAAAATTCTTCCTAAAACCTAAAAAGTGGACAGTGAGGTAAGACGTCAGCTGGAAAAATCTGGCTCTATGAGTCAGGACTTGAAAGGAGAAACTGGCTCTGAAATTGTGTTTTAAGCACAACATAAAGCAGTCAGAAAGGCCAGCCATGTCTATGAATCAAACCTCTTGCTTTTTCTGGTGAACCCCCAAATTGCTGGAATATGCTGGGATGGTAAATGGATGCTCAATGTATGGAACATCAGAGGCATGAGGCAACTTGACCCATGCCGGTTCGCAGATTCCCACCTCATCTGTTGCCTTACCTTAAGTTCTGCCAGGCTTTCCATAGATGATTGGAGGATGGAGGGTCGAGAAGGGCGGAGTTTGGCAAAAAATATCAAAAATGGAAAGGACTGGAACCAAAAAATGGTGAGTGGAGAGGACCTACATGGAGGTTTCCTAAAATCGGGATACCCCCAGTCATCATCCATTTCTAGACAGGATTTTCCATTATAAACCATCCATTTTGGAGTCTCCCCATTTATGGACACCCATTATAAATCATCCATTTTAATAGGATGGTCCATTATAAACCATCCAGCTATTGGGGGTACCATGTATGGAAGCCGCCATGGTCCAAAAAAGGCCTCTGCCCGTTGCCACACCTGTGAGACCCAGCATTCGTGGCCCCTGAAAGTATCACTATACGTATCGGAAAGTGAATGCGCTTACAAATGTCAACTTTCATCTAACTAGGATAGTGCCCCGAAAGTTGGAAAAGTAAGTCCGATGAAAATAGTAGACATTTTTGCGGATTCCTAGAAGTCACTTACCAATACCGCAATGTTCCCGACGCCGGGACCCATTTTCAGCTCCGCACGCTGCTCGGCATCAGATCTGTTGCCGCCAGAAACGGGTCCTGCGTGCCGCGCCGTCGGCTTCCACGACGCTTCCAGGACAGGTAGAGGTAGCGAGTCAAAGCAGCGACAGTGAGAAGAGCCGCTAGAAGAAGCAGCACCACCTGGAACGATGGCAAAATGGAATTTGAGCACAGACTGGTGAAGAACTGTTATCATTTATTATATTATATATAATTATATATATATACTATGCAATTACATTTACTCATACAAGTACAGTTCATAGATCCTTGTTTTCTCCAAGAAATCTTCGCCTTTCCAACATCTTTCCAGCACCAAGTCACGGCCACCAGCAGGAAACGTCTCGAGATGGGCCGCACGTGTTGCACCAACGAAGCCACTGCGCCGCTCAGGACTCCGGTGACGCAGAAGAGCAGCGCCAGTCGTGGCTCCCTTGGGCCGTTGGACGAAGAAACCGAGGTGCAGACCTCGCAACCGACCTGGCAGCATATCTTAGTTCTGTTTAGTCATGGTTAGTTATACCAATGTTATATTTATTTATATATATATATTTGTGCTTAGTATATACTGTGTATAATATATATATATATGGTTTGCTACAGACTATATGTTCTCGGTTCCCGGTTCGGTGACCCCCGCGCCCCAATAACCCCCCGGTACCATCCCTCTTCCCCTCCCAAAATCTACCATTTGGATGCTATTTGCAGCATTTGAGAGTAATAGACTCCCAGTTGCATGCTATTTGCAGCATTTCAGAGCCACAACCTGCGAATTGCACCCTATTTGCAGTGTTTGAAAGCCATATGCTACCTACATACCACCTACGTGCTGTCCATATAGTAAGGTATTGTATCTACATGCCTCTTTTCTACCTGGTATACCTATATGCAAGCCATAGCGTATCGATATACTATTCGTCAGTTGCCTATCTATATGCTATATCCATACATAGACCCTATATAGTGCTTATAACGTAGCTATATAATACGCATGTTCTATTTTCCATATATATATATATGTGTACACTCTTATCTATACTCATGTGCAGCATCGAAAACCACCAGAACCCCCACCCCCCACCACCGAGGGGCGGAGGCAACCATATACACTGCCTAATCCATCGTACTTTGTGGTACTACCTAAAAATACATAGCAACGACCCCAAGCTACAAAGATACCTTTCTATATGATATATATATATATATGATATGTATATATATATGTCATGTGTAGTACCACAATCGTGTACATATATATATATATGTATGCATGCATGCATGCATGTATGTATGTATGCATGTATGTATGTATGCATGCATGTATGTATGCATGGATGTATGCATGGATGTATGTATGTATCTATGTATGTATGCATGCATGCATGTATGTATGTATCTATGTATGCATGCATGCATGGATGTATGTATGTATGTATGCATGGATGTATGTATGTATGTATGTATACAAATACCTTGTACATTCCGCCTTTCTATAATAATGTACATACAAACTACCTATAGTCTATCTCTATCTTTGAATATAAATATATATTTATATATATATATGAGCCCGGTCCCCGGACCCCACACCTCCGCCCTCCCCAATGGTATCCCCCCCCACTCCTAATCCCCCCCACCCTCCAAAACCTAGTATTTGCATGTTATTTGCACATATACATACACAGATACACATATATACTCCCCTTTCCACCCCTCCAACCTCGCATCTCTGTTATTTGCAGCACTTGAGAGCCACGACCTCGTCAACGGACCTTGTCTACCTGTATATTTCTATCAGAACCTTTTTTTCGAACCGCCTATAGCGTGCCTCGCACATGGTTTACAACATATTTGCTACCTATGGATTACGCAGAGCTTACCTATGCAAACCTAGACATATGTACAGTAGAAAAACAATAAATATATATATATATACGTATGCACATTCTAGATACTACATATTGATATCTTGATCTTGTATCTATCACATATTTCGTTTACATTGTACATACTGTACACGTATATATATATATATATTTACATAAACTCTAGATATACAGCGGGTATTGCTGTCGATATTCAATATACCACATATACTAAAATCCACATATACGATATATATATATATATGTTCAATATTTATATATATATATGAAATATATATATATATATTATCAATACATATATATATATTGCATATATTCTATATATATATATCTTACATATTATTTATGTTTGTATATATATATATATACACCACACATACACTCTATATTACATATAGTATATCCATTCTAACTATCGATACATATGCACTATATGCACTTTAAAGACTACATACACCATGATTTCTATGTATACTCACCAGTGCTGCTCACGCAGTACCTTGGACATTGCTGGCACACTCCTTGCACTGAGCTATATATTTTGCGTATAAGATGCATCACCTTCCCTGCGCTATCTTCCGGGGACCAGAGGCATATATAATTATGTATTTATATATATATATTTGTATATAAAGAAATAAATATGTGTGTAAAACCGGTCTGTATAGTATAGTTGACCATATAATTTTGCAGACAAGCCTTGAACCACAGTTGCACCGCCGCTGCTCACGCAGTATTGTTGACACTGCCGGCACACTCCCTGCACTGAGATTTCTATCATGCATTTAAGATGCATCACCCGTCCTGCACTATCTTCCGGGGACCAGAGAAATTTATACGTATATATATTACCAGTAGTACCGCACAAGGCGGTTACGGAAGTTTCAAAAATAGGAAACCTATAGGAGAGATTGGTTGTTGTGAATCAGGGATGGCAGAGCGAAGCCACTGATGGATCGAAAGACGATTGATCTCTCTCACTCTTTCTCTGACTGTCTACCTACCTACCTATCTATCTAGCTATGTATCTATCTATCTATCTCTCTATCTAGCTATCTATCTCTCCCTCTCTTTCTTTCATTTGATTACTCTATCTATCTATCTATCGATCGATCTATCTATCTATCTATCTATCTATCTCTCTCTCTCTCTCTTTCATCTGTCTATCTGTCTAGCTGTCTACCTGTCTATCTATTTATCTATCTATCTCTCTCTCTTTCATCGGTCTATCTGTCTAGCTGTCTACCTGTCTGTCTATCTATCTATCTATCTGTTTGTCTGTCTGTCTGTCTGTCTACCTATCTATCTATGGTGCACCTAGCTACCTACCTACCAATCTATCTATCTATCTATCTATCTATCGATCGATCTATCTCTCTCTCTCTCTCTTTCATCTGTCTCTCTGTCTAGCTGTCTACCTGTCTATCTGTCTATCTATGTATCTATCTATCTATCTATCGATCTATCTCTCTCTCTCTCTCTTTCATCTGTCTCTCTGTCTAGCTTCCAAACGTGGTCGGAGACCGCCAGTTTTTAACACTTTTGACTTCAGAATGTGCTTCGCGCCACAACGGCGTGCACTTTTTCGACATCTTGACTTCCAAAAGTGGTCCGGACCTGGTGTGTTTTGTACATTTTGACTTGGAAATGTGCTTCGCGCCACAACGGCGTGCACTTTTTCGACATCTCAACTTCCAAAAGTGGTCCGAAGCTGAGGTGTTTTGTACATTTTGACTTGGAAATGTGCTTCGCGCCACAACGGCGTGCACTTTTTTGACATCGCAACTTCCAAAAGTGGTCCGACAATGGTGTGTTTTGTACATTTTGACTTGGAAATGTGCTTCGCGCCACAACGGCGTGCACTTTTTCGACATCTCAACTTCCAAAAGTGGTCCGAACCTGGTGTGTTTTGGACATTTTGACTTGGAAATGTGCTTCGCGCCACAACGGCGTGCACTTTTTCGACATCTCAACTTCCAAAAGTGGTCCGAGCTGGTGTGTTTTGGACATTTTGACTTGGAAATGTGCTTCGCGCCACAACGGCGTGCACTTTTTCGACATCTCAACTTCCAAAAGTGGTCCGAACCTGGTGTGTTTTGGACATTTTGACTTGGAAATGTGCTTCGCGCCACAACGGCGTGCACTTTTTCATCATCTCAACTTCCAAAAGCGGTCCGAAGCTGAGGTGTTTTATACATTTTGACTTGGAAATGTGCTTCGCGCCACAACGGCGTGCACTTTTTCGACATCTCAACTTCCAAAAGTGGTCCGAACTGGTGTGTTTTGACATTTTGACTTGGAAATGTGCTTCGCGCCACAACGGCGTGCACTTTTTCAACATCTCAACTTCCAAAAGTGGTCCGAGCATGGTGTGTTTTGTACATTTTGACTTGGAAATGTGCTTCGCGCCACAACGGCGTGCACTTTTTCGACATCTCAACTTCCAAAAGTGGTCCGAGAATGGTGTGTTTTGTACATTTTGACTTGGAAATGTGCTTCGCGCCACAACGGCGTGCACTTTTTCGACATCGCAACTTCCAAAAGTGGTCCGAGACCTGCCAGTGTTTTACATTTTGACTTGGAAATGTGCTTCGCGCCACAACGGCGTGCACTTTTTTGACATCTCAACTTCCAAAAGTGGTCCGAGAATGGTGTGTTTTGGACATTTTGACTTCAAAATGTGCTTCGCGCCACAACGGCGTGCAATTTTTCATCTCTTATCTGGCCAGCTGGCTCCGCACCCGCCGCTTTAGCGAGCCTACTTTTCGAGCCTCCGGAGCCACAAATCATTGGAAAAACACAATGTTTCGCGACTTTCCTACCTTTTCGCGCATCTGCATCTTCTTTCTTCTGACTCTTTCTCTTCTCTGATCTTCTCTCTTCTAATCTTTCTCTTCTCTCTCCCTCTGCCCTGCTCTGCTTTTCATCTGTCCATATTGTCGGAAGTTTGACTTCTAAACTTCTTTCGACTATTGTTATTATTTTTCTTATTGTTATTATTGTTTTTCTTATCGTTATTATTATTGTTATTCTTATTTTTATTATCTTTATTACTATTATTGTTATTATTATCATTATTCAAATTATTATCATTATTATTGTTGTTATTATTATTCTTATTATCTAATGTTATAGATGTGAAGATTCACGTTTGTTCAGTGAATGCAGAGTGATATCGGACCTCAGCACTGTTTTTTCAGACCGCTAATTACACTCCGGTTTTGCACACTCCTTGCACGAAGCTAATTACATTCCACTTTTGCACGCTCCTTGCACTGAGTTAATTACATTCCAGTTTTGCGCCGCAACCTGCGGTTGATGATCATCAGGTCATAGTGTTGGCCAGTGCGGCACAACCGGATTGGCTGACCACCCCACCAGCCGTCTTGACAAACAATTGCGTGAAAATGTGAGTGCCAAATCGCATCGGATGTGCCATCCAAGAAATGAAGGTCGCCCAATTCCAATCACTGCCACCATGGAGCTCCATCCAGCGGGGATCCTGCTCCATTTCCAGCTCAGCACAAGCTTGCATGAGCGCTAGCTCATTGGGTTCAGAATGATCCACAGCAGAGCCTCATTCGCAGAGCCAGCGCGTCCTCCTGGGCATCCGCAGGCGAAGCTTTTTGTCATGCACATGCAAACATTACATGAATGGAATTGTCTTTACTCTTCCAAGTTGGTTCGATATTGAATTACAGAACAATGTTTTCATGAAGTCTTCCAAGCATACGTGGCCTTAGTTCTGCTAGGCATCTGCAGCACTATTATCCACCACTTTTGACGGCCTGCGGGGCACAGATTTCACAGATGTCTCCTGCAGGTAGGCCGCCTCACTCAGGTCCTGAACTGCGGAGAAGAGGAGGCGCACCATGTTGCCCTTCCCAGGTTTCCGGTTGATACTGCCCGGCATGCGCCCAACCTGCGTGGTCCGAATACAAGCCGGATCGCCATGCAAGGAATGCGTGAGCTCTCTCGTCACAGTCAATGCATCTTTCGGAGCGTAACGCATGTCAATTGTAAGCCACAACTGCACAGACCCAGGCGACATTTCCACAATGGCCCGTGGCTGCAGGCGCAAGAGCCTGTCTAAAGTGTCAGCGTAGTCATCTAAGTCAATGAGCACCAGCTGCCCGTAGTGCGGCCGGACAAAGAAGTGGGCACGAAGAGGCAACCACCTGGCACGGCTACAATGATCACGACCAGGTGCCGGCAACAGATCAAGTACGGTTTCAACTGTGTCTACCCCAAAGGCATGGTCTATGGATTCAACATGAAGCATGGATAAAGGAGATATCAGGGTGATAAGATGTGGATTCATCCTATCGCCTGTTGAGATCTGAGTACACGAGTTCAGTGGAAGCTTGTGGCCGATTGACCACGGCAGCAGGCTTCTCCTCCGTCAGCAGCAAAATCTTATGGCTTTGTGCTTCCGGGAAGCATCTAATGAATTCCAAGGCAGCCCCTAGGTCCTGCAACGGCATGGTATGGCAGGTTGAAGGTGGGCCGCGTACAACAAACGAACACGTTGACAGTGGGAACTGCCTGGTGTTGACAGTAAAGCGAAGGCGTTGGAAAATGATCCCCCTTCATTGTGGGGGGCCACCCTTCCACCACCATTTCATAAACTTCTGGCCTATGGAATGGGGGTGTACGGGTAGTTTACTTATAGAATGATTTTTTTGGATTTATATAGAATGGAACCCTGCTTGGAATATGTATATATATATAATGGAACAAAACAGCGTTTTTCAGAGGAAATATGGGATAATTTTCAGGGAATATAAAATTACTTCTGATGATAGGAGATGCTCCTCACACTTGAAGAATCCATTTTACAGGGGTTCAATCAAGGGGGATGGAAAATCGGCATTGTGTCAATGGTGTTTGTCCTGCTTTGGCCCTTCTCTGCTCTCCATGGTTCATGTGGGAACAGTGTGGCCCGATGTCTCTGCACAATCCGGGTCAACTCTCTTTGTTCCTGTCTATGTTTTTATCGTATGCTAACCCAGTGGTGCTTGTACTGTATTCTACCCCGTTCTGTAGTGATTTGGTGTCGTATCACCGTGTATGTCATTGTTTTGACTTGAATCAGCGTGTCCAGCGATTTATCGTCCCATCTATTATCGATCGATACTGCCTGTCCATCCACCGGTGCTCTTGATTGGCTATCTATTGGCCTATCTATGTCAGTGTCATGTGCCCATATATCCAGCTTAATCGGGTTATGCGTCTACGTACGTACCTATGTACCCACACATCGTCCCATGATTTAGTTACATATCCATTATATATCTATCCACTGATCTAAGTTTGTTCATGTTTCCTGAGCCTTCATGGTCCATCTTTCGACCTCTGCCTTGAACCACATTGTCGGCCAAGAAACCATTCCTCCAGCAACAATCGGCTTGGCTGCTGAGAAAACCCCCCCTCCCCTGCCACAGGGGGGGAACCATCTGGCTGGGGGGGGGTGTGTGGGGGTCCCTGCTCATATATATATATATACACATTTATACGTATATGTATAAGCCACCCAGTTGCTACTCATCTGGCGCTAGGTTATTATGTTGATCATCCATGCTTAATTCCTTGTATATCTTCATCTTCATTCTAGGGGGGGAACCATGATACCGTCACACCCCCCATATCACAGGGGGAGAGGGGTACCATGACGATGGGTGGGGGGAGGGGGGGACCCGAAACCTGGAACATATATGGTTTGTTTTATGGTTAGTATATATGGTTAGCATTGGTTTGCTAATATATAAGTTAATGTGACATAGTTATGTGGCTAGATGTGGCTAGTTATGGTCAGTTGATACTATAGACTTAGAATTACTTAAGATATCTTAAGATTTCTTATTTCCTTGAGAACGGACCCCCAGATGTTCCCAGTTCATTCTTCAGACGTCGCACCTGGAAAGTGGATACCGACGTGCTGACTTCATAGATGCACTGAATCGCCACTAAGAAGAGATAGAAGACTACTTGGGTGCTGCTGATTGTAAGCAGAAGCAGCAACAAACCCATGCTGAGGATCGATAGAATCACCAAGCAGGAGGTCCAGCTTCTCAAAATCGATGATCTGCGACATGCGGCCACCAGTAGTGCAGCTGCCAAGTAGCTGACCCCCAGCATGTAGCCATTGTGATCCGTCTCGGCCACATGATCTTTCAAAAGATTCTGCCAGTACGTCAAAGCAACGCCATGAGCTGGATTCACCTCATGGAGAATCAACCAAAAATCATCACTTGAAGATACAGTAGATCATAACGTAATCACAAGGATCATAAACCCAACCATATCCTGGCATATCCTCCTTTTGAAATCAGAAACCCCCCCCGAAAAAACAGACAACAACACAGCACTGCGATCAAAGCCTTGCTCACAGCGTTGAAGTCACAGCCAAGGCCCAAATGGTCCACCAGGCAACACAGGGCAGCTGAAAGATCTTCATCAAATCCGAACATGATGCCATGACTTTCTGCCTTGTTGGACCTGTTGGACCGCTATCTCGCGCTGAGGGCTTGGATCCGAGAAGAAAGATTGAACCTGGAAAATGCGGGTGTCCTAAATGGATACCCCTATTAATGGATTATTCAATGGAAAATCATATTAAAAACCATTATAAAAATCATCCTATTAAATGGTAACCCAAAAATGGTGGTACCCCTATCAAAATGGATGATTTGGGGTACCCCCATTTTTGGAAACATTTTTGGAAACCACCTAATATGAGCGCAGAAACGACCACAACACATAGCGCAGCATACTCCCTGCGACAATCAATGACAATCCAAGCAAAAGTGACACGTTTGACATTGTTTGACAGAATTGTTTATAAGACCATTCTACAAGGACCCTAAGGGGTAGTCATATATATTTCCCACTTTCTGCGCTTTCTGCGGTTTCCGAGGAGCATATCAAAGCAAGTCCTGTGGCAGCGGCAGAAACCACGTACAGCATTGACAGAGGGGCTCCAGAATCTCGAAGAACCTCACCTAGAATGGCAGAGCATGCGTTTGACAGCAGCAATACTGCCTTCATGATATGAACATCCTGCTGCACATGATCTGGAGATGCCAACTGAAAAATCACCGCATTCACTGCAAAGCGCGAGGCAAAATTGGCCGCCACCGTGATCTGTGCGATTTGCTGCGGCAGAAAGCTGGTTCCAAATAAGGTGAGCAGAACAGTGGCAAATCCACATATAGCACCCACCAAAAGAACGCCCTGTCCAGCCACCACTTCAAACTCTGAAAAGATACCCGTCAATAAAAGCAGTGGAAATCGGGCGTAGGTCCAAATTGGAAACATGTCTTGAAAGATGGCCTCATTGGTAAAGCCCTTCACCTGACTGGTGAGCCCCAAAATAGCTGGTATTCATGGATATCCATCCTCCATCATCCTCCCAAATAGGGTATCATCATGTAATATATAGATTTATATGGTATGATATGCCCAGTTACACATGGAATATCCCCTATGAAATATGCGAGTATATGGGTCACGGACTATAAACTACGGATGCCACATATCCCAACTTACGGGGGGCTATGAGCCCATGGTAGACCGGTGAATTGTTCGTGAAAAAAAATACCCTCTGGTGATGACTAACATAGCCATGGAAAGTGGCCCATAGAAATAGATGGTTTACCATGGTTTACCTATTAAAAATGGTGATTTTCCATGGCTATGTTAAATAACCAGAGGGTATAAAAAAAGCCCTTCACCCAACACTCAGCACTGATTTGATCAGCTTGTGAACCTGCTCTTTGCCTTGAGAAGACAGGCACCCCGAGGGGGTAACCCGCAGTAGATGCAGGGTATCATATTCTATCCATTTATCAGCTTCTAAGAATTCTTCAATTCAACTAGGGCAACTATGTGAATTATTCATATCATATTATCATTCTTATTCATTCATCTTCCGGAAAGCCTTCGTTAAAAACTCAACTCAACTCGCCCACAACGTCCAAAAAAGGTCCGTCGGTCCGTCGTAGCGCGCAACGCGGTACCTGCACCAAGAAATCCACCAGAAAAGGCTCGGAGGGCTTGAACTGTGAGAAGAACACCAGGCCATAGAGCCACAACAAGGCCGACGGCGACGCGGAGGCGGACGGCGAGGCGGACGTCGACGCCATGGCGTCACCACGGTCGCGGGGTCGTGGCGACACCACGGCAGTGACTAAAACAGAGCAGCCCTTGGCAAAAGAGTGACTACAATCGTTGGCAGAAGCATAAAACTCATTCAACATCTGAAGAATATCTTTGGAGTCAAAGTTGAGAATCAAAAGTCTGCCTTCACTCCTGGCTACACATCTGGGTTTAATGGGCTTTAATGGGATTATAGTTATAATCCACTTCATGGAATAATAAGACCCCATTAAACCCATTAAACCCCCATTAAACCCATAAAAATCCATCAAAACACCATTAAACCCCCATTAAACCCATCACAGCCCCATTCCTCACATCGACCGGTGCACTGAAAATCCATCCCTTTCCATCCTTTCCCAAGACACTCCGAGCTTTGCCCAGGGCAACCACATAGATCCCTTTGAGGTGATGCCTGCAGCCATGCTGCGCCCCCATGGTGATTCTCTGAGTCAAAAATGACAAAAAAAAACAACAGAAAAAATGAGACATTCTCTAAAGATGTCCAACAATGTGAAAAACCTTTTCTTCATTGATAGATTTCAATCTAGAAAATATATTTAATATAATCATCATATATGATCATAGATTCTGAATCGACCCATGGATTGCTCAGCCTGCGACTCACTTCCCGTGGCCAGCCAGTTTGGTGCTTTATCGTATGGGGAAAATAGGCTGAGCCACTGGTGAATCATCATAGTTTCCCCGAAAAATGGATAAACATGGCTATAATGGAAGGTATACTCATTTCCAGACACATTTTCAGACACTGCCATATCTGCCATATTTCCCTTATTGGACCAACGACCAACGACCATCAGGTCCCCCAAAAAACGCATCCGGGCGCCTTGTGATGTCAATGCCGTAGCGGAAAACTTGCATCCTGGGCTCCGAGGCAAACATCCCTTCGGCGAGAATCCGAACATAGCGATGGGATGGATTGATGGATTGATTCAATGGGAATTCAGGGAATATCCCCACAAAATATGGCCTATGTAAGGTACAGTAGCTCCAATTTAGGATCCTGAAATGGCCATTGATGGATTGATGATTTTTTTTTCTAATGGGATTTGGGGAGCTACAGTATGATTTGAATGAATGAGTTATGGTACGGCCCCCCCAAAATCCCCCAAATCTATCCAACGACAGCGACCTGCGTTGAGTGCCCCACATGGTGCACCCAACACATAAAGTGCACAGTGCGGTGATAGGAAACTGCCGAAAACCCTCGTCTTGAAATAGTCTGCAACAACTCAAGATGTGTCTATATGTACATTGTGCACGTTGATTAGTGTACTTGATCGTAGTGCAAATCAGTGAGAAGTTCATAGGTTCAGAAACCGATCACCATGAATCTCAGTCTGGTGCTTTAGATCATCTGTCAGGATCTTGTGCTGATCACAAGCGAACTCTCGAGCCACCATCTGAGCCACAAGTTGAAGTGCACAGAGGCTTGAGGGACAGTGGCCAAAAATGGCGCTGCTTCAGCGGGGTAGAACCAGCTATAGCTACCCAAGGACTTAATTATTCTTATCATTATATAACTAATTATATAGGTATATAGCTATATATATATAATACTATGTACAACTATCATTTGGGTTAGACCCCTCTTAAAATCGGCCGTATCTCGTTGCAACGACTGCGTTTTTTTGCGCTCCACCGTTGCGAAGCTCCAGCTTTTTGTCACTCGAAAATTGGCGCCCTCGGGCGCCACGCTGGTCCCAGCTGTCCCTCAACCAGCAACCTCTGGTATCAACGCTGGTGTGATTTATATCATGAAATATCACATTGTAAAAGACGCCCACATCTTGATGATTTTTACAAATTCGGAACAGAAAAAAGAAATCAAAACGCAGAATTCCAAGATGATTCGCTGGATAAGATGGAAAATTACCATGATTGGCAAGGCAGATTTGATGACGAACACTGCGGAAACAAAAACCGCTTGATGCAAAGCCTTCACGGCTGTCAAATCATGATGCAGATCTGATCATCCTATCATTGGAAATGCGGAAGTAGCATTCTAGGCTATATGTATCTGCAAGCATCAAAAACACTTGATATGCCTTGCTTCCTTCTGGGTGGGAGTTTTTTTGGTGTTTTGCTGTCATTTTTCCATGGAGAATTCGAAAACATAACTTGTTTCAGTTTGTTATTGTCATGCGAAAGCTGCTATGATGTGGACCACGGCAAGATCCTCTGCGATGGCAAGGCACAGCCATTGAAAAGGAGTGAGACATGGAGACGTGTTGGCCAGTTCAGGCTGACACATCCAGTGCTGTTGTACCCCTTTTTCTTGTCCCCTGGTTACTGGATTCTCCATGATTGTCCCATGTAAAAAAATCCGGTGTTTTTCACCACAAACACGAAGCAGATCGAAGCGAGTCGCAGGATGATCCGAAAGATCCTCCGAAGACCGGTAGGGGTGAAAACTTCGCAGGAAAGATCCGTGGCCAGTGCGGATCTCAATGCACCAATTCCTCCCTTTCGAATTCGGATAATTTTATGACAAAATACATGATATCGAACATGATATCGAACATGATATCCAATCCCCCCATCTCCACTTTAATATCTATCCTCATCTGATCAAATATCACGCATTGACCGCTGAACCGCCCAGGACCGCTGAAGGCACCCCTTCTTTCGCAGGGATGCCCCGAAAGTTCTCACAGGTTGAGCGACATGAAATTCAGGTCCTGGGGAACTAAAGGAGGGCCATGAAAATTTGCAAAAAAAAATGTTAAAAATGGATGTTAAATATTGTTAAATGATGTTAAATGATGTTAATCGAATATTTAAGCAACAAACATGTGGGTTTTGAACTAACCAAAATGGGAGATATGTACGTTGATACAGTATGATACAATATAAGCACCAATATGATATTTGGCCATGGGTCGGTTCACCAACAGGTACCTTTCTGTAGCTGTAGCAAAAAACTGGAACGCTAAATAGATATTCTGATGTTTATCCCGAAAATATGCAATTTGATAGGTTTTGATCCATTCCCCATTTTTTTATCATATCTTGGAAGCGAACCTGCTTTGAAACTTATTTGGATGTCGGCACCAAAAAAGGGCACTAATTTTGTCAGTGGCGAACATCAAAAATTAATCCAGGTGTCATTCGCGGGTCAGGGCATTCACCGAACCTTTTGGTTTCCAAATTTCCCAACAAAAAAAACACATTTGGGGGTGTCCATAAATGGGGAGACTCCAAAATGGATGGTTTATAATGGAAAATCCTGTCTAGAAATGGATGATTTGGGGGTACCCCTATTTTAGGAAACCTCCATATAGATAGATATAATGATATAACTAGAATATATGGCCAATAGATAGTATAAGCCATTGTAGGTACCTCGAGCCTCATTTTCTTGAGACATCATGCAATGGATGATGTGAGTTTACGCTGTCCAAAAGACTCGGGTCGAGGAGTCAACTTGATGCACGTGTGGAACAAGTATGACATGGACCATCTCTAACACAGGGTTGGAGATACATGCTCACTTTTGGGTATAATATGATATAATGTGAAATATATATATATATATCATATGTATATATATATTATATATTATGTATATATATATATATATATTATATACCTATATATTTATGTATATGTATATATACATATATTTGTATATATTATATTATTTTGTATATATATTATTATATATTTTATATTATATATTATATATTATATATTATATATTATATATTATATTATATATATATTATATATTATATTTTACATTTTGTATATTATATATTATATATTATATATATAAATGTTGAAAGGGGAGGTCCGAAATCATCCCCTAGCCCATATATGATAGTTATATATATATATTTAAAATATATTTACAAAATAATATAATATACAAATATAAGTATATTATATTATATATAATATATATTATATATATATGTTATATTATTTATATATATTATACTATATATTAGATTTTATTTTATATATATTGTATTAAATATTTTGAATATATATTATATATTATATATATTATATATATCATATATATAATATACATAATGTATATTATATATACAATATATACTATATATATTATATATAATATATATATATAATATATTTATATATATATATATATTATATAATATATATAGTATATATATTATATATTTTATATATATTATATATATTATATACTATATTATTTATTATTTATATTATATATATTATATATCATTTACTATATCTTCTATATTGTATATTATATTTTATATATTATATATAATTTATATATATGTGGGAGATTTCACCAGCCTGGTCTGACAAGACAACTCCTGCTCACCCCGTGGCTCCTCCGGCCCAAATGGCTGCGGATTCATGGGCCATGGAGGCAGGCCTGAAAAAACGGATTGGCGCGCATGCCCGGTGTTCTCTGTACTATTCGGTATGTATATATATATATTAAAAGAAAAAAAACATATTAAGATAGTATAGTAAAATATACCAAAATATTGCACCATATTCAAAATTATATATAACAAATGTTAAACGCAAAAAATATAACAAAACACAAAAAATGATCAAAATATATGCAAAAAATATGTTATAAACATATCATATACTAAACTCTAATATATTAAAATGTTAAAAGTACATAGAAATACATCATAATCATAATATAAAATCATTCAGACAATTATCCCGGCAAGAGACCCCAAACTTATGACCCCGTGTAGAACAGAGAAAGTTGATTTTGGCAAAAAAACAAAACAAAAACAGAATCACCAAAAAAACCCACTCGACAGGAAGACCCACCAGAAAAAACAAAAAAAGAACAAGAAAAAAATAAACAAAAAAAAAAATTAAAAAAAAGAAACAAACAACACCTGCATTTTCCTCAGTTTTTGTTTTTTGTGTTTTTTTTGTTTTTCTTGTTTATCTTGTTGGCGTGTTGTCTTCTTTTTGTTTTTTTCTTGTTTTTTCCTTGATTTTGGTGTTCTAGTTTGTTTTTTTTGTTCGCTCTGGTTTTGTTTTTGTTTATACGTTTTTTTGTCAAACCCTATATTCTCTGTGTTGCTGGGGTTAAAAACCCGAATGTAGGATAATGTTGAGGATGATGATGACGATGATGGTGATGATGACGACGGTGATGATTATGATGATGATGATGATGATGATGATGATGATGACTGATGATGGTGATGGGGACGATAATGTTGCGCACGCTGATGTAGAGGATAATGATGTTGAGGATGATGAGGTTGAGGAGGATGATGTTGAGGATGATGAGGTTGAGGATGATCCTGTTGAGAATGATGATGTTGAGGAGGATGAGGATGAGGATGATAATGCGGAAGAGGAAGTGGAGGATGATAAGGTGGAGGAACATAATGCTGAGAAGGGGGGGATGATGGTGATGATGATGATGATGGTGATGATGATGATGATGATGATGACGACGACGATGTTGAGGATGATAATGTTGAGGAGGAGGATGAAAAGAATGATAATGCTGATGTTGCGGAAGATGGGGTGGAGGTTGATGATGTTGAGGATTAGGACGTCACGGGGGAGGAAGATGATGATGTTGAGGATGATGATGTTGAGAAAGATGATGATGGTGATGACGTTGAGGATGATAATGTTGAGGCGGGTAATGAAATGCAAGTCAACATTTCACAAGAGCCACTTTACACAGAAATTTACAGGAAAAATGCCGCGCCCAAGAGTGAGCACCCTGATCAAGCAGCGGTATTTACCATCACCGTAAGAACCCGTCAGTGTGGACATACTGTTTGGGGAAATAAATAATATATCATAAAATACACTTTAAGTAAAAATAGATAAAAACAAAATAATTTTGAATAAAATAAAATATGATTTAATAAACGATAAAACACGATAAAATATAATAAGATAACGTAAAATAAAAGAACATATAGTATAGCAAAGTAGAGTAAAGTATAATATTGGAAAAGTATATAATATATAATATAAAAACATATAGTATAATATAATCTAATATAATATGCCATATGATATGCCATTAGAAAAATGTATGTCATATAGTACAATAAAATATGTCATGAAAAAATATGTCATACGATAAAAAATGATGCAATATAATATGATATGTCAATTGAAAATATGATACAGACAATATTAAACATAATATGTTATATGACATTTTTTAATGAAATTATATATGTTATGTGATATACTCTATAAAATGACATATGAGATCATATTACAAAATATATCAAATTAACTTTTCTGACATTTTTTAAATACTGTCTGACATAGTTTATTTTATGACATATGTTTTAACAAAATACTTCATGAAAATTCATTATAATAAATAAACATCATATGATATAATAGAATACATTTTAATACAATATTATAGAATAGAAAAGAATAGAATAGAAAAGAATAGAATTAAAATAGAATAGAATAGAATATATGTTGAAATAATCTACATTCAAGTAATATAAATTAATATAATCTAAGTTAATACAACAGAATATACTGTAATTTGATACAATATTTGAAACAAATAACAAAATATAATATACCAGTAGTACCGCACAAGGCGGTGGCGGAAGTTTCAAAAATAGGAAACCTATAGGAGAAGCGTGTTGCTGTGGCGCAAAAATGGCAGAGCGAACCCACTGATGGATTGAAAGGTGGTTGTGTGTTTCTGCCTTTTTGTCTGCTGTTGCTAGGACAAAGCAAGCTGCCGCGACACCGTGAGGCAGACACGTTGGAGGGATGGGCCGGGTAACATTTCTTCATGTTTTTCTGTACTTCTGACGGCATGATGGCGCACGCCAGCACAGCGGCAGCCGACGATTCCTGTCCGCTGTTGCTAGGACCAAGCTGCCGCGACACCGCGAGGCAGACACGTCGGAGGGATGGGTAACATTTCTTCATGTTTTTCTGTACGATCATAACCGTGGGTTATACCGTGTAGTTAAGTTAATCAGTGTCTACTTTTTCGACATCTTCACGTCAAAAAAGACTCAAAACCCGTAGTTTTTTACACTTTTGACTTCGAAATGTGCTTCGCGCCACAACGGCGTGCACTTTTTCGACACTTTTTCGACATCCGAACCTCCAAAAGTGGTCCGAGACCGTCAGTTTTTAACACTTTTGACTTCAAAATGTGCTTCGCGCCACAACGGCATGCACTTTTTCGACATCTCAGCTTCCAAAAGTGCTCCGAGAATGGTGTGCTTTGTACATTTTCACTTTGAAATGTACTTCGCGCCACAACGGCGTGCACTTTTTCGACATCGCAACTTCCAAAAGTGCTCCGAGAATGGTGTGTTTTGTACATTTTCACTTTGAAATGTACTTCGCGCCACAACGGCGTGCACTTTTTCGACATCGCAACTTCCAAAAGTGGTCCGCTCCTCTAGTGTTTTGGCCATTTTGACTTGGAAATGTGCTTCGCGCCACAACGGCGTGCACTTTTCATGTCTCATCTGGCCAGCTGGCTCCGCACCCGCCGCTTTAGCGAGCCTACTTTTCGACCCTCCGGAGCCACAAATCATTGGAAAAACACAGTGAATCGCGACTTTCCTATCTTTTCGCGCATCTACCTCTTCTTTCTTCTTATCTTTTCTCTTCTCTCTGCCTCTTCCCTGCTCTGCGTTTCAACTGTCCATATTGTCGGAAGTTTAGCTTCTAAACTTCCTTCGAATATAACAAAACATAATATATTATAATATGATATAATATAATACAATATAATATAATATAATACAATATAATATAATATAGTATAGTACAGTATAATATAATATAGTATAATATAGTAAAAGATAGTATAATATAATATAATATAATACAATACCAGATAATATACTATAATACAATGTAATATAATATAGTCTAATCTGATATGATATATATAATTTAATATTATCTTATATTTTATTATAATATAATATTTAAATATGTATATAATATATAATAAAGTAAAATATATAAAAAGAAAAATGATATAACATAATACATTTAAAAAAATATAATATAACAACTGTAATGCGTTTCAAAAAAATAATATACATATATATATATACACATTATGTCATGTGTATTTATATGTATATATATATAATCTTTGTATATGGCCCCTGTGCTGGACGGGCGACACACAATACGAGCTATGCATGAAGCCATCTGGATCAAAGCACTGCACCTCCTTTCCCCATTGGTGGCGCACGGTAATCACCTCAAAATCTGTGGAAGTTCACATGGATTAGCGATGAATCAGTACAAACCACAGTCTTTCGTGGGATGACTTACCGAAAAAACCATAGACTAAAAAAGCCATGAATGATGTAGGAATCTGCGACAAATCAGCCAGTAAACCCTACCAGGAGCAATTTTTCAGGTGGGCTTATTGATTCACCACTGGCTCCTGGGCACTTAAAAAGTGATGTGTCCCTGGGAAAAATCGGTAAACCGATGTCCTCCTGCTTTGGAGAAGCGCCAGGCTCCCATGAGAATCTCATGAGAATCCCATGATTCACCATCAAATGTTCCTCTATCCGAATTCCCAATTCAACCCCGTTGCGCATAGTTCACTAAGTGCTTCTATCATCTTGTATATATAAAAAAACAAGGATCATTATTAATGATTATAGTATTTATAGTGCTAAACTCTCCCAACTTATGGAGTCCAAACTCATCATGGGCACCAAAAACTTCCAGCTGAGAACCCGGACCCGGACCCGCCGGACCCGCCGGACCCGCTGGACCAAGACCCGCTGTGTTGAAACCACAGGAGACTGGTGGCTGTCGGCCAGGGTGTGCCTGAAGATGCCAACACGAAGGGCACGAGGCATGTGTGCTTTTTCTCAGTGCAAAGTTTAGAGGGACGATGAGGATGAGGATGAGGATAATGAGGATAATGAGGATGATGAGGATGATGATGATGATGATGATGACGATGGTGATGGTGATGGTAATGGTGATGATGATAATGATGAGGATGATTAGGATGATGAGGATGATGAGGATAATGAGGATAATGATGATAATGATGATGAGGAGGAGGAGAAGGATAATGATGATAAGGATGATAAGGATGATGAGGATGATGAGGATAAGGATGATGAGGATGATGAGGATGATGGTGATGATGATGATGATGGTGATGATGGTGATGATGGTGATGATGATGATGATGATGACGATGATGATGATGATGGTGATGATGGTGGTGATGATGATGATGATGGTGATGGTGATGATGATGATGAGGAGGAGAATGAGGAGGAGGCGGAAGAGGAGGATGATTAGGATGATGAAAATGATGAGGATAATGATGAGGATAATGATGAGCAGGAGGAGGAGGATGATGATGATAAGGATGATGAGGATGATGAGGATGAAGATGATGAGGATGATGAGGATGATGAGGATGATGAGGATGATGAGGATGATGAGGATGATGAGGATGATGAGGATGATGAGGATGATGAGGATGATGATGAGGATAATGATGAGCAGGAGGAGGAGGATGATGATGATAAGGATGATGAGGATGATGAGGATGAGGAGGATGATGAGGATGAGGAGGATGAGGAGGATGATGATGAGGATGAGGAGGAGGATGAGGAGGATGAGGAGTACTGCTTGATCTGGTTGCGAACGGGATTCCAATAATGAGGATGCGAAGAATTCCAGTTATACCATCGGGCCCAATAGAGCCCTCCGGTAATCAAACGTGGCTCGATTGAAAATCACCCATCTGAAGGCTTCCATTGGAAATCTTCATTGAAAATCATCTTCATTGAGAATCTTCCAGGCTTCATTGGAAATCTAGTTCGATGATTTTCCCATGCTTCCAGGAATAGTTCAGGCCTGCTGCCACAGCTGTGCAGAGGGGAGCCCCTGAGCAATCGAGATGCTCTGGCTCTGCGTTCTGGAATGTTCTGGACTCAGGATGGAAACAATTCTAGGTTAATAGTGGTTTATTGATGATTACCATCTGGTTATTTAACATAGCCATGGAAAATCACCATTTTTAATAGGTAAACCATCTATAAATGGGCCATTTTCCATGGCTATGTGAAATAACCAGAGGGTAATGTTTATTATTATAATGGTTAATGATGTTCATAATCTAGATAAATTAGTGTAAATCCATTGATAGTAGTGGTTGATAGTGGCTAATGGTGGTTGATGAAAGTTGGTAATGGTAATAAATAAATGTTAACAGTGCTTAATCTTAATAATAGCTATGCAATAATTGTTAACAATGATTGATAATCTGGCCTGAATTATAATAGTTCACAAACCAGAAAATATATGTTTTCATACGGCCATTTTGGGGATGATTCCACGCAATCAAACCAGCATTCCAGTGACGTCGCAGCGAGGTCGTTAATTTGAACTATGCCCAGACAAATTCCTGTTCCTAAAGTTGAAATCTGCGCAAATTTGGATCATTTTGGGGATAATCCCCCTATTAACATCTAGATAAGCTTGTGGTGAGGTCGCTCGTTTTTTTCCCCAGACTCTAGCAATAACTTTCTCAACCAACACAGCACTTCAAACAATACCCTTGATGACAATACCCAAGCACTTCAGCACTTAATTTGGCTCCAAATGTCAGTGTCCTACATCTTTATCATCCCCAAATGGTCCTCCCAAGTCTCCAAATGGGTAGGGGGTCTAACTAGCCCACCCTGGTACCCTGCTGTTCACACCAAAATCGCTGGGAAGATGAAGTGGGATCAATTGATCAGTCATCACTATCCCTCTTATGGCCATAGACCCCAGAGACATCATCAAAAAAAAACATATCTGCAGAGTGCTATCCCATCCATGTTTCCTAGATCTTGCCATGGTTTTCCCATTTTCCCCAAGAGTTTTCACCATGTTTTCACCATGGCCATTGATTCTCCGCTCGAAGAACTCCGGTTGTGCCTCCGGATAGGGCAGGGGCCATTGAGACGACCTCAAAATCATCGCGCCGTCGGAGTTCGCCACATGTGTGGGGGCAGAAAATTGAAAGATTTATCAAATGATTCATCAGTATCTTCATCAGTATCTTGTAGTATCTTAGGAGGTTACACATTTGTTCTATGATTTTGGGGATTATATACTTTATACTTTTTCATGGTAGAAGCATATTCTAATACGCATGAGATAAACAGACTAAGTATTCGCATGTATTCCCTGAAAATTAAACACGTTTCAGTTACATGATGTTACATGTACGTGTAAGTGCATCAAGATAGATGCGCACAAACGTATGTAGCGACATGTAGGTTACATTATCGACAAATCATCCCCATTTTGGGTCCCTAAAAGAGACGAACTGAACATCCCAATGAACATCTCGATGAAAGCTCTGGACACCCCTGGAATCTGGAGAACCTGTCCCTCAAAAATGAACTGGATCGAACTGGTGCATCCTGACCGAGCTCCAGTTGCTTGTTGAGCCTGCCGTGCCTAGCGTCAACCACAAATCAAGTCTGGTCTCAAATAGAAAAGCGCTGCCATGCGCTAGCTGTGGTTCCTGTTCCAAGTGAAATCGTGGGAGTTCAGAATGATCAGAGACAGGTGGCATTCTGGATGTGGAGCTGGCATGAGCTGGCGATGTTTGAGGCTCCTGCCTGAAGATAACTCAGCCATGTTGACTCCTCAAACCCGCAAGCTGCCTGGAAAGAGGAATGGGAAAAAAAAACGATGCATTTTTGCATAGCACAACAGATGTCAAACATTGGGCTTGTCTAAAAGCAGATGTCCCAACCAAATTACAGTAGATGGTTAAAAACGGCCATTTTCCCTCTCAAAACGGCCATCAGTTGGGTACAAACACCAATTTCAAACACATCCGTATCAGTTATATGATGATTTGAGTTATATTACCAATGATGTTCACATTTATAGATGTTTCTCCATATGATACCATCTGGCAATATAACATAACTATAGAAAATAATCATGTTCTACAGGATTTTTTGGCTAAATAATCTAGGAATGAATCATTAAAAGTATGGGAATTACCATATAAATGTAATCTAGTTTTACGATTACTATACCATATTACTATACCATTAAATAACATATTAATGATGCCTATGTTATATTATCATCAAAATCATATTGGCCATGTGAAAAATTACGGCTGACTCGCCGGGCTGACTCGCCGGGTCCCACATCCCCACGGCAAAAATCCTCTGAAGCCATCCACGGCTGACTCGCCTGGCAGATAAGCAGATAGGTCGGTAGATAGGTACATAGGTAGGTAGGTGATTAGATAGGTAGATAGGTAGATAGGTTGGACAGATTAGATAGATTAGATAGACTAGATAGATTAGATAGACTAGATAGATTAGATAGATTAAATATATTAGATAGCTAGCTAAATAGATAGCTAGCTAGCTAGATAGATAGATAGATAGGTTGGTAGATTGGATAGAGAGATTGGATAGATTAGATTGGGTTGAATTGGGTTGGATAGATAGGATAGGATTGGACGGGATTGGATAGGATAGGACAGGATCGGATATGATAGGATAGAGAGAGAGAGAGACAGAGAGAGAGAGAGATAGATAGATAGATAAGATAAGATAAGATAAGATAAGATAAGATAAGATAAGATAAGATAAGAAAGATAAGAAAGATAAGAAAGATAAGAAAGATAAGAAAGATAAGAAAGATAAGAAAGATAAGAAAGATAAGAAAGAAAGAAAGAAAGAAAGAAAGAAAGATAGATAGATAGATAGACAGACAGGCAGATAGGTAGGTAGGTAAGTAGGTAGGTAGGTTGATAGGTAGGTAGATAGATACATAGATACATAGATGCATAGATGCATAGATACATGGATACATAGATACATACATACATCATACATGGATAGTTCGTTTGTTAGATAGATAAGTGAAAATAACTCAACAATGTGAAAAGTACGGCTACCAATCTTCCGTTCCTCCAGCCCACTTTGTGTGTGAAAAGTCCGCCCATTTTTGGATAGTTACCCCTTCTCACTATAATCTACACTGACGTTAAGGTGAGGTCATCCTAAGTTATCTAGATTATCTCCATCATGTTCTCATATATATATATAGATAACTAGATATATATCATGTTCTATTAAATATGGGGATATATCATGTTCTATTAATTATGGGGATATATCATGTTCTATACTATGTTATATATATTATATATACCCATAGTATCCCCATTGTTTCAGCATATTAGTGTTGCTTGTTGGTCACCATTGCCATGACTCGATCCCACCTGCGGAAGCCCAAGCCCTGGAGGCCCCATCAAACCTCTGCCGGAAAACCATGGCGACCACTGGGAAAACCATGGGAAAACCACCTTGGGAAAACCATGGGAAAAATGGGAAAACTATGAGAAAACAAAGAGAAAAAAATTCTAGGGCTCCAACTGTGAAGACCTGAGTGACTGGAAACCGCCTGTCATGCCGCCGATGTCGTTGTGAAAAGATCTCGTTAGGAAAATTGGACGCCCAATTTACGCGTGAAAAGATGTGAAAAGATGTGAAAAGATGTGAACAGCTACAGTTAATACAAATCATGGAGAAAAATCCATGCACCAATACAACTTGATGCATTGTCGGACGTCCAACTGCTGGAGCCCACTGGCCTCCGGCTCGGCCGGGAGACCTCTGCCAAAAGCGAGCTGCCAAAATCGACATCTGTAGAGCCCCAAAAACATAGAACTTAAGGTGAAATCCCAGGAAAATAGTGGCAAATTCTGTTGTGCTATCTTTTTGGAAGTTACTAGAGATCATTCTAAAAACCTGTCCAAGACTTGACACCCAGACAACATGAAGATATGCTGTGAAATTGCCAGCATCTGCGGACCACAGATGGTGTGTCTTTGTTGGCAAAGTTTAAAGGTGCTGTCCATACCGTGAGCTTCTTCAGAACACATGTGTGGGTGAAGCCCTAATCTCATTTTGGTTGGTCAATCCCGCATTTCATCATCAAATACCGCATCCTATCACCCATCAGGAAACGGTCAAAGAAACCCCCACGGTTGATGCAAAAACCCTGGCGTCTGAAAATAGGGTCCCCCAATTCCCATGGTTTATTACAGGGTGGTGCCCCAGTTCGGAATCGCGTGAAAAGTTGGTGCCAATAAGTCCAACATATCCATAGTTAATGGGTGATATATGGTGATATATCCATAGTTAATGGGATTATAACCCGTTTATAACTGGGGGGGCACCACCTTGTAGTATCATCGCCATGAAAATCGTCATTTTTCATGGGTTCCAATTGCTCTGACCTGGCGCTCGATGGGAGACAGCCTGAGCCTGCAGGAATGAGGATCTCAATGGATCTACATGGATCTACCATAAAGAATGGAGGTTTGATCAAAGAAACCATGGCGATCGACTTTTCAAAAAATATCAAGACCAACAAACATCATATTTGTTGGCAACTTTGATTAATGGGGATCTGACCATCAGCATCTAGGGTTTACCTGATCAAAAGCGCTTCGGTTTTAGCTCGGACTACAGTTCGATGTTCCCAGGAGGTGGCTGGCGCCTCATCATAGTTCAGCGTAGCCCTGGCAATCAAAAACGCGACAAAGGGGATGTGAATTTTGGGGCTCATCTGCTGGTTTATAACATGTTTATGACATTTTATGACTATATGATACTCATAACTATATTTAGATGGGATATGATGGGGTGGGTTATCAACAAATATAACTAGGGAGCCTCTTCCTGTAGGGCATGTGTTCTTTTTCAATTTCATGAAACCTTGACACTCTGAGGACAACTCCGACCAAGTTTGGAGCCGGCCCTGTTTTTGGTAACCCGTCCACGGTTTTATGCTATTTTTGAGAATACTATTGAGTTGTAGCCTGTCTTGGTTCACTTATTCCATCTTTGAATTGAGAATCATTTGTGTGACCTTTGTTGTTGATTCATCCTTGCACTTGTCATAATTAGCTGTTTTAAGTTTTTCTTTACCCGCTCTTCGTTGTCTAACAAAACCATTTTTCTGTTCTTCAGCCTTTTTTTGTCCGTTTTGACACAGTCCGTGGTGGGAAAACTTGGTGGCTCCCAACTGAGTGGATGCGGCATGGCTGTACCAAATGCTCGTTGCTTTTTGTGTACGGGGCACAAAGGGCACGCCGATCCAAATCAGTCGCTAGATTTTTGAGACTATACATATGAAATATGTATGTGAGTGTATATATATATATCCGTATACACATAGATATGCTTGGTGACACATGGTTCAAATATGGCGTGGTTTTTTTCTCTGCCCTTTTTGATCCTTATCGTTTTTGTCTGGGACGCCCTGAACCCCAAAGTGCCACTTGTGGCCGAAACACCACGGCCTGCCCACCCCTCACCAAGCAGCGCAACATGGTCAAACCATCAATGATCTGAACATTTCGGATCTCCCCTTAAATGTCGTATGATTTTCATACATCTTCATGCTTCATCTCCAATGTTCATCCATTTTTTCCCAGAATAGATGTTCCCACTCTTTTCACAGCCATGCCATTACATCCCAACTTGCCGTGGCCGTGAGTTACTCACATCACCAGTCAGAGTTTTGCCCCAGACCTTGGCTCCGACCTTGGCTCCTGGCCCTTGACCTTGAAGCTTGGCACCTGTGTTCAGCCGCATCATGGGAAATCTACGTTGAATATATCTGTTAAATATTAGTGTAGATTGGAATACACCCATGAATCACAGTATTCAACTCAGATGTTGGATGTGTATGGATTCCGGATGATTTTGGATGTATCTTCAGTCATCACCCATGATACGCTAGCCCTGAACGTGCCATTTTCAGGCTGCAGACTGGCATGGACACTCCGTTCGGCCGTCGAAGGGCTTGTTCTTTACTCACAGCCTGTCCGGTCGCGAACGCGGATGAAAACGAGGTGCTTCACTGTGGATGTGCTCTGAGCTGGGTAAGTGTCTAGAGTGATTTAACAAATCTTTGCATCATGATGATCTGGTGTCCTTGATCGTAACTTTATGATCAACTCTTTTGAGCGTCCGGCACTTTTCTGAGTTTCCTCTGATGTAAAGGTCAACAACCAGGCACAAACGTAGTTCATCTAATATCACCCCGCAACGATCCCAAACCTGTGCAAATTATTCCAAATCTGTTTCGCACTGAAACTCATTTCAGAAAAAATTGGGGAACAACTAAGATGTTCATAGTATTGTGGGTATGTTTATGATGTATCATGGGTATATTATTGAAACCTATTGAATCAGAAAAATCATGTCATCTCCCGCTGAGCCAACCTTGGCCTTGGCTTCTTCGCTTTGAGCTGTGGCCATGCCCCTCCTTGGCCCAGAAACCAGATGACGTCCGAAGAAGTTTTGATACGAAAGACGTGGAATTGACAAAACTCTGAGAATGATATGTGCACTGTTCACTCATGACTGTTTTCAGCTCTACCAAAAAAAAGGAAAGAAAGACATTGAAAGACAATAACGAATGATAAATATAATCATGATATTCAATTCTCAGCAAACACCCCAAATCAATTATCGTCTGCCGAGGAGAGATCGGTTGCGGCCTTCCCAACATTTCGCAAGTGCAGAAGTTCCATACTTTTCCATCTTTCGGTTCGAGTTGCCGTTCACTCCGTCTACCCCAGTCGACCGAGGATCTGAAAGAGCAACAAGCTGTGGTCTGGAAACCAGGGATTCAGGGACAGCTGCTCCTGGGAGAATGGGAATTTTATAGACAAAGGATAGACCCGATAGATTCGCTACAAAACTGCAACTGAAAGGTCGCCCCACCTTGGCCAGCAAGCCCATTCTGCCCATCTCGTTGACCAACTGCCAGGCAAATCCACATCCGTGCGATGTCAGGCCCGAGTCAATCCTGTAGTTTAAAACCTATGAATGAGTTATGTTCTTTTCTGATATGTTGAAATCACAGGGCAATTAATCAGAATTGTGTCTGATAAGGTCATAAGGCATCCTCAAATTAGATGATCAGTTGACCACCATTTCCCCTATCGGATTATGGCATAGCCTATCACATAGCCCATTTTCTGACACACCCGAATCGCAAGAATGGTCACAAGAATGGTCACAACTGACCGCTTCACCAAGCTTCACCAGACTGTTTCTCTACTTTGACTGCGCAAAAAAGATGGCGCCTTCATGTCCAAATCACCACCAGTGGTGTTGCTACAAACATCCATGACGACCCAAATCCTGTCGCACGGGGAAACTCGCAGCACGGGGAGGGCCACACGTTGCGCATCACGAAACGCGGAAACGCGCCGCGTCCTGTCCCTGCTTTCTGAGGTCTCAGTCTCCGAAGCCTTGCTATTCGTCTTTTTCTTTGAAATCCGTTTGGGTTTCCTGGCGAACCAGTTGGATTGCCAAGCTGAAAAAATGTATGCGAATGACCCTACAGTGAGAGGGAAAATGTATGGGAATGGAAGAATGGTGCAGGTGCTTGTGCATGATAACATGTGCCAAGTCAAATAAAAAGCAGTGCAGGTGCAAAGTTGGATGATAATGGATGATGATGGATGATGATGGATGATGATGGATGATGATGGATGATAATGGATGATGATGGATGATGATGGATGATGATGGATGATGATGGATGATGATGGATGATGATGGATGATGATGGATGATGATGGATGATGATGGATGATGATGGATGATGATGGATGATGATGGATGATGGATGATGGATGGTGGATGGTGGATGGTGGATGGTGGATGGTGGATGGTGGATGAGGATGAGGATGAGGATGATGATGATGATGATGATGGGGATGATGGGGATGATGGGGATGATGGGGATGATGGAGATGATGGAGATGATGGAGATGATGGAGATGATGGAGATGATGGAGATGATGGAGATGATGGAGATGATGGAGATGATGGAGATGATGGAGATGATGGAGAGGATGAGGATGAGGATGAGGATGAGGATGGAGAGGATGAGGATGGAGAGGATGGAGAGGATGAGGATGGAGAGGATGAGGATGGAGAGGATGAGGATGGAGAGGATGAGGATGGAGAGGATGAGGATGGAGAGGATGAGGATGGAGATGATGAGGATGGAGATGATGAGGATGAGGATGAGGATGATGAGGAGGAGGAGGAGGATGAGGATGGATAATGGACAAGAATGGACAAGAATGGACAAGAATGGACAAGAATGGACAAGAATGGACAAGAATGGACAAGAATGGACAAGAATGGACAAGAATGGACAAGAATGGACAAGAATGGATTGGCGATGATGGACGATGATGGACGATGATGGACGATGATGGACGATGATGGACGATGATGGACGATGATGGACGATGATGGACGATGATGGACGATGATGGACGATGATGGACGATGGCAATTATTGCCATTATAATTACGATGACTGCGGCGACGAGGATGGTGATGATAACAGCGATAACTATCACCATGACTAGCATAATAACAATAAGAAGAAGAATCATCATCATCACCACCATCACCACCACCACCACCATCATCATCATCATCATCATAATCATCACCGTATCTTTGATAGTTAAAACCTCACTTCATCATCATCATCATCATCATCATCATCTACATCATCTGAGGTTTATACATGTCATATGAATGTATATTAAGCATGTTGTACAACTGAATCATTTTTGGTTTGTGGATATTTGTGGATGACAATACTCTCATTTCGCCTCACAATCCAGCTGGGTTTTGAATCCGGCCACACCTCCAGCGCTGGAGAATATCCACGTGCTTTAGTGCCTGCCATGTGTCCCATGGCTTAACCGGCTCAAAAAAAACACACGGCAGGTGAGCCGATGATGGTCTCTCTGCGATAGCTTGGCATAGGGTGATGGTGAAGGAAAAATTTCAATGCATTCGATTGAGTTCTAGATTCGAGAAAAATAAGGAAAACAATGCGTCTGTCAATTCACCTGAATCGATTGCGCCTGGTCAAAGACATTGTTCAGCTCACCGGTTTCCTCATCAATCCAGCTTTTCGAGGATGCTCCAGATGTTGACACATGATAACCATTGATAACCCATATCATACATATATACATATATATATATGTAGAAATATATCTATTTATATATATATGTAATGTGATCCGGTCCATACCCAGTCACATATGGCATCCTTTCCAGCTGCCAGGACATAAAAGTGCCACCAAGTAGCTTCCGCGATCAGCCGTTTATTCCCATTCCAGATCACTAAGCTCTTAATCTCTGCAGGTGTTGTGCACCTGGCAACAAAAATACCAAACTTGGCAAGTAGATCCAGTAGTTGATTGGTAAAAATCAGGTTTGCTGATATTTGCTGCTTGAAATCCCGAGGATCTTGTGGTAAACCTCAAAAATCACAACGCCGTAGATGCCTTTAGGTTGATCATGGTTGATCATCAAAACATCTCAGCCAAATGATCCAATCGCGACCAATTTTTTGAATTAAGTCTAGAAAATTGCGTGTGCATGCGTTTGCCACACTACACCATCACTACACCATCTAACACAAATGCCATGAATGCCATGCCGTGTCTCTTCAAGAATTCACCACGAGCCCCAAGTCCAAGTCCAACCGCCAACGCCAACTCAGCCGGAGATGACACGAGGAAATCAAAGATCAACTCGCAAATCTTCGGAGCTTCTGGCTTCAAAATCCTCACAGAATGCGAACGGCGATCTGACCGCGATCTGACCACATTTTGAACACCGGAGTTTTGCATGTGAAAACCACTCACGAACCAGGCAGTTTTCAAGAACCAGTTGTGAACCAACAAAAAAACTACCATTGTTCACCAACTATAACCAATTACAGGGTGGTGCCCCAATTCGTGAACGCAAAGTTGAGGGGCACATAACTCCAAATTCACTAGGGTTTATGGTAGATATATTGAACTAGTTATTATGGTTTGTAAACAACAAACATCACTGGGGGGGCACCAGCTTGTAGGGTATGTTATATTCCTGTTAATGTTATTATGACTATATAAGTCTCCTATTGCATTATGATATTCTATACTGTAAATTCTATCCCTTATTCATCAATTACTATAAAAATTAAAGATTATTAACCCACCATCATCCAATGTCTACTAAATACCCGACTATTATTAACTATTAACCAACTATATCATCCAATTTCTGACACAAAAATGGATACCTAATATCAACCAAGTACGGACATTCAATTTTTAACCAATAAAATTGAAATAGTTCAGGTACTAGCAACAACTGCTGGTTGACAACGAACTATTATTAACTATAGCCTCTTGTAAACTAACATAGTAACATAGCTATTGAAAATGACCATATATAATATTTATAGTTGATTTACCCATTAATAGCATGGTGATTTTTCATAGTTATGTTAGTTTACCAGGCCGGGTAGTTCTTACTACGAGCGCGCCTCGCCGGGCTGTTGGCTCCCAGGCGCGGATGTAGGGCCATGAGAAAGGCATATCTAGCGGCATGGCATTACCGGTGCCAGCGTAGATGTTAAAAAAGGGTGGCTGGGTCGGCTGGGTCGTCATAGTGGGTTAGTTGGATGGGTCGGGTGATGTGAGACAACTGGTTGGGTGGTCGGCATGTTGATATGAAAGACTGAATTTGCTCAATTGGCTAGAAAATGGGTGGTCGACCTTTAAGCATCCCAGGAATTGGAAGTGATATCTATTGCTGGAAAAAAGTGGGGGATATGATGGGAATATAACTGGAGATTACAAGATTGGTTTTTAATTTCGTCTGGCTGTGTCTAAAGATTGGGCATGTAAAAACTTGCATGCTATGGTAATACTATGACCATTTTAGTAGATTGAATTGAATTCTTTACGATTTGGTGATTAAAAAGTGGGGAGATGTACTTAGTGGTTCATCCCAAGAATCACAAGTGGGTTAGGTCATCCCAGTTGTAGGTTGGGTAAGCAGGGGCGATGTCAAGTTTGAACCGGGGCGAAATACAGTAACCCACTTTAACTCAACCTGGGGTGAGCTTGCAAGTGAAATTATATCTGCAGTGATATTTCCGCATATTCCGATTCAAACCACCAAGTAGGTATGCGAATCAAATCAAGTCACTATTTCATCGTAAATTTTCCCTTTGCAACGACAACAAACACCATGAACGAAACAGTAGTATAATTCATAAGGCGATGGGTCAAAACCTTGTATCCCTGTAGTTCGCATCAAAATAGCTGGTAAATAGATGGATGTTCACCCCCCCTTCTTATATGGTATTTATATAGGTATTGATCATTCTTGATCGCTAAGTTCTATATTGATCCATATCCATAGCATTCCATAGTCATATAGCTATTGATCCATAGCATTCATCATTGATCCATAAATGGTATATGATTTTATATGTACCCTCTGGTAAACTAACATGACTATGGAAAAACGCCATTTTCAATGGGTAAATCCACTATTTCGACTGGGCCATGTTCAATAGTTTTTTCTATGTTTACCAGAGGGTATATCCCATCAATATCCCATTGAATCACTATAAATCCCATTAAACCACTATAAAATCCCATTAAACCACTATAAAATCCCATTAAACCACTATAATAATCCCATCAAACAACTATAAACCACTATAGCTATCGATCCATATCCATAAACCAATAACACAGCCATTCATCATGGCCTGCTCTCCTCAGGCAGGCTTAAGAGTCGCTCATAGCGTTCCAAGGTCGCATCCTGGCCGTGCTTTCACCAGTGAAACGCGAGGGATTTAGTTTGGCAAATAGATGGATATATCATATACCCTCTGGTAAATTAACATAGACCCTGGTAGTCATCGGGGTTGGAAGACTAGTTTCCATTAAAAATTGGTGATTTTCAGGGTCTATGTTTATTTACCAGAGGGTACAATATGTAATGTAATAATATTATATATATATATACAATTGAGAATGTCACGGCTCCTGATCCTGCAAAAACAAACGAAACAAGAAAACCTGTCACAATTACATATAATTATATATATACGTATAATATATCATGTATGTATATATTATGTATGTGTGTATATGTGTATATAGATAGTCATAATAATCTTGCACTGTCGAATGATATGTATACATCGGAATATAGAAGAATATGATATAATATGTAATATGAATATTCAGTATTCATTGATATCATCCAGGAAACCCAAAGAAACAGAAATAGCCATGGTGGCACACCCCAGCCAGAAATGTTCGGGACTCTAAACACTAGCATAGGCAAACAACCATTGCTATTTCTGGTTGGAACTCGCAAAGTATCATGATTTGTGCATGACAGATTTTTGAGCGGACATGATTACTCGTTCCTTGTAATGACTGGTTGTCGTCATCATACATCATCAAATAGGGTTGTCATGGGTTGTCCCTGTCATATGTGCACTTGAAAACATGGGTTGCCGCCTGCTTTTTTGGACCGGGAGACCCGGCATACTTTTTCACACAAACGATGAAAAACTAGGGGTTTTACTCGTGGTATCTATAAACATACTTCTCGTATACTGCCTAATACATATCATATTAATCATGTACTATCAAATATTCCGTAGCACGGGTCCGCAACAATGCACATCATAGATACGTGTGTACTGTATATGTATATTATATAGAGCAACAGAGAGAGAGAGATTTATGTTGGATGATTTTCTAAGGTTTTCTACAACTGTTTCTGTCGCACAACTGGGCACCTCAGGATCTTCAAAAATGACTGTGCTATTGGCATGCCTGGCGCCGTGCGAGTTCCGAAGCTGGCAGGGTGCCCGAGAAAAATAAAGGGGTGTAAAGCGAAGCTGTTTTCACATCAAAATAGCTTGGATTCAGATCATTGATGTTGAATCAATATTAATTCTAGGTATTGATTTAGATCAATCCCAGCAATAATCCCAGCTAAGATCCCATTAAACCACCATAAAATCCCAGCTATAATCCCAGCTAAGATCCCATTAAACCACCATAAAATCCCAGCTATAATCCCAGCTAAGATCCCATTAAATTGATGTTCATCAACAGTTCATAGCTGGGACCGCAGGTCACCAAAGACATCAAAGAAACATGCAAAAAACATCAAAAAACATGGAAAAATAGCCGTTTTTGAAGCAAATTTCAATCATCCCATCATATCGTGTTCTGCTGTTTTTTGTGAAGCGATGACAAATCGTCGACGGGATCCAACTTCCCCTCTGCGGACCTCTTGACAAAGTGATGAACAGTTTCTGGTTTCACCCTCGACTCTTTGCTGAGCACAGCAATGAGACGTCCCGTCGGGCCCAGAGTGTCCTGGACTCAGATGATTTTTGATGATTTTCGCAGATTTTTGCTGCACGTATCTGCACGTTGTTTAGGGAAAAAGCCACGAAAAAAATGGGCAAAACCGCCAATTCTGCTTCGGATGTTGGTTTCATCACTGGTAAAAAATCTCAGCGCTCCGAGATGTGACTCAAGGTCTGCAAAGACCAAAACATGGCGAAGACATTGGTCTTAGGCCTCAGCACAAAATTTTTGTTCAAGGAAATGGTGGTTCACTGCCAGCAACCAGTCATAGTTTTACGATGTCAAAACTGCCCGAGATTTGCTGTGCACAGCAGTGTAGATGAATTGTCCGAAAAATATTCCTAAATGATAGGACTATGTATATCATATATCATATATCACATGACCAAGTTTCGTCGTTTCGGAGTTTGCCTTGAGTGAAATTTCACACGATGAAGGGATCCAGCTGTGTCTCCGGCTGGATTGGGAAGTGGACCAAACTATTGTGAATTGCAGCGGAGAGTGGGCCTGGGCCGAGCGGTCTGTGCCAAAAAAAGTTCCGCAGCGATGCGAAAATGACATGATTGAACCGCGGCTTTGAGAAATGTCACGAACGTGACAATACCTGCAAAGAGGGAAAGTGTATTGCTGATGTTTCCTTATGTTTCCTTCCATTGCTGTAGACTTGTCGAATGTGTGGTTCAGGCGCACCCAGAGTTCATGTCCCAAAAATATACAGACAGACAAGTGTGCATATTTCTGTTACATACATGTAGGCAACTGTACACGCGTTATTAAGATATTCTGACGTAAGATTGGGGAATGATTCTAGAAGAAATAAATAGTTATAAATAGATATTTATATATAAATATATATGTAATTATATGTATGGATAATCTAATATAATCTCATACAACATAATATAATATAGTATAATACAATACAATACAATACAATACAATACAACAATATCTAATCTAATCTATTCTAAGCTAGTATAATATAATATAAGTATAATATGGTATAAAATAATATATTATATTATAATAGTATAATATAGTATAATATAGTAAAATATAGTATAATGGAGTATACTATAGTATAATATCGTATAATATAATACAATATCATAAAATAATTAGTATATTATATATATATATCAGAACATTAGTATGATATTAGTGTACTATAGTATGATATAATATAGTATAAATGTGGTGATGTGGTGATGTGGTGTCCTGGCGATGTCATGGTGATGTTCTTCTCCCCCTGGGTGTGACCCACAGATCGATGGATCCCAAGGTCGAAGAGTCGTTACTTGACCGCGGAAGGTCAGTGTGATGGGGCCTCAGAGTCTGTGCTGGGCTAGGCTTGGACCCACATGATTTTTCAGATAGGATTAGTGGCTATGTCAGGATTTCAGAAATTTAATCCATACTCAAAGTAGATTCGTTTTGTTGATACTTTCTCTTGGTCATCCAGTGCTCAAACTTCTCAAACCTGGGTCCTCCGCCGTTCTTGGGATTGGTCCGCCGGGAGCCGTCCTGGTGCATTTTTGACAGACCCATCCTTGACAAATGGGATAGCCACAAAACCTGCAAGAACACTATGACACACTTCCTTCCCTTCACCCGGCGAAAACTCACGCGACATTTTCTGCTGCCCTGAGCCGCAAAGGAGTATGAATAGGGACACTTTCTGATGGGGTCAGCTGAAGCTACAATCCGACACCTGTCCATAAATCGGAAACGTCTCATCTGCACTTCCTTTGATCTACATCTTTCAATCCGTTTGATATGTTTGATCATGTTTGATGGAATGTTCTAGAATAAGTTTGGCAACCCCGGGGTGTGTCCGAAAATGATCTATACCCCTAAAAAAAGCCATTGAACTGTCAAAATGACTAAACTTTATTGTCATATAGCCATGGGAAACTCTTACCTTCCTCCCCACGAACCGTGAATTTTCACCGGATAGCCAGTCCGCTCGCCATCGCCGCTCCTGATACTCTTCCTCAGCATCTGCGGAGTCCCAGTCCTGGCTTTTCGTAGTTTCCAATCCCCATGTTTGACCCGGAAAAATTGGGTATGGGTCAATACCTATAGATACCATTTTTAGTGGGATGAACATCCATAAATCCCAGCTATGACTTGGGGTGAACAAAAGGACCAGGGTTTTGACACACTGCCAATGTTTTGGACCAAAAAGTCGGTCAGAACACGAAACAAAAACAATGCCTCTCCCTCTCCGGTTAAACCACTTAAGGTTGATCTTGTGGTTTCCGAAATCACTTGAGTCTGGTCACGAAGAATGATGCTTCCCCGGCAAGTTGAAGATGTCATGAGCCGCGGTAAGGAAATGGACTGACCCTTCAGGAGCATTTCTATTTGGGTAAGAAAATGATTCCGTCCCAAAAGTATCAAAACATATCACAAGTCATTGGACCAACCAAGATAGACATCAAAAAAAACACAACTGAATATCTCCTGGTTGGTGGTTGAGCCCTACCTCTCTGAAAAATATGAAAGTCAGTTGGGACCATTATTCCCAATACAGTATATGGAAAGTCATAAAATTCCATGGTTCCAAACCACCAAGCAGATGATCATCTATAAATCACCAACCATTTCCAACATAACTCTGGAAAATCACATAAAATCAATTAAAATCACCATATTTTCAATGGGAAATCCACGAACTAAATGGAGATATCTGTGAATACCCCCAGGACCCAACATCGACCTCGCAATCAGCTGGTCCATCCCGCAGGGAACACATCACCTGGAGATTTTTGACATCCAAAGTCAGATCGACATCAAAACATCTATAGAAAATCATGTAGAATCTATAGAAAATCATGTAGAATCTATATAGTCTATAGATGTCTATAGTATCTATCAGCAATATCACCAAAAAAGAAAACGGCAAACAATCTCTGTTTCCGTTCCAGCATTTCCCCACCTGTGCGTGCCACCTGCTGGAAGATGAGCTCGACTCCTCGAAAAAACGCGTCGCCATGGCTTAAGCTATATGAAGTCATGGTCGTTTATGACTTGGATGATGAGGCCTGGGGCACAGTCTGACTATTTTAGAACGTCCAGAAAAAAACCTCTCATTTTGTAGGGATAGCACCTATTTCCGCAGGCAAATCATTGGTGGATTCAGTGGATTCCAACCATTTCCTAAGGCCAGCCGGCTGGGCCCCGGGGCCTCCTCGCCCCTTGACTTGCCTGAGTGTGGAAGATCTTCGCGGCTCACCATTCGAAAAAGCGGTTTTTACCATGAACCATTAAGGATACCCTCTGGTTATGTCAAAATAGCTATTGAAAATGGCCATTCATAGTGGATTTTCCCATTAAAAATGGTGATTTTCCATAGCTATGTTAGTTTACCAGAGGGTAACTGAGAATTATGTGTTCCCGATGGTAGTGAAAAATCCCTCCAAATGGTTGTTTCGCTGGGGTGTGCCCATCATGGCTATTTCTCCTTGAAACTCAAGTTCCAGGAATGATTCATGGTCTTCCCGTTGGGAATGAGAATGGGATAAACACAGGCCTGCAAATACCTGCAATCATCTTCAATCTTTCCGGTTGTTTCTTCGCATAATATGCTAATTTGTGTTGAGTTCAAAGGTGCCTGACGCAAAGAATTTCAGCCAAAAGAGACTCTTTCTATGATTTTCTATGCCTTGGACATCCTTTGACCATTGACCTCTAAGCATTCTGCGGACTGCGACCCATTTTTTTGTTCGTCAGTGAGTGGTGGCAAAACCAAATCTTTCTCAGATCCCCCATGACCCATGACGGATCCATGTATGTATGGTATATATGCTAACATGACTGGGGGATATTTATATGGTAAATGTTACCATTAATATATAGCAGCACCATGGATCCGTCATGGGTGATGATCTTTTAGCATCCCCACGGACTTTGCCCACTTTCACGACATAGATCCCTTTGAGCTGATGCCTGCAGTTGCGAGCGTGAAACTGGAGTTTTTAGCCCTCTTGATCACAACGAGATCACTGATGAAACCTTACATATTTCAACCACAAATCCACAGAAACCATCACATACTCTCTTTTTACAGATTTATAGTGTATAGACTAGTATAGATGACACCAGATAGTTCCAATCATCCACAAATAGCAGAAACCGTAGAAACCATTCAAGTTTCAACCATCTCATTTTGTTTCAGTGTCACGTGTTTTTTATGCCACAGCCATAGGGGCCATTTGTCAAACCGCAGTTTGGAATCTGGGGGCCCACCGGGTAATGTCGAGCCCATGCCGAAAGATCTGGATCCTGGGGCAAAGATGGGATGTTTGATCTTTGACGGGAGAATCCTCTATCAATGGAAGTTTATAGCTGGGATAATTCTCTATGGAGGATTCAGCAAGCCATGTTTGATTGCCATTTTGGGCAAGAGAAAAGATAGAAAACAAATGGCAGGACATGCGGATGTCACACTCAAAAAGTCTGGGACTACACCATCTTTGTCATAGAAATTGGAGAGTAGTTCTCTTGCAATGGCCAAAAGCTGTGGGTTCCAAATGGGTCCACAGCTGAAATGACTGATGTTTTGACGAGATATGCCGAGATAGGATCCTGTGGCATTTCTGCTTAGTTTTACCTTATGAGTTTTGGACAGGTTGTTTGATGCCTTGCCCCACCAAAAAAAAACACGGTAGCCGTTCCGAGATCCCAAAAGTCGACACAGCTAGGCACTCGGACATTGTAGCCAAGATCTTCACCCAAAGGAATGCGCAGGCAAAAATGAAAGTGGTTGAAATCGGATGAAATCGGCTGAATTTTGGGGTGGGGGTGGTCTGGGGGACATCCCTAAGCCAACCGAACACGACTGGTTTCACCAAGAACTGCAGCTTGGAAGGCTTAGAAGGGTCGGAAACAGGACTGGCTTCACCAAGCTTCGTTTCGGCCTAATCTAGACTGCTGGAGCCATAGTCAAAATCATCCTAAATCGTTCCGGTGTGGGCCAAGTGGCATAAACCCCAAGTCCCAAGTGGCATTTTTTGGAGGCAACAAATTGGCATGAGTTCCCTCGCAATCGCAGGGTCTACATGGAATTGGAGGAAACACTGGGGTATTCCAGGATTTCCAGGCTTCCACGAAAAAAAGGGGCTGCATAAGGCAGCCCTCTGGGAATCCAACATGGCAATAAACTCTCCGTTCCCCCATTGATCTTCACTATCCCATAGGATCCATGTATGCTATATATGGTAACATTTACCATCAATATACCCCCAGTGTTAGTATATATACCATACATGGATCCTATGGGTATGCATAGACGATGTTCCAAGATTTGCCATGATGTTCCTCCAGAAAAATAGGGAAAACTCAGGAAAGTGTAGATCACAAACGGGGGTACTGTAACCGGCCCCTCGTCTGCTGGCATGGCTTTTTCTTCATGCCGCAGCTCGTCAAACGGCAGGGAGCATTCCGCTGTTGGCACATCTCACCATGAATCAGCCACCAATCCTGAAGCCATGGTAGAGTGGGGATCCGGGATCTTATGGGAAATGGTGGAAATGGAATTGGAATATAACCAATACCATCTGGTTATGACTAACATAGCCATGGAAAGATCCACCATTTTATAGCTAGGTAAACCATCTATTTCTATGGGCCATCTATACCATGGCTATGTTAAATCACCAGAGGGTGAATACCAATGATATTATCTGAACTACCAAACGAAGCCATCTTGATCTAGCATTGGATCTAGCATTTTGGGGGCCCGGTGAATGGGATTTTGGCCAAGCGCAAAGCCAAGTTGACCCATAACTTTGTCAGGGTTTATGATGTTTATGGGGAATATAACTATAGCTAATTCCTACAAAGCAACTTAAAACTGGGAGAGCCTCACCTCAAAAACCTGCGATGCACATCTAAACATTTCAAAGACTCAACAGGTGGGTCATATGTCCTCTGGTCCATGTCGACTCAATTCTGCCAAATCTACAGGAATCAAAATATAGCAGTGTCCCGTAAATTTGGGGATCGAAAATATCGCAAAAATATCGCAAAAAATCAGAAGATGGTATCCCAAAATATTCTTATCCCCCTTCAAAAAAACCTTCATCGATGCTTTTGCACCATTTATTTATTCAGATAACAATGGGCCATCCCGCTCCGACGTGACCATCTCAATTTTGATTCAATGTTTTGCCATGTAAAAAAAAGGTGTCATATTATTGTGTGGTGTTGTTTTGTTTTTTGTTTTTTTTCGAAATTTTGAACAAAAATTGAGGGAAACCATATGAAACCATGGGATGAAACATATATATATATACTTGATTAATATATATATATATATCACATCATCCCATAAATAGTTAATATGACCATGAACCATATATATCATATATTAAATGATGTGGTCCATCTATTTAAATTGGTGTAAAAAAATATCCTACATCAATCCATTGGGATAAAAACCCCAATCAAGGGACCACTTTTTTTCATCACCGGTTTTTTTTCCACCGTCCCGCCCCGCGCGAACGGTTACGTTACATAATGATGTTGGTGTTATATCCGGTTTTTATCAACTGAGATGGTTACATAAAAATGCTGGTGGCATCAACTGTTGAAGCCCATTTTTCTTGGTCAAAAATCCCATCTGGGAAGTTGTTTATGTGTGTTTTTTCCCGGTTCAACATCTTTTTCACCATTGTTTGGCGACAAAAAAAAGCCTCATTGTGGTTATGGTCATATGGAAAAGCCCGTGAAAAGTACCTATTGAATATGGAACAGTACAAAATATACATAATATATTATATGATTGTAATACTATTCATATACTATTTCCCTATTCAATAGTATACTGTCATGTCCTTCCTCAAGTTCTATCACCGTCATCGTCAAACCTACCATCGGTTTCCCATGGTTTCCTGGGAATCCCCGTAGCATTTCAGATGTGGAGAAGCCCACGATTTGAAGATCATCTTCCCCGTAAAACCATGGGGAAAAAAAAAAAAACATCTTTTTGCATGTCGGGTCATATCCTCCAGTAAACCAACATAGCCATAGAAATTCGACCATTGATAGTTGATTTACAATGATTTACATAGTTCCATAGATATTCCCATTAAATCCTAGTAGAATCCTATTAAATCCCATGAAATCCTATGAAATCCCATGAAATCCTATGAATTCCTGCAAAATCTCCCTATTTTTGCGGTTTTTTGTGGCCACACGTGGGCCTCATCCCAACCACTTCGCGCCAGGGGCAACGTCCGCTGCCAAGGCTTACGCTGCAGGCCCGGCCAGTGGAGGATCTGCGCGGATCGTGATTTATGGTACATCTACGTATAAAAATAAGTACATATTCTACTATGTAATCTGTATGTATGTATGTATGTATGTATGTATGTATGTTTGTATGTTTGTATGTTTGTATGTTTGTATGTTTGTATGTTTGTATGTATGTATGTATGTATGTTTGTATGTTTGCATGTTTGTATGTTTGTATGTTTGTATGTTTGTATGTTTGTATGTTTGTATGTTTGTTTGTATGTTTGTATGTTTGTTTGTATGTTTGTATGTTTGTATGTATGTATGTATGTATGTATGTATGTATGTATGTATGTATGGTACATATTCTAGAGTATATATATAATAATTAACATAATATAGATAATCTCCTATACACATCTATACACAACTAAAAGAAATGCCTATGTTAAGAAAAAATGGTTTGGAAAACCCAACCAGTAGCATGCCAGTCATAGATAGCTGGTTCGGAAAAACCCGTGTTGCAGTTATAGCTGCTATATCTAAGCCATTTTCAAAATATGGGATCATCCCAGTGACTCAGTGGACTGGATCATTTTTCACAATGCTCCGCCGCCAAGTTGTGCACCAACTTAGGGAGCACCAACCATCACCGTCACCAACATCCCAAGGTTTTTCTCTCACATCCCAAGGGGGACCTTCGGTCGGTTGTTTCGCATCTGCCGGGAGAGCCAGGAAGTTGTGTTGCTGCCGCTGTCCAACGCAGACACCGCCTCAAACTTTGACGTCAGAGTGGGGACACTGAGGCGAACTCATCAAAAGAATTCGAGAGATATCAAAAGGAAGGAGGATTCAAGTAATTTATCAAGACTAGACTTATTCTGGATATCTATCACTGATTTGATCTAGTCTAGTCTGCCAAAGTGTCTAAATCAGGGTGGTTCAACGAGTCTCATTCCGTAAAAAAAATCGCCTTTTTGTGCCAGTCGGAAACTGGAGGTGAAAGGAGTCAATCAGTCCTAAAAACCAGCAGCAAATGAGACGAACAGTGGCCTATACCCTCTGGTAAACATACAAAAAACTATGGAAAATCACCATTTTAATTGGAAAACTCACTATAAATGGCCATTTTCAATAGCTTTTTGTATGTTTACCAGAGGGTAGTACCAAAAAAAACTCAATGATCATGTAGCACAGATTTCCTTGCATGGTTGTGTATGAATGTCATCACACATAATCATACTTATTTTTTTTCAGCACGTAGAGCGACGGATGTCGTTTGAGGATAATGCAAAAGGCGCGCGGACCATATCTCGTTTTCCATTCCGTGATCTCGTTTTCGCCCTCATGTACTTGTACGATCAGGTATGCAAATGTTCATGTATACACATACCAACATGCGTGTATAGGTGTACATGAACATATAGATACATTGTTATATAATATAATGTATATAAACATATATATATATATAATACACCATATATATATAACATATATACTATAATATACTATAATAAAATATAGCATAATATAATATAATGTAATATCATATCATATAATATAATATAATATAATATAATAAAATATAATAAAATATAATAAAATAAAATAAAATATAATATAATATAATATAATATACTAATGCAATATGATATTATAGTATATTACATTACAGTACATTACATTATATTATATAGAATATGATATAATATATACATCACATATATTTCATCGTATGTAAATTATTATAAATTGCTGTTTTCATGTACCAAACATCCAATCCAGCCAGGCCGTGTCGGATCTGGGTCCCCCCAGCCATCTGAAAGACCTCGAATGGTCAACTTTCGTTGAAATTATGGGGAAAACCTGGGGGTGTTGGGGTTAACGTAGCATATCTAGGTAATAGAGCAATTCAAAAATTGGTCAAAATTTACTAAACCAAGACGAACATGCACGAGTTCTCATGAGTTCCTATGCTAGAATGTACCAGGATGTACAATGTATGCAATCATAAATAGAGGACAGATTCATCTTTCCCCCTTTTCAACCACAGCCGAAGTGCGATTTTCTGCGAAGGTGGTTTCCCAAAGTGGCCAGGATTGAGGTGTCTGTTCAGGTATCCTAAAAATGGCCATGTTCAGCTGTTGTCATGAATCTTGTTGAATAATATGTTGAATAATATGTTGAATAATATGTTGAATAATATGTTGAATAATATGTTGAATCATGACTTTCGACACTGGATGAAAATGATGACATGGGGGGTTGGTGTTCGTTCTTCCCCGATGGCCCCTATTTGTGTGACCTAGGTGTGTTTTCCCATCCTTTTCCCTTCCGGCGCCAGACATGGGGAAAGTCGGCCAAAAAGTGGTAGTCCAAAGGCAAACGGCAGTGATCCAGGCCGCTCAGCTTTTCTGGAGTCAGGATCTCCTAGAAACCGCTTTAGGTCAGGTCAATGTTTTTTCTCCGGTTTTCAAATTGCCATCCAAACATTGACATTAACATCTGGAGATTTACCCTCTGGTTATGTCAAAATAGCTATTGAAAATGGCCATTTACAATGGTTTTTCCCATTAAAAATGGTGATTTTCCATAGCTATGTTAGTTTACCAGAGGGTAACATGTTGAAAGGATTCAATCAAATTCAAAGGATTGAACATTGATATTTTTGCTCACACTGTAGATTGGTAGAGGGGGATGCAGCATAGATTCTGCTCCTCTGCATGGAGCGGGGCCCAAACACTACCCGCCTAGGCCGACGGCAGAGGGTAGCTATGTACAGTATGTTTTCTGTTAGTGTTTGGGTCACTCCACTTGCCTAGAATGTCAATTCAAACGTGACATCAAGATCAGCAAGTTGCACATTTCAGACTCTCTGTTGAGTAAAGCCGAAACTACCAAGCACAGTCTCAGTTGATGAGTGAAAAAGACTAGACCTACATGAAGATGATACGTCACACCCCGTAGCCAGAAAGTCTGGTTGCAGAAGATGATGTTCATTGATTTTCCCCTCCAAGTGCAGGGCAAGGCCCTTTTCATGAGCCGCACAGCCTTAGCAGGAAAAGTTTGATTCTTCGAAAAAAAAAACAGGTCATTGCATCGGTCATTGCATCTCTTGTGAACACAGACACCAATCATAGATGGACAAAAAATGTCAGCCATTCGTGGTGCCAAAATATATCATCTGGTTATTTAACATAGCCATGGTATAGATGGCCCATAGAAATAGATGGTTTACCTATTAAAAATGGTGGATCTTTCTATGGCAAACTGTGAATGTCATAACCAGATGGTAAACCCTTCAGCCATTGGGTCACCAAAAAGGGGTTGAATCCCCAAGCGTTCGGATCCAAGCTTCACCCAACCAAGGACTGAATATGCCGGGCAGGGGACCCAAACTTAAAGAGGCCACACAAAAGTGGCTGTTGAATTCCCAAACTTCCCAAACATCACAAAATCAGGAGACTTTGCCAAAACATGTACTCGAGCTGTGTCATCCGATCGGCTGTGCTGCCCGGGCCCAAGAACTTGTTCTTATGGCTCCATCGAGCAAAGCCACGACGATCGGTGGCCTCCCAAAAAACGGACATCGGGCAGGTGATACATGGACCATGGAATGCCTACATTCAGAATGTACTATTGTAGGTTTATTGATCAATCAATTCCATGGAATGATAGTTATATTCACAATAAAAGATCAATAAACCATGGTGCATAAATATATATATATATATGTACTATAGATTTATACCATGGTACCATATATGTAGTATATATGGCTTTCACATCTTTTCGCATAGCTTTTTCCATCGACGCTTCAGCGCAAGATCTCCGGCGATCACAGCATCAGACCTGGCGGAAAGAGAATGACTGGCCGTTAAAAAAAAAAAAAACGCGGTTGGAAGAGTATAACAGTCCTGTAAGAGTCGGAAAATCCTCGCATCCTGAGGTAAAAATCCATAAAATGATGCCCACCGGATGCTCATGCCACTTAAATCCACTTTGTGGAAATCCATGTTGAAAGCTGTGGGCTCATTTGTAAATCCCTATGATGAAATGATGACCATCTTTGAATATGGGGATAAATAACCACAAAAAATGTGAATCCAACTATTGACGATGAGACGTCATGCCAGTTTGTTGATTTGTGTCAGGAAGGTGTCCTCGCTTGTTTTTTGGAACTGCCTGAAAGGAGCAGCATGGAGACCGCGAAGTGAGACCTGTAGGATTTTTCACCACTGCTTGTGCGATGGTAGGGCTGCCAGATAAGATGTCAGCTTGTGTATCCAAGTCGTATTCCACCTCCAAATCCTTAAGATCCTAAAAAAGATCCTCAAGATCCTTAAAAAAATCCTTAAACCTAAAGGTCATGGACTGGCATCAAATGTTGGAGAATTATTGAGTCCATAGGCATAGCATGGCATAGCATGACATAGCATGGCATAGCATGGCACGCGATATCCAGGTGCCCAGTGAATCGTCTCATCGTTGCATGTCCCCCAGGTCCAGTGCATCAAGCCACATCTGAGAAGCACTTTTCGGCTTCGGATCCTTGGCAGGAACCCATCAGAATCTGTCAGGATCTGTCAGGATCTGTCAGGTTGTTGGTACCGCCGGTCTACTGATCCTTCGTCAATGTGTCTACCCTCTGGTAAACATACAAAAAGCTATTGAAAATGGCCATAGAAATAGTGAGTTTTCCCATTAAAAATGGTGATTGTCCATAGTTATGTTAGTTTACCAGAGGGTATCCTTCCAGCATGATGATGGAATAATGCTTCAATGAAATTCAAAAAAAACTGTTCCATACTTTGCCACATCCCGTGCTGGGCCTTGTTCACATGAATTTGTCCAAAAATGAGGTACATAGTATATCCCAAATCCACAGCTTCATCATCAGCATCCAAACTGCCATCAAATGCTCCTATTCTCCAGACATGACATAACATAATGATACATAATGGCTATTGTTTTTCTATCGTCATTCATGGGTACCAAATTGCCATATAAAATGGTGGTATTCTCCATTTTCAGACACGACATAGCCATCCGTCACCCATCAACCAGAAATTTCTTGGCGCCCCGACACAGCACTCGTCGACGGTACACTCGGATCCTGACATGTTGCGAATCTCATCAGATTTAGCCTCTGGCTATGACTAACATAGCCATGGTATAGATGGCCCATAGAAATAGAGGTTTACCGTTCTTAAAAATGGGTGGATTTTCCATGGCAAACTGTTAGTCATAACCAGATTTAAGACATAGCAAGACGATTTTGCGGACCATATTTATCCATATATTTGACGTGTGAAAAATTGCCGCAGCTTGGTAGCTCAAAGATCTTTAAATATCTTTAAATGACAAAGATTTTGCAAATTGTGTGGCTCTCTTGACGAATTTAAAATAGCCTCTGGTAAACTAACATAGCTATGGAAAATCACCATGCTATTAATAGGGAAATCAATGGAAATCACCTATAAATGGTCATTTCCAGTAGCTATGTCAGCCATTACCAGAGGGTATCTTAAAAATCTTCAAAATGGCATCTTTAGGAGTGGATATCCTTCGCAAAGCATGGAAGGTTAGACCTTCGATCATCTGCAAATGGAGATCTGGTAGCCGTGGAGATCAAAAACCAATTGGGATGGGTCATATCCTGTAGGTCGCATGGAAAATAGTTGTGATTTATGGATGTTCCCGAAAAATCTACGCCAAATTCATGCACATATATGCACATCTTTGATCGCTTCAGATCCGTCCCCTGCTGATTCGAACATCCACCCCACCTTCGCAAAAGTCGGGAAGCTCCTGAGGTGGACTCATGGGCACCGGGTATACCCTCAATGGTTATTTCACATAGCCATGGTATAGATGGCCCATAGAAATAGATGGTTTACCCTTCTTAAAAATGTTGATTTTTCATGGCTATGTTAAATAACCAGAGGGTATCAATGGTTGTATCATGATTTTCCCCACGGCGCCATAGAATTGGGGGATTGTTTTCGTCGGACTGGGCTTCATGTCCGACATAGCACGTCGGAGCCACGTCCTTCTTCAGCACTTTCTCTTCTTTGGGGCAAACATCTTCCTCGCAAATCAACGGCTCAACCTACCGAGAGGCGTGGACTCAAATCTTCGGCAGGTTTTAAACAAACATTAAAAAAAAAAAACATCCCAGCAACCTCAATCCTGGGTGTCAGGTATAGACAATTATAGGATATTATAGGGCTATATATATATATATATCTCTATATATATATATGCAAAATATCTCAAAATATCACAAAATATTGTAAAATATTGTAAACCTAGCTGGGTTTAAGGTATTGGCTTTTGGCACAAGGTTTGTAATGATCATGTCCCCCCCAAAATGGGCCGCTGCATAAATAACCTGAAGTCGCGTCCGCCGGACCTTGGAACTCACCTGACCTCGCGATGTGAGGTCGTGATCAAATTTATCCATGTGTGTGTGTGTGTTAGTTAGCTTCTAATTTTAGCTGCTAATTTCCCAATGTTTCCCAATTTGGGTAGCACTGGAACCACGGTAGCATGGCCTCAATTTTGGTGTCAAACTCCTTCTTAGCGCAGCTCGCGCAACAGGTTGCGTGACTTCCAGTCCTCCGCACATTTCACAAGGGCAGCGCATTGGAAACGAAATCAAGCAGCTGACACTGTTACATCCTTCTCTCATCAAATTTCTTTGTTTGAATAATGCATGTTATATCATAATATATTATATGATATGATATTATATTATATCACGTCATAGTACATTCTCTCATATTACATTATATTACATTACATTATATCATATCATATCCTATCATATCATGTTATATGATATTAAATGATATAATATCATATGATATGATATTATACTACTATACTATCTATACTTCCTATCCTATCCTATACCACACTATACTATACTATATTATAGTATATCATATTATATTAAATCAGATTATTTTATATGAAAATATGTTATATCATATTACAGTATATTACATTATATTATATCATATCCTATCAAATCATATTATATGATATTGCATGACATAATATCATATGATATGATATTATACCATACTATCTATACTATCTATACTATACTATAGTATACTATACTATATTACATTATTTATTTTATTTCATTATATATTACATTTTATATATTATATTGCATATACATGTTATTATATATTGCATATTATCTATTATATATAATAGTATATATCTATATTATATTACATATTGAATATAATAATATATGTTATATGTTATATATTAAATATTATATATTATATATTACATATTAAACAATATTATTGTTTATATCATATATCATATATATATATTTATATTATATGATAGTTTAAATATAATATATTATGTGTTATATATCATATATTTAATATATATATATATTGTATATATATATTGTATATTATATACTATATACTATATATTATAGGTTAGATATAGTATAGATTAAATATAATCTATAATCTATTATCATTCATCACAGTATATATCATATTATGTATGGTTGGTTTGTTTTATCTTATTACATTGAAGAAATAAGATATTACATCACATTATATATCATATTTTATTATATATTCTATTAAATCATATATTGTATTATATCAAACAATATGATATCATATTATTTTATTTTATATTATTATCTATTATATTTTGTTAATTAAATCATATTATATTATGTTATTATATCATATATATTATGTCATATTATATATTATATTGTATCATATTATATTCTATATTATAAAGCATATTGAATCTTATTATCATATATCATATATTCTATATGAAAATTAAATACTATATTATATATCATATATCATTGATTATTTATTATATATTATATAGTTTGTATCATTTATTGTTTTTTATGTATTATATATTATACGTATATTAAATATTATATATTGTATATATTGTATATATTGTATATATTATATATATTATATATATTATATATTATACATTAATTATATATTATATATATATCATATATCATATATTATCTTGTCGTATCTTATCTTATATTTTATTATATTCTTTGAAACTAGCAGCCCCCAAACAAGAACAGAAACTTGCTTGGTCGGCATGTGCAGCGGCCACCTGTTTTGCTGGCGGTCGCTTGAGCCATTCGGCGTTCGAACGGCGGCATGATTGATTGAACCCAGCTGTGCACTGCAGTCAATTGGTTTGATCACCTATGTTGACCTGGATGTCACCTTCAGTTTCACATGCCTTAAGTTTTGTAGGTGTTAAATCGATTGACTGGCCGCGCATGACTGAATCCAGCCCATCATGCTTCATCCCTTTTGTTAAGGGGTCTGCTACCATGCGATCTGTGCTCGTCCACAAAAGCCTGGTTGTAGCATCTCCAGGGATGTGGTCGGTGAGGAGAGGGTCGCCCACCAGTTCGCCAGGTGCTCGCCAAACATGTTGTCGGATTTGGGAGAGGTCTATGGCCAGTCTCTTGTCGGAGACCACGCTCGCACCAGATTGATTGCAATGCTCCCACAGGGATCGGCAATCAGTGAACCAGTCGACGCCAATTGCGTCTTGGGCAGCCACTTCCCAATCTTGTCCACGTCCATCAGGATGCCATAGTCCATAGAGGGAGAAGCGTAGGTGGTCAGCTTCTTCAGCTCCATGAAGTAGGCTGAGTGTTTCAGCCTGTAGCGTGCTGCGGCATACTCGCTTCAGGACAGTGGAATGCCATTCGATCGGTAGCAAGATACCTTTTCGGGATGTCTGAAAGCTCTTGTCGGCCAGGAAGAGAAGTCGGCCAGATTGGCTGCGATGTCCCAATCTTTTCCCCGATCCACTTACATCAAAGTCAGCAGCGTGGGAGGCGTCCTGCACGGCCACAATCCTGAGGTTGTTGAAGTCAAAGCAGCCAGATGGATAGAATAGTCCCTTGGCCTTCGTCTTCTGGGCGTAGCGGATAACACCATTGGCGTACTTGACGTCGTCCATGGTGGCAGTGTGCACGGTGCTCTGCATGCGGCAGACAGCGTAGCTCAAATCAGGGCGGCACACTCGTGCAAGCCATGCCAGGGATCCAATGATGCTGCGCAATTGGGATCGGATGTCTTCTGTCACAGGCTTGGAAGGTTCTCGCCTGTCACCAACTGAAAGGTAAATGGGCTTGACCTTTTCGATCAGCGTGGGGCATGTAATGGATATGCCTTCAGCTGTTCTCTTCACATCTCTTCCACAAAATCTGAACTCGTCAATCTCCAGCTTGCCAAACTTGAACTTCTGGCAAATACGGTCCATCTTGTCCATGATGAACTGGTTGCCAGTCCAAATCATATCATCAACATGAACAACCATCATGCCTGCCAGTTGCCCATCATCATCCAAAAGGGTGTAGGCGGCTGGCTCAAATGGCACTTGTTTGAAACCTTCTTCCTTCACAGTCCCATCCAAGACCTTGAACCATCCTCGGGGAGCATCTTTCGTTCCGTAGACGGTGGAAGAAACGATGTAGTACTCCTCCTCATAGTTGATGGTCCCATCATCGCTGGGAATTCCGCCCTTTGGCTTTGAGAGTACCAAGATGCGGTCGAGGGTACTGCCTTGAAGAAAGGCTGCAGAGATGTCTCCTGCTCGGAGGGATGTTCGCTTGCAAGCTGAAAGAGCGAACACGCAGTTCAGCATAGTGGTAGATGCCGTTGGAGAATCTGTCCTCATAGAGGTAGCGTTTTCCAAATCACCTCGGACAACCAGCCTGGATTTGTATCGAGGCTCCTCGTCAATCTCTGACTTGTTCACATCCACCCATCTCGTTGGGATGACCTTCAAGGTCGGGTTGTCCTTCTTCAGCTTCTCCAACTCATCCTTGCTAATGGCCTTGACGTCGGTGTACTTGACCCAATTGTTCCATTCCTTGATCCTTGCTTGGATCAGCTCCTTCTTCACCGCGTCGTCTTCCTTCTCAAAGTTCAGCTCTCTTCCGGCTCCAGCTTTCTGTGGTTTCTTCTTGACCTTGCGCTTCTTGTTCTCGGAGCGGTTGGCCAGGAAGCTGTACATGGAGCGGTTCTGTGAACCTCTCGAAAAATGGCCGTCAAGCAGATCCGGACTCCTCCGCAGGGCCTGACTTAAAGAAGTCGTTGTCGGCTCACCTGCTGGCAATGGAGTGTGCCCGGCAGCGACAGCAGAGGTACTTGTTGCCGGAGTGACCTCTGGTTCCGGTGGACTGGGTTGCGCCGCGGTGGGAACTTCTTGTTGCTGTTGTCCCGCAACCGGTGATGATACTTCAGGATCACCATCCATCTCTTCTGGAAGATCGAGTCCAGGAGGTGGTCCAACAGCTTGTGCGGGAAGTCCAGGAGGTACAGGTAGTCCACCATGTTGAAAAAGTCCACCTTGTAGGCTGTCCGATGGTCCAGGTGCACCAAGTCGGGGTGCCACAGTCCGACCTGAATCATCTTCTTGTAGATCTGCATATGGCGATTGGCCTGGATCACGTAGGTTCTGGGCGGTGACCAAGTCCTCGTCGAAGGGCATTGGATCATCATCGAGCTCGTCCAGGTAGAGCATGCGCTTCCGCTTGCGTGAAGGGCGAAGCTCCAAGACGTGCTTCTTGAGAATCTCCTGGCTTGTTGCTGGTCGGCAAGCTGTCTCAGCAACCAGAACGGTGACACCATTGTGCACCAGCCAGAGACTTGATCGTCCTTCGTTTGCAAGAACTCGTGCAGGTCCCAGCCATCGATCCTTCTTGAGGAATGAAACCAGATCACCAGGTTGATACGGTCCTCTCATAGGAACGCTTTTCCTCAGAAGACTTTTGCGGATCTTCTGACAAGAGTCGGCTTCCATGTAAGCCTGTTTGGCAAATTGCCTGAGCAACAGCTGCTTCTGGAAAACATCTTGGGGTCCCCTTTCATCCTCCTCCATTGAAACCAAGTTCTGATGGACACCCATGTTCTCATCGAAGTCGCAGCTGAAAATGCTTGTCTTGTCCTCGGGCATGAAACCCATGACCCATTGGGAAGGCGTGTAGCCAGCATGGTTAAGCAGGCTGTTCTTCACCTTGGCGGCCTCGCTGCAAAGTGCGGCGATGTCATCTGCTCCTTGAAGTTGTCGTTCATGAATCACACGCTTCATGATCTCCTTGAGTAGTCCTCCGTGTCTTTCTCCAACTCCAAGTTGAAATGGCGCACGGGCAGCAGTTTGTCTGATGGTCGTGCCATGGGCCTCAAGCAGATGTGCCACCTTTCCTCTGTTGTGTACTCCTTGATCACAAACGAAGTAGTCAGGCGCTCCTGCCCATGAAAGCCAGGTGGTGTTGATCATCTGGGCACAGATCCTTGAGCTAGGAACACCACCACCACCAACTCGTCCAGCCACATGAAATTTGGTGGCAACATCCACCAGTGAAAGAACGCTGTGTCGGGCTCCAGCGGCATCATGTACTTCAAACACGTCAGCCGACACCTCATAGTTGAAACGCTGTTGGTGCGCTGGCCTTGGTGGTTTGGTGACATTGGCTTTCTCCTCCTTGGCAGTCTCAGCGCAGACTTGACATTGGAAGAACTTCACAGCTTGGATCACATCTCGATCGCTGCCAGATGCCTTGAGCATGCGTGTCATCGCAGCGTGAGAGCAGTGGCCTGTCATGTTGTGAAGTCTCCTCAGAGCTAATCGCTTCTCTCTGGGCAGTTTCAGCCAATTCTGTCGTCGATGTTCTTCTTGTTTCATAGCCACATCAGGCATGTCAGCCATAGTTGCATCCTCCTGCATCTTTTCCTCCATCACGAAGTCAGGGTCATCAGTCCTTCGTCGCTTTGGTATTGGAGCAAGATCATCTGGATTGAAAACTCCATCCAATGGTCCTTGTTCTTGATGTTCTTCAACCTCCAGCTCCGCCGGGAAGGCCATGTTGAGGTTGCCATAGATCATCTCATCCAGAGCTCCTCCAAGAATTTGTTCGCAAAGTTCAGGAGGCCATTGTTCGGCAGTCTTGCTGATGTTGGAGCCTTCAATAGGTCGATGTTGATGGTCTTTTCCACAACGTCGTTGAAGTCGGAGTTTCATCCATTCAGATGCAGTAAGAAGGCCAGTTGCCTTTTGAAGAGCAAGTCCTGTGCTGGGGTCTCGAAGTCCATATTGGCACTGGTCAATGTGCATCAGTTCCAAGTGCTCGCCGGTCAGGGCATTCTCCGGGTTCTCGGCCATGAGGTCGTCGATGCACTTGAGCTCCCATAGAAGTCCATAGTACGGGCTCTCCAGGATCACTTCTCGACCTTTGCCAAGTCGGTCCTTGATCAAGTTGACGATCCATTGGATCACAGGGTACCATTTCTTCCGATCTTCCAAGATCTTGGCTTGAGTTTCTCCACCACGTGCCAAGTTGATCCGTTGCATAGTGCTCCAAGGTCCACAAATGGGCGCAAGACTCAGCAGGAATGGATCTTCAACCTGAATCCTTCGTTCAACCTCAGCTCGATGTGCGGGCTTCAGGAGGTCATAGTTGTAGAGGCAGTCAATGGGTTCGGACACAGGCAATCCCCAGGAAGCGGCCATCCAAGTCAAAGTAGCAGCTCCTGCGAAGATCTCCATGAGGAAAGTGCCACAGCCACGGCTCAAAAGCCGTCGAGAAGCTCCAGGTTTGATTGGCTTCTCTGATCTCAAAGTAGACCACAAGGCTGCGTCCTCCTTCTCCACAGTCTCCAAAGATTGCTGCAGCTTCTTCTTCTGGCCCTTTGTCATGGCCTTGATGGAACACTCCTCCAAGGAAAGATAGCCCAGCGTGTCCTCCTCTTCAATCTCAGCTTTTGGTGAATCGCCGTCGTTGGTGGATTCCTCCTCGGTGTCCACATACACAGGAGTCTCGTTCACGTCAGAGTGGAAGACGTAGTCTCCTTCTCGATGTTCACCAGGAAGAAGTCGAAGAGCAGGTAGTCCACCGCGGTTGATCACCTCCAAATCTCCATTCATAGTCTTGCTGTAGATGTTGACATCCTCGTCATGGTCGCCCAAGTCGATGGTGAGGCCAAGTGCTCGTTGTGCACGTGTGCTCAACAGAAGTGGGGCATCGCTCTCCTCCAGCTCCGTTGAGACAATTGTTCCATGTCCTTCTCCACCATCCTTCAGCTGGAAGACCACAGGAATACGTCGCTGTCCCTTCACCTTGATCTTTCCACCAACTCCCAAGTAGTTGCCGGTGGTCTGCTCCAAGGGGATGTCGAGGTTCATCATCTTCTGGTAGGAGTCGAACCACCTTGATCCATGGCAGGTGTTGTTGCAGCCAGTGTCAATGACTGCAAGCATGCTGTCTTCAGGTAGTCCTTCTCCATGTATGGCCATAAAGGAAGCATCACCTTGGCGCTGATCCATCAAGATGAGGTAGCGAGCAAATTCGATCAGGCTTGGTTCTCTGAGTCCACCAGTCTGGTACTTCTGGACGATGAAGGCGCAATAGCGTCGGTCACCACTTCTGACAATTCCAAATCGGACTCCACTGTGCGCACCACTCTTGAGTGTCTCATCTTCCCATTGCTCCAGCTCCTCGGCCTTGACATCTCGTGCCACATAGGAAGAACTGCTTGCCACAGAAGTCCTTGATGGCGTCGGTGAAGGCGGCGCCGATGAAGCGGTTGATCTTGGTCGCGGTGGTGAAGTCGCAGTCACTGTCGTCGGAGAAAATCGGTGGGATGTAGTTCCAGATCTTGACATCGATGCCGTCGGGTCAAAGTTGGTGCCATAGACTCGATTCCGGCACTTGTTGTAGATCACATCCAGCTGCTCCGCACCGATGGGATTTTGGTTCGTCAGGTCATACTGGACACCGATGGCAATCTGCATGAGTTCGATCACCCGGCCTGGCTCATCAGTGGCATGCGGTGAAGCCGGACTGGGAGTGTAGCCAGAGCTTGACATAGGAGGCAACGACGGTGGCGTCGACGTGTCATAAGCTCTCCAAGCAGCTTCTCCAGTCTGTCCAGGTTGCTTGTGGCCAGTCCTGGATTCTCCACAGTCTTTGCATGTCCACTTCCAGCTCGTGCCAGTAGTCCCACGGAAATCCTTTCTCACATGCGGGCATTCATTCCGATCTCTTGTCTCCATGGAAGCGGCAGCTTCTCTTGCTTCAGACTTCAGCAGCTTTCCACAGTCCAAGCACTTCTCACGCAAGGTGTGGGCATTCGATCCTTGCTTCGTAGTTCTCTTGTGCTCACATTCACGTTCAGCAGGTCCAGAAGGCGGTGTAGAGAAAACCTCAGCAGATGTAGATCTTGCAGTGGGCGTTGGGCTCGTCGCTGCAGGTGTTGGCATTCTCATTGGTGTAGCCGGTGCAGGTTGTAGAGCAACTTGCTGTCCAAAAGCAGTGAAGGGAGGCGTCATGTCGTCATAGTCCATGTCATCCTCAGGAACTGGCACCAAGTGCTCGGCTGCACGGTGATGCACCAGCTGCATATCCGGTGGCAGTTCATGAGGGTGAAGAGCAGCAGGTTGGGCAACAGCTTGATGAGGTACTCCACCATGTACAGGTAGTTCAGGAAGTCCACCAGGAAGAGCATGAGGGTTGGTCGCGGCAGCAGCTGCAGCCAATTGCCTTGCATGATGTTCTGCAAGAGCTTGATCCAACATCTCATCAGCAGTCAGCTCTCGTCCACCAGGTGTAGGGTTGACAGCCATGTAGGACTCCGCATTCTCCGATCCATCACCATTGTAGCCAGTGTACTCATTCACAGTGAAGTAGACCATGCGGGGCTTCGGAGATCCTTTTCCAGGGCTTTTGCCACCTTTCGGACTTCCACCTCCAGAAGAAGTCGGTGAGTTCGGTCCAGCTCCCTTGCCATAACCTTGTCGGTTCTTCGGACAAACAGCATCCGTAGACCAATGGCCTGTCTGTCCACATCGGCGACAGACAGTTCGCTTCTTCAAAGCTTCGATTCTTGCCTTCTTCTCATCGTTGGTCATACGGCTTTTGCCTTTGCCTTTGCTCTTGCCCTTGTCCACGAATCCTCCAAATCCAGCAAGTCCTGCATGTTGTGCTCGCTTGTGGGCGAAGTAGATCTCACCTTCAGCTTGGATGATCTCGGCGGCATAGTCCAGGGCCTCGGTGTTGTGCTCGTCCAAGCCATACTCCACAAGATTGGCATAGGAGTCGATGTAGGGGTCCGCATCCTCGTAGTGCTCCTCAGTGTTGTAGTTCTCCCCATCATAGGTGCTCATCGTCGATCCATAGTAGCTGGATTGGGCTTCATCTTCATAGCCACCCAGCGATTGCGATGAGTTGTCCCATGATTCTCCATGCCATTCTCCATCATCTTCAGCGTGGTATGACTGCCAGGGTTTCTGCAATCGAGAGGGGTAACGATTGCCTTTTCCACGTCCTCGTCCATGACTGAAGTCACCACCACGTCTCGCCTCGATCTCGTGGATGCGGCTGTGCTGAGCGATCAACTCATCCATGACAGAGTTGACCGTGATTCGTCCTTGAAGTGCAGTGCGGATCATCAGCTGATGATCATAGTTCAGCCCAGCGCACACCAGAGTCTGCTCGGCCAACAGGTTGTCAGGCAGCTGCAGGGAGTCGTCAAGGTCGCGCAGCATGGCATACCAAGTCCGTCTCCTCAGGCAGAAAGACGTCATAGATTCAGTAGGTTGCCTGGACAACACACCGTTGGTCTGAGCTCCTGCGTTGTAGAGCTCACGAGCTTCTTGATCTCTTCGAGGCTTGAAGGCTTTGTAGAGCGTGTCCACCAGCAAGGTCGGTCCATCGTCAGTTGCCAGCTTCTTCACATCTAGTCCTTTGGCGACTTGTAGAGCTTGTCCACGAAGTCCTTCGATCAACCTCAAGCCTAATGGCCCGAGTTTCTTGGCTTCTGTCTGGTCCATGGCAGCTGTACGGGCTTCCATCATCTTCACCCGGAAGCTGTACTCGGCCAACTTCGCCGCCTCGCCGTCATAGCGTGGCACGCCATTCTTCCCCTCAGTTCCAACCAGGTCGTCGGAGGTCTGGTTGAAGTTGCGCCAATGAAGGCATTCCAAAGCAGACATGGCTTCGGAACCGTGACCTAAGGTCAGTGCAGGTTGTTTTGGGGCCCACCTAGCAAACCGGTCAGTCAACCAACGTTGCCAACAGGAAACCAAATGTCCCCAGGAGTCGATGCTCCGCTGCCAGTTTGAAACTAGCAGCCCCCAAACAAGAACAGAAACTTGCTTGGTCGGCATGTGCAGCGGCCACCTGTTTTGCTGGCGGTCGCTTGAGCCATTCGGCGTTCGAACGGCGGCATGATTGATTGAACCCAGCTGTGCACGGCAGTCAATTGGTTTGATCACCTATGTTGACCTGGATGTCACCTTCAGTTTCACAATTCTTATATTTTATTATATTGTATTATATGTATAAATATATATATGCACATGCGCGCGCACACACACATAGTACATGTATTGGAGGATTTCGTATTATACCGTGAAACGTCAATACCCACATCATACACTAGATTATGTATGCAATGCAAGCCTCATTTCATTGCGGACTGTTTCTGTCTCAATGAAAAATCCATAATGCCATTTCCAACTTTGGCCTTGGAAGGTGCTTAGCCGGTTCTGCCAAGGATCGCAATAGTTGTGCATCCGACTCCAGCATTATGATCAGGAGTATTGCAATCGTTTTCATTGTTGGTGATCTCAGTCGGTCATCGCCGGAGATGCTGGAGGACGAGGTCACAACATCAAAAAGGACTCGGTCGCAGAATTTTTGGATGAAAAAGTTGGTTTTGGGTGGGAAACTCGCCATCATCCCCAATAAATATCAATAAATGGCTGGTAGAAACCATCCCAATCACAATGCAAATTCGCGGTTTGGGGCTCCGGACAAGTCCAAAGCGACATTTACGACTTGTGGCTCTTGATTGGAAGCCCATAAGGTTGCAATGGGGTGCGAAGCAATGTGCAACACCTGAGCACGCCCAATCTGTATTGCTGATATCCCAAAGCAAGCTTTCTGCAAATTGACCTCATCTACAAATATGAAGAACTAAAAGGGAATCATTCTATGATGGGAATTAAAACTCTTCAAAATACAGAACGGATAGTCCGAGAACTGCAAATTATGGATAGTGAAAATCCAATGTTTACTGGATCCTCGCAAAATCATCATAATGTGTCGCTACTTTCTCCGGTACAGAGTGTGACTTCGATCCTTGCTTCGGAACACGCTCCAAAAGAGTAAGAACTCAGGGGCAGGCTCTTGACATGGCTCTTCAAAAATTGCTTGCCAAAAACTCATTTGTTCTGCTATATATATATATTCCCAGTCTACAGCCAGATGAAAATCCAACGATTCACCCGATTCACCCGATGCACGACAGTGAAAACTCGTTTTGTGTTTGGGGCACTGCGCCAGTGATTCACATCTCCCAGGACTTGATGAGCTCCGGTAAAGAGATCCTGTAGAGACTTCTCTCCATTCGGCTTGAGCTTGAAAACTCCTGCGCAGTTTTTTGTTGTGAACGAGCTATCTTAAATGTTCAATTCAGGGAGAGTTTTAGGATGTTTTAATATGTTTTAGGTATTTATCAGATTTTACATCAGTATACATTGATGATCAATGGTGCAGCCTCTGGAGGCGCCCACGAAGGTAATCTTCACACTTTTGGCTTTGGCGCAGTAAAACCTGGGACGAACCGAGACGGAGAGGGGATTCAGACGCCGTCTTGATGCCGAAATGTCTGAATTGGTTGGGATGACTTCGGATTCTATATAGAAATTGATTACCTGGACGTTGGATTTGGGATTATGATCCATTTGATTCATCAATCTGATGCACCAAGAGGCTTTGTCTTCTGGTCCCCACCGGAGTCGTACCTTCGTTGGAGGGGAACCGGTGCGCCAATCTTCAGGAACACGCCGTGAATCTGCAACATCTGCACGAATAAGTGGCTCTATAACCATAGTTGTGGCTGTAGGATCCCAAGTTATGGGGATTATATGGGATTATAATGATTATAATCCCAGGGTTATATCATGTTATAGATATACATACATATTATAATATATTACATTATATTATATTATATTATATTATATTACATTACATTATATTATATTATATTATATTACATTACATTATATTATATTATATTATACTAAATTAGATTATATTGTATTATATTATATTATATATTATATTATATATTATATTATATATTATATTATATTATATATTATAGTATATTATATTAGATTAGATTATATCATATTATGTTATATTATATTATATATTATATATTATATATTATATATTATATATTATATATTATATATTATATATTATATTATATTATATATCACAGTATAGTATATTATATTATATTATAATATATTATATTGTATTATATTATATCATATTATATCATATCATATTATATTATATCATATTATATTATAATATAATATTATATATATATATATTATACATATTCCATGTACACCATGAGAAACCCATGTTTCTCTCACCCCATCTGATTTTCGCTTAGCTTAGCTCTGCGGAGCTAAAGCTGAATTCCAAGTGGCTCTTCGCAGGAGTCCCAACCCGCCCAGGCATATTTCAGCGGTCCCTCAGGTCGGCTGGTCGTGGAGTCGTGGAACACGGAAGTAGCCACGGAAAAGACACATGTAAAAAAAACCATGCATACATGCATTATACTTGCATAGACATAGACTTAAATGAATGTTAGTATAGACAAATAGACACATAGTTTATATATATATATATATACTGAACTAATAAATTACAACTAATTATGCCACATTAGTTATACAAATTATGTAAAATTATGTATACAAATAGACAAATAATATGTCTACTGAACTAATAAATCACAACTAAATGGACAAATGGATGTTGAACGGCTGACTAATCCAATGCTTCACGGAACTTGCATCTGCTTCACATAGAGGGCCAGCTTGAAGCTCGAAGTTTCATCCTGCGAGGTGTTGCTTGCCGCTACCTGGGCGCAGGATGTCCCCACGTGGCCATTGAAATATTGAAAGATGTACTTCAAGTCGTTCCCTCAACCCAGTGACTGCCAGTGACCCAACCTTTCCAGATGTTGTTCAAGTCACTTCCTCTATCAGCTCTGCTTGCGGCAGATGCTTCCCGGATCGAACCAGGTGCTTTCCTGCGCGGAAAAGCAGTTCCCAGGTGTTCCTGGAACGTTCCCTCCCGTGGCCTGCTCTGGCACTTACATCACCCACCTCAGCTGGGAAGCCACCGAAAACCAAAATCTTTTCAGGTTTGACATGTCCAAAGTCCACAAGATGCTGCGCGTTCTTCTTTCCAAAAAGGTAGACACGTGTCTTGCATTTGAGTTCCTTTGAGTGTCCAATGATTCCAATGCCTGGATATGCTGAGGTTTTCTCCATTCGGACTGAACTCCGGGAAGGAGCAGTGGCACTCCCGACACACCGTACACACCCCAGAGTTGAGGCCTGATGTTCTAGTGAATATATCAGGCGACCAATTCCCATCATTCTCATCATTTACATGTTGCTTCACATCCCCAAGGCTACCCTCCACACCAATGGGAACTAAACCAACTTAGCGAGCTAAGGACTTGGGGCATCACCTACGTATAGATATCTCCTAATTCATCCCCCCAAAAAAAAGTGTTGGGTAAATCCCCGTTGTAGATAGTGAAATCCATTGAAATCCTATAGTATTCCTATTACCCTCGAGTTTTCACGAACAGTTCAATCTGGGCAACCAGCTGTATGCTTTCCTGGTGAATTCGCCGATGGAAACCTGCGAATTAAGATCCCCATAGTCTTATCTAACTGGATCACTTCAAAGTTAACTGGATCCTCTGAGAAACTTCGAATACCTTTTCAGCTATGAAAAAATTATTCTGCTTACATTACTTCCCTTTACCTGTACCCTCTGGGATTAAACAGTTCGCTATTGAAGCCATGGCAATGGTGGAAAAGAGGGTAAACATCCATGTTTTCTCAGATTATTCATGAAATAAACCATCCACTAGGGGATCCCCCATGGAAACCCCCACGCTGTAGGTATCTGCAGGGTATATCCCCCGCTGGGCGTTCCAAACGCTGCCATCTACTTGGATCACTGCAGATGATCCGCTGCTTGCCGGCTGAAGCGCCGCCATCATCACAATGGCAGCTGTGCGCCATGTCATCACCTGACCCGGTTCCGGATGCGTGGGATCCAAAAAATGCTGTGTACATACATAGTCATTTCATGTCTTACGTTATGTTAGTTTCACGTGATTTACATTATAGTATAGTCTGGGATGGTATAGTATTGGAATTAGTATTATTGGAAACTTAGTACTTGCATTGGTGTTAGAATGTGTATTGGTATTGGCACATGTTTTTGTATTTGCATTAGCATTAGTATTATTCTGGTATGATATATCAGATTATGTTACATTATATTATGTTACATGGTATTACATTAGATTTTATGCTGCGAGTTATATAATAGCATGTTATCTTATATTGTATCATCTTATAGCATACTGAACTAACAGCAGCTACTTACGCTCCTGGAAGGATCTGTGATGTGAGGTGGCTCTAATTCATCTGTATATACATATATGTATGTGTATGTGTATGTGTATGTATATGTATATGTATATGTATGCATGTATGTATGCATGTATGTATGCATGTATGTATGTATGCATGTATGTATATGTATGTATATGTATGTATATGTATGTATATGTATGTATATGTATGTATATGTATGTATATGTATGGTATATGTATGTATATGTATGTATATGTATGTATGTGTATGTATATGTATGTATATGTATGTATATGTATGTATATGTATGTATGTGTATGTATGTATGTATGTATATGTATGTATATGTATGTATATGTATGTATATGTATGTATATGTATGTATATGTATGTATATGTATGTATATGTATGTATATGTATGTATATGTATGTATATGTATGTATATGTATGTATGTATGTATATGTATATATGTATGTATATGTATGTATATGTATGTATATGTATGTATATGTATGTATATGTATGTATATGTATGTATATGTATGTAATGTATGTACTGAATGTATGTATGTATGTATATGTATGTATATGTATGTATGTGTATGTATGTGTATGTATGTGTATGTATGTGTATGTATGTGTATGTATGTGTATGTATGTGTATGTATGTGTATGTATGTGTATGTATGTGTATGTATGCAGTCGTATGCATGTGTATGTATGTGTATGTATGTGTATGTATGTGTATGTATGTGTATGTATGTATGTGTATGTATGTGTATGTATGTGTATGTATGTGTATGTATGTGTATGTATGTGTATGTATGTGTATGTATGTGTATGTATGTGTCTGTATGTGTATGTATGTGTATGTATGTGTATGTATGTGTATGTATGTGTATGTATGTGTATGTATGTGTATGTATGTGTATGTATGTGTATGTATGTGTATGTATGTGTATGTATGTGTATGTATGTGTATGCATGTGTATGTGTGTGTATGTGTGTGTATGTCTGTGTATGCATGTGTATGCATGTGTATGCATGTGTATGCATGTGTATGCATGTATGCATGTGTATGCATGTGTATGCATGTGTATGCATGTGTATGCATGTGTATGTGTATGTGTGTGTGTATGTGTATGTGTGTATGTGTATGTATCTGTATGTGTATGTATGTGTATGTATGTGTGTGTATGTGTATGTATGTGTATGTATGTGTATGTATGTGTATGTATGTGTGTGTATGTATGTATATATATATATACACCTTTTTTAGATTTACATAGCTTCTGCTTCCACAAGATTTCCACACCCTTCAACGTGTGCAGCCACACATACAATGTCACCCTGTGATGACAAAAGACTACCGAAGACTACCGAAGACTACCGAAGACTACCGAAGACTACCGAAGACTACCGAAGACTACCGAAGACTACCGAAGACTACCGAAGACTACCGAAGACTACCGAAGACTACCGGTAAAGACAACGAAATTGATACGTGCCCTGGTCAAAACATGGTATGTGGTTTATGGTCATCCATCCCATAATGGGAATCCTGATGCAATGGCTATCCCTATTGGTGGATTGATTGCCATCCACCAACATGGGTATACAATCAGTCTTTTGACCATGGCACATACGAGAAACATATATATATGTATGAGTATGTGTACATATACATATGTGTATATATTTAAGATATATATATGTATGGATTCGCGTCCATGGAAAATTTGAGAATGGAAAATATCATCAAAAGATAAGTGTCCATTCTTTTTCCATTGCTGCTCAATAATCATCCATGTCAGTAATATAAATAATGACTAATAATGATAGTAACAATAAATAAGAATGATAATCAGCATCAATTGTTATCATTTTGGCATGTGAAACTCTGGGCCACAGATTCCAGCAAACCTCCGACCTTCTGTCGGAAAGATGTAGAAAGGATCCGCAAAACAACTCATGGCAATTTGAGCCACAAACGGCTGCCTTGTTCTGGTATCTTCTCTGCAATACATTCTTTTGCAAAACAAAAAATCTAGCAGTTTTAGTCTGTGCAGTCCGGGACCCTTTGGATTCTTTGGATGATGGACTGGGTATGATGTTGGTCCAATGTTGGTCAATGACTTCCACTGATGTCGACCCGACCCGATGTCGAGCGACAAAAAAGACCGGACCTCCAGTAAAAAGATGTCCAGGAACTGCTGAAACGTTGGGAAGCTTCCCTGGAGCAAAAAAAAAAAGACCAATGGTCCATTTATAGTGGATTTACTCATTGATAGCATGGTGATTTTCCATAGTTATGTTAGTTTACCAGAGGGTATGAGAGGCCACAGTAAATGACTGGTTGGTGGCTGACCTACCCCTCTGAAAAATGATGGAGTGAAAATCAGTTGGGATGATTATTCCATTCCCAACTGAATGGAAAGTCATAATCCAGCCATGTTCCAGTCACCACCAACCAGTTGTGAATATAGTAAGTCAGTTGCAGCACATGATGATGATGATCTGAGCAGTACACAGCTTACAAATACCCTCTGGTAAACTAACATAGCTATTGAAAATGGCAATTTATAGTGGATTTTCCCATTAATAGCATGGTGATTTTCCATAGTTATGTAAACGTTTACCGGAGGGTACATACAAGGCCCCCATCTCAGCCTGAAATCTCAACCCTACCGTAGATATGGAACATCGTGGAACACAACTGGAGTCCTCTGCATAGTGCTGCAAGCGCCCACGAAACGCGTCTGTGGCGGCTACTGCGCGCATGTACTGCAGGAACTCTGGGTCTGGTCGTAGCGTCATGACCTGAGACACACAGAAAATCGGATCCCAAAAAACTCTGGGGAATAAAAAGGTCATGAATCTAAGTGAAGTGTTTAGATGTAAAACTTTTCCAGTTTGTTTTCCGTTGAGATCATAGAAATTTATGAGGGTTTTATAGGTTTGATCATGGTGTATCCCTTTTATGGGGGTATCACATGACTGGTGCCCCATGCAGTTGATGCTTGAAGTGCCGGAAACCATGTAGGCAACTGCACAACTAAGGCCGTGACACCGGCGTTCAGCATGTAGGTCCGACCTCGCGAGCTGCTCATCTGCTCCTCTGATGGCTAGCGTTATCAAATTCATCGTATTTGACCATATTATGATTTGTTATGATAGCTAACTTGAGCCTCAAAAAATAGTGTCTGCGAACCTAGTTTAAACCTAGCTTCCCTTGTCATCATACGAACGGGGTCGCTTCTCAAAAAAAACTTCCTCGCTGGGCCCCTCGCTGCCGTCATGACGCGAAATGTCCAATTGCTCCTAGCGCTGGGATCCCCAGCCATCTGTGAGCCATGCGTAAGTCGTGGCCATGGCTCAAACTTTGTCTACCCCAAGTGAGAATATAGTAATTATAAATATAATTGCTGCGATATGTTCATTGATTCGAATATTGAGCTATATTTCAAACTGTTTGTGTTTCACCATTAACCACCATATATTTTCATATATATATATACATATATACATATATATATACATATATATATACTTACATATATGATCAATAATTCTGTATACCATGATTGGGAACTCTCCGCCTGATGCATCTCGTAGCCCGAGGCAAAGGGCACCACGCCCAGGTCAAACAGTTCCTGGACGAATGGACGAGTCGTCGTCGTAATGCCATGGGGGCAACTGATGCGGAAAATGCTGTGTCTGAAAATGGTGATAGCCCAAGTCAGTTATATAATTTATAGTTACTTTAATGGCAAAATAGGTGTAATAGGTGTAAGCATGTGCAAGCCATAAAAATGAAATGGAAATGAATGGGGTACCATATTTTCACACAAATCCATGTATAGAGGGAGTGAACCCAGAAACATCTTGGGGTGATGTGAACGCCGAGAATCATCCATTGCAAATCTATGCCAAAAGTTGATACCTTGCAACGACAATGTTTTGATGGGGTATCAAAATTCCCTGGCTGATGTATTTAGAATAGAGTCACTGATAAACTGATAAAAACCTACCCAAGCCAAGGTTTGCCCGAGTAGGCAATAAAGAGACTTGGAGATGCGTGTGGGTGGTATATATATATATATACATACATATACACAGTACGTCCATATGTAAGTTTAGATATTGATAGATAATGTATAATATGTAGAGTATCTGTATATTGTATATATATATACATATAGTGCATATTATGTGTATATATATATATATATGAATTGATTTCTATAGAAAACCAAACAGCCTTGGATTTGTATGAGTGATATACCTGTTATTTTTCTGCAATGGGGATGATCTGTGACCAGGATTGAAACTTCGGGGCTGCATCCCCACGATTCCGTCACCGGTCACCTAGCTGCGGTTTTCCCCAGTCAAACATGGAGTATGCGCACTTCGATATTCTTGCTGAATTTAGGTTAGTTATTCCTTAGTAATTCCTATATGATCTCATTGGTTCATGGTAATTCTGATTTTCTCATGGAAATCTTCATTCTATTCCCATATCTGGCTGAATTATGGTTCCCCAGAATAGTTCGGCCATTTGGGGATCAGGGTAGGTCAATTACCACTAATGGAGTTAATGGGACTATCTTATTGTTTGATCTATATATTATCACTTATACTTGTCACCATTAAATATTGAAGTATCTGTTATTATCTCATTACCATCTGGTTATTTAACATAGCCATGGAAAATGGCCCATTTATAGATGGTTTACCTATTAAAAATGATGATGTTCCATGGCTATGTTAAATAGCCAGATGGTATATAACTTCAATTTTCACTGTGGACTATCTTCATGGCTTCGATTGACGAAGCCGGCTGAAAAATACTCATGGGATTAATGACCGTCAGTTGAATAAACAAAAAACTTCGATGGTTATCCACTGAGTATGGCTTCCATTCATATCCTGGTTGGTGCTTGACCTACCCCTCTGAAAAATGATGGAGTTCGTCAAATGGGAAGGATGACAACCCATATATGAAATGGAAAATAAAATTCCATGGTTCCAAAGCACCAACCAGATGATCATCTATTAATCACCAACCATTTCCAACATAACGAACTGGAAAGATTCACCATTTTCAATGGGTAAATCCAGTATTTCTATGGATAACTATGGAAAATCACCATTTTCAATGGGTAAATCCACTATAAATCATAAAATCACCATTTTCAATGGGTAAATCCACTATAAATCATAAAATCACCATTTTCAATGGGTAAATCATAAAATCACCATTTTCAATGGGTAAATCCACGATTTCTATGGAGATATCTGGTTCTGACGAACAGTTTCCATAGTGGAAGCCATGGCGTCTCGAAACCTTCGAAACGACCGATCCCCCTGGGTCCTCGCAGTTCTCCAGGACAAGCGTATCGGCCTTGTTTCGGAGGCCGCAACGTCAGACATCGCCATGAACAAATGCGATCATATACAATATATATAGAATTATATATATATATGTATGTGTATAATTATATATCTATATATTCATATACCTACATATATGTATATACGTATATCAAACTATAAATAAATATATATATATATGTAGAATTATATATATTATGTATATTTTGTGCATAAATATGTATTATATATATGTAATTGTATGTCTACGCATGTGATATGTACTTGAGCTCAGCTGTCACCACTGGGCTATCCGTACGTCGAGTATCACGACCTTGGATCTGGGATGACCCTGCCGGAGAAAGTGTGCTGATGCGTACATGTATGATCATGTATGCGTCTCTACATGTGTATATATATATATATAGATAGATAGATAGATAGATAGATAGATATAATTATTATTATTATCATTATTATTATACATATATATATATATTATTATTATTATTATATATATATATATTATAATTATAGATATAATTATATATAATTATAATATATATGTGTGTGCTTTACATGCATAGATTACATCACATCAAATGTATACATGTATTAGATGTACTTCACGACTTCACGACTGCTGGGTGCTCCACTCGTTGAAACGGCAAGGTCCAGGCAGCTAACCTGCTGTCCCAGCCCGTTGGAACGTCATCACTGGATCATCATCCCATCAAAAAAAAGGAATGGACATCCAGAAATCATCCAAAATCTGATTTTTTTCTAAAGGATAAATCCATGTAAATCCCCTGTATCAACGCATGGACGCCAAAAGAAACAACCAACTTCTCTTTCTACGGGTCAAAATTTAACACCTGCGGGACCACAGATGGCTTAGTCTATTTTTACGGCCAGCACTTGTCTGCTACGCCCCAAAGTCTTTCGGAATGATTGTCGGAACCCTCATTTTTAGTGACCATTTCAATACTTTGTGGTTTTCTAGTATTTGGCGATCTAAGAACTAGATGGCTCTCGGTTTGCAAGCCCAGAGTCCCAGAGACGTCGTTGATGACCCTCTGCGGTGAATCTACTGTCCCCAAAAAATGTGCTTCATCACTTTTTACATAAAACATCATAAAACATCAAAAAACCTTGGGAAAAAAATCAACAACTCTAAATTAACCGTACGCCAAGGAGCTGTGGGAAGACTGGCGCCAGACCGCGTTCTTCAAACCAGCCAGCAGCACTCCTGACCGGTACCGGAAGTTGGTGACCAACCCTCAGAAAATCCATCAAAAATGCAGTTCCATGTTCCATGAATCAAGATTGTTCATCAAATTGAATCCTTTTTTTGTTGAAAAAGTTGATGTAGAAAATCCAGTTCCACCATCTTCCATCATCTTTTTGACAGATTTTTCCGGAGGGTGGAATAGATCCTGGACAGCTACCATGCCTGCAATCGAAACTGCTGCCATTTCATCAAGTTCATGCCACTTCTCATGGCTATTTTCTTCACCAAACGGGACCCATCCCCATGTGCCCCCTAGTTATTTAAGTTGGTTTTTATCACCCCATCTTTTTCTATAGTTCCAAATATCAAATATCAATAAATATCATAGACCATAGTAGTCTAATTATAGTTATAAACCAACTTATGTTCCATGAAATCCTTATGGATCACGGTGTATCCCCTATCAGCTCCTCTGTTCCGAGATCCAGGGAGGTCTGGTCTGATTCGTCTCCACGGGTATCACCGTCAAAGTCTCACGGTCCAATTCCTATTCGGAGCTGCAGCGTTTGGTTTGGTGTTTGGTTTTGCAGTTTGGTTTTGGTGAGTTTCTGGTGAGTTTCTGGTGAGTTTCTGGTGAGTTTCTGGTGAGTTTAGGTGCGCCACCTCAAGTTTGAGGAGTCGTCAATGGGAACAGCTCATCCAAATCATCCTTCGCTGTATTCTTGGATGAGAAAAAAACGACTTGAAACCATCTCGCAGATAAAGAAAAGGTAGGCGATAACCCCAGGACATAGGTAGGATGATAACCCCATCTTACAGAGCTGATTGTTGTAAACCAACCCCACAACACCACAACACCCGCGGAAATCCGGTTTCCTCTAAAAGCTGCTTCGGCACATGACCCACGGTGAGCACTAGGAAGGGACGAGCTCGACCCTGCCATGGGGGAAGATTACTTTCCTCTGAACTGGATGCCATGGAGGATTTGTGTCTGGCACTTTTTTCGACATTGTGACATTCCGCCGCTGTGTAGATCTTGACAAACGCCCTGCTCCAAGTGGGGAAATGAAAAAATGAATAGAGCTCACTGGGGGCCAACCTACAAAATTCATCGTCAGCAAGCGTGCCAGGGGGTCAGTGAATTGAGCCAACGCCATCTTTTCGGTTCGCGCTGCTGAGTTCATTGAAAAGTATCGTGCTGCCCATTGACCAGAGGACTGCAGACCATCAAAAGGCAAAAGAACAAACAGTCCTTTTTGTTCCTCGTCGTGGAAGATTCAAAATCGAAGATTCAAATACCGCCAATGTCTGCAGTCCATATTGGGAGAAGTGCTACATGACGAGCTGACAGTACCTGCACGTAATTTGATCAGTGAAGGACCAGTGCTATTTGGTGTTTTGCACAAATCCTTGCCAGCTTTGCTCTGGAACCGTCTGAAACATTCTGAAACAACAAATCCATGTTGTCCAAACTCTACATGGAGCGAACCCATCAATACATACCTTTTGCCATACCTGTTCTATATTTGTTCTATGACCTTTTCTACTCCTCATCCCTGGCATCAACTGTGCGACTTCCCCAAAGGCACCGTCCACTCTGTCGGGTCCGTTGGACAACCGGTTTCTGAATACATGGCAAGCTGGGAAACCCACTATACATGGATTTTTGAGTGGGAAAAATCATCTACAAAAATGTTTCTTGTTAGTGGCCACGTTTGATTCTTGGAAGCTACCCTGAATTTCAGAACTTGGCTAGCGTGAGATATCCAAGTGCCCCATTTGTAGACAAAATCACCCTTCAAACTAGCCAACATTGGTTAAGCCAAGCCAAACTGGGGACTCGACCATCCCAAGCTGATCGACAACTGGGAACTGTTCACCGACTGTCTTTTCAATCCGTATTCGACCATCTAGATTCTAACCCATGATCACTCTGGCATTATCACAATCGAATGTTTTTCTGGATACTTGAGGATATATATTTCAAAGTTGGTTTAATGGTAAACGTTTGACGTTTTAAATGATATTGGTTGTTGATTGTAGTTTTTTAGAAATGGTTCAAACATCTTCAAGCATCACGAGGTCGCCGAAGGCCGTATGTTGTGGATTCCCCATCTGAAGCACAGCTTTCATTTTGTGTAAAGATGCGTATAAATAAGAAATAGCAACTAGTATAGTTTTTGTACATGTGATCATGAGATTGGTATGGGATTGTGGGATATGCTAAACCAGTTCGCTTTCTATTAGAGATCCTTTCACTTCGTTGCAGCGGACCACTCATCAAAGCAAAGCCCTGAGGCTGAGGGGTTGTCGGTTTCTTCGGCACACCCCAGGAATATGAAAGTCAATTGGCATCAGCATCATCATCATCATCATCATCACCATCATCATCGCCACCATCACCATCACCATCACCATCATCATCATCGTCATCATCGCCACCACCACCACCACCACCACCATCATCATCATCATCGTCATCATCATCATCGTCATTGCCATCACCATCATCACCATCATCATCACCATCACCATCACCATCATCATCATCATCGTCATCATCGCCACCACCACCACCACCACCATCATCATCATCATCATCACCATCACCATCATCATCATCGTCATCGTCATCGTCATTGCCATCACCATCACCATCATCATCACCATAATCATCACCATCACCATCACCATCGTCATCATCATCGTCATCACCATAATCATCACCACCATGATCATATTTTTGAATGATGCAAAACATAGGTGTGCAATCACGCGACTGGAACGAAATGGACATCTTTTTTGCCACAATTTACTCCATATTTACTCCCTATCACGGTTTGATATGGAAAAAAACACAACAGAAACCACCGGTGAGGTGACCAAAAAAACATTTGTCCGAAACGAATGTTTATCATCATCGGCCCAATGCTGATCCAAAGCTCAACCCTGCGGGTTGGTTCCATCCAACAAATCTCCCATTTCTTGGCCTCATTTTCTTCTTCGGCTGGGCGCAGTTTCTTCTTCCACAAAGAGTTCAGGATCTTCCAGGCTGCACGAGATCTGATTCTTCTCCAAATCCTGGGGACATCCAGGATGAAATTGCAGGAAGGATGGCACCAAATTGGGCTGTCGTCCAATTTGCCTGACTGCTGGAATTTTCCAGGTCGTATTTTGAGCGCCTTCCCTATGTTGTTGCTAAACATTCGAAAACAATAGCAAATACGTTGCAACATCATGAAATCACTGGATTTCGGGAGGGGGGTCTCCAGTCTGATGTTTCATCCATTCCCTTTCAAGTGGTGAGAAATGTTCAGTTCTCAGGCTGTCCACCCCATGTTTCATGTCACGAGTGGGGATTTCCGCAGAAAACCAAGTCGCAACAGACTCAATGGTCATTCCATAGATCTCATCACCCTTGCGGAACTCCTGCCCAAAGATTTCGTCTGGATTTCAAAGGGTGGCTGGTTTTGACTGCGTAAAAAGAACTTCCATTTTTTGATGATATATTACAAGTAATACCGAACAAGGCGGTGGCGGAAGCTCAAAGATAGGAAACCTACAGGCGGCGTGGGCTGCTGCAACGCATGGATGGCAGAACGAAGGCACTGATAAGCCGAAAGGTACTTGAGGCTCTGGCTCTCTCTCTCTCTGGATCTCTCTAGATCTCTCTATTTCTCTCTCTCTCCCTCTCTCTCTCTCTCTAGATCTCTCTAGATCTCTCTATTTCTCTCTCTCTCTCTCTCTCTCCCTTGTTCCCTCTCCTCCCCTGAGCCTTTCTTGGCTGCTGGCGCTCCTTTTTTCAAAAAAGCCCAGCAGCGTTTGTCTCGTCAGTCAACTTCCTCCGCCTCCCTGGCTCGAGGCTCTTCGGCCTCGGAGCCAAAGAGGCTAGACATGCTGCTGTGGACGCTGACCAGGCTCGCAGCGTCCTCCTCCGACTCGTCCTCCGCCGACTCTTCCGCTGCCTCCGGGGCCCGCACCACAAGCGCCCGGTGTACAGTCTGCCGCTGGCCCGGGAGGCGCGCTACAAAGTAGAGTTCCTCCACGAGCCGCTGCTGCCGTACTTCATGGTGAAAGGTCACATGCACTCCGTGGGGCCCAGAAAAGAGCAGGGCGGCCACTCGCCAGGGGACCAGCAGCATCCCTTCATACCACGCTTCTGCGTGACTCAGCCCTCGGCCCCTACCTATCTATCTATCTTTCTAACTGAAAGGAAACAATGTTGCGAGACTTCCTTCGGTGCGGGGGTCGATGATGAGAGGCGTCTGGGTGGACTCACGGGTCGTCATGATAAACTCCACTTCCTGGCAGCAGGGCAGCAGGTACAAAAACAAGCGAGACGCAAGAAACAGACGCGCTTTCAAGTAGATCAACCCAGGAAGGTTGCAGCATTTCCTCTTTTGGATCATTGCGTTTTTGAAACTAGGAGGCCTCTGTTACCATATTATCAAACTTCGGCTGCAGGGCCCACGCCGCGCCATCCCCGACGAAGCTTACGCACGTATTTTTCTTTTCCCCATGAAAACTGCAGAAGGGCGTGCTTGGGCAGGGGGCACGATTTGAATGCGTCGCGCGTGCTTTTTCATTCCAAGCGCGCCTCTTCGACGACGCCTTCCTCGCCGGCCTCTCGGAGATCGTCGTGCAATTACATTAGGAATTCGTGCGCTCGCCATTTGGGCGGGTAGTACATGACAAGGTCCTCAACAGCGAGCTGTGCGGATGGGTTGCAGGATGGGCATGGGAGCACAGGCTGATTGAAATCTTCGCCGCCGCGAGCGATCATGTTACTTAGTAATACCAGTAGTACCCGCACGAGGCGGGGCGGAAGTTGCCTTTAGGGATATATATAAGACCTTTCTCATCTATAGAACTTGCATGCGCCGTGCGCCAGCCAAGCCCGTGCGTGCGTGCACTCTGCGAAAGTCGTGTCCTCTTTCACATGTCATTTGAAGCTCCACTTCGCACTTCACACTCCACACTTCCCACTGCACTCTTCCCACTTCACACTCCACACTTCACGCTTCACAGTCCACACTTCACACTTCACACTTGAAACTTCACAGTCCACACTTCTCACTTCTCACTGCCTTTTTCACATTCCACATTCCACACTTCACACTGCACTCTTCACGCCCCACACTTCACACTGCACTCTTCACACGCCACACTTTATCTCATCTGAGCTCTTCTCACCTTATCCAAGCTCATTTCTTCTCATCTCATCATCTCTTCTCATATGTCATACAAACTTTCATGAATCACTTCCCAGTACTACTACTAAGGAACTTGCATGCGCCGTGCGCCAGCCAGGCCTGTGCGTGCGTGCTTTGTGCGAAGCTGTTGCAGTGTTGCTGTCCAAGAACATGACCTGCGCGCGACCCCGGTGCAATGCAAACACTTTCCTCACACCTCACATTGCACTCTTCACACCCCACACTCCACACTTCACACTTGCACTTCATCTCAACTCATATCATCTGAGCTCTTCTCATCTCATTCCATGTCTTCCCATATGTCAGCTAATTCCTTCTTGACTATTTTCATGTCAATTACTTCCCAGTACTGATGTCTACTACAAAAGCTTGCAAAAACCACTTCCCAGTACTAATTTGTACTACACAGCTTGCACAAAACACGCTCCAGTACTACTTTGTATTACAAAGATTGCACAAAGCACTTCCCAGTACTATTTTGTACTACAAAGCTTGCACAAACCACTTCCCAGTACTACTTTGTACTACAAAGCTTGCACAAAGCACTTCCCAGTACTACTGTGTACTACAAAGCTTGCACAAACTACTTCCCAGTACTACTGTGTACTACAAAGCTTGCAAAAAGTACTTCCCAGTACTACTTTGTACTACAGCAAAGCTTGCAAAAAGGACTTCCCAGTATATACTACTTTGTACTACAAAGCTTGCACAAAGTATTTCCCACTACTTCTTAAGGAAGCTTGCACAAAGAAAGCTTTTACACACAGCAAGTTCTTTCGCAGAGAAGCTTTTACACACAGCAAACTTTTTAAACAGAAGCTTTTACACACAGAAGCTTTTACACACAACAAGCTTTTACACAGAGAAGCTTTTACACAGAGAAGCTTTTACACACAGCAAGCTTTCACACACAACAGGCGTTTACACACAGAACACTTACACACAGTGCTTTTACACATGGCAAGCGTTTACACACAGAAACTTTTGCACAAAGACGCTTTTACACACAGAGACGCTTTTCCACACAGCAAGCATTTACACACAAAATCGTTTACACACAGCAAGCTTTCACACACAGCAAGCTTTTACACACAGCAAGCTTTCACACACAGCAAGCGTTTACACACAGGACACTTACACACAGTGCTTTTACACATGGCAACCGCTTACACACACAGAAACTTTTACACTGAGACGCTTTTACAAACAGAGAAGCTTTTACACACAGCAAGCCTTTACACACAAGATCTTTTACACACAGCAAGCGTTTTATCACAACAGGAATTGCAGCTCCAAGACCGGATCTCGACGCCAAAGCAAAAAAAACACGATTTTGAAGCACTTCAAAAAGAAATTTTAAAAGGGAAATCACTAGCGCCAAAATTGCGAAAATCTGCTGACAAATCACTATCGCAGCCTGGATGCAGCCACTCCAATACGATTTACGATCTTCAGCTGCAAAAGACAATAGTATTATGGATGCAGCCGCGGCACGAAGCAACCTTGACGCAGCCATTACATTGCGATCTGCAGAGACTGACTTGCAAAACATAATAGAACTACGCGCAACGGCGTCGGAAATTGCAGCTCCAAAACCGGATCTTGACGCCAAAGCAGAAAAAAGACGATTTTGAAGCACTTTTTAAAAGGATTTTTAAAAGGAAAATCAAGAGCGCCAAAATTGCGAAATCTGCTGACAAATCACTGTCGCAGCCTGGATGCAGCCACTCCAATACGATTTACGATCTTCAGCTGCAAAAGACAATAGTATTCTGCATGCAGCCGCGACACGAGGCAACCTTGACGCAGCCATTACATTGCGATCTGCAGAGACTGACTTGCAAAACATAATAGAACTACACGCAACAGCATCGGCAATAGCAGCTCCAAAACCGGATCTCGACGCCAAAGCAGAAAAAAGACGATTTTGAAGCACTTTTTAAAAGGATTTTTAAAAGGAAAATTAAGAGCGCCAAAATTGCGAAAATCTGCTGACAAATCACTATCGCAGCCTGGATGCAGCCACGCCAATACGATTTACGATCTTCAGCTGCAAAAGACAATAGTATTACGCAAGCAGCCGCAGCACCAAGCAACATTCATCGCTGGCTGCAGCCACTTTACACTGAAAAACACAAGGTTTTGTGCTCCGGCTTCCTCCCCAACACAAAGCCCATGCAACATCATGCAGCCATTCCAATGCGATCTGGCACCACAGCTTCAAGAAACGCATAGAACTACGCACACAGCAACAAGCATTGTTGCAAAACACATAGAAGGAACCAAACGACCCCAGCCGCAACCGCCGCACAGACGAGGTAGCTTTCATCGCCGGCTGCAGCCACTTTACACGGAAAAACACACGGTTTCGTTCTCCGGCTTCCTGCCCAACACAAAGCCCATGCAACATCATGCAGCCATTCCAATGCGATCTGGCACCACAGCTTCAAGAAACGCATAGAACTACGCACACAAGAACAAGCATTGTTGCAAAACACATAGAAGGAACCAAACGACCCCAGCCGCAACCGCCGCACAGACGAGGTAGCTTTCATCGCCGGCTGCAGCCACTTTACACGGAAAAACACAAGGTTTCGTGCTCCGGCTTCCTCCCCCACACAAAGCCCATGCAACATCATGCAGCCATTCCAATGCGATCTGGCACCACAGCTTCAAGAAACGCATAGAACTACGCACACAGGAACAAGCATTGTTGCAAAACACATGAAGGAACCAAACGACCCCAGCCGCAACCGCCGCACAGACGAGGTAGCTCTCATCGCCGGCTGCAGCCACTTTACACGGAAAAACACACGGTTTCGTGCTCCGGCTTCCTCCCCAACACAAAGCCCATGCAGCATCATGCAGCCATTCCACATGCGGTCTGGCACCACAGCGTCAAGAAACGCATAGAACTACGCACACAGGAACAAGCATTGTTGCAAAACACATGAAGGAACCAAACGACCCCAGCCGCAACCGCCGCACAGATTAGCTTCATCGCCGGCTGCAGCCACTTTACACGGAAAAACACACGGTTTCGTGCTCCGGCTTCCTCCCCAACACAAAGCCCATGCAACATCATGCAGCCATTCCAATGCGATCTGGCACCACAGCGTCAAGAAACGCATAGAACTACGCACACAGGAACAAGCATTGTTGCAAAACACATAGAAGGAACCAAACGACCCCAGCCGCAACCGCCGCACAGATGAGATAGCTTTCATCGCCGGCTGCAGCCACTTTACACGGAAAAACACACGGTTTCGTGCTCCGGCTTCCTCCCCAACACAAAGCCCATGCAACACCATGCAGCCATTCCAATGCGATCTGGCACCACAGCGTCAAGAAACGCATAGAACTACGCACACAGGAACAAGCATTGTTGCAAAACACATAGAAGGAACCAAACGACCCCAGCCGCAACCGCCGCACAGACGAGGTAGCTTTCATCGCCGGCTGCAGCCACTTTACACGGAAAAACACACGGTTTCGTGCTCCGGCTTCCTCCCCACACACAAAGCCCATGCAACATCATGCAGCCATTCCAATGCGATCTGGCACCACAGCGTCAAGAAACGCATAGAACTACGCACACAGGAACAAGCATTGTTGCAAAACACATAGAAGGAACCAAACGCCCCCAGCCGCAACCGCCGCACAGACGAGGTAGCTTTCATCGCCGGCTGCAGCCACTTTACACGGAAAAACACACGGTTTCGTGCTCCGGCTTCCCTTCCTCACCACTTCCCTTCCTCACAATTCCCCTTCATCATCACTTCCCTTCTTCACCACTTCCCTTCCTCACCACTTCCCATCGTCACCGCTTCCCTTCCTCACCAGTTCCCTTCCTCACCGCTCCCCTTCATCATCACTTCCCTTCCTCACCACTTCCCATCGTCACCACTTCCCTTCCTCGCCACTTCCCTTCCTCACCACTTCCCTTCGTCACCACTTCCCTTCCTCACCAGTTCCCTTCCTCACCACTTCCCTTCGTCACCACCCCCCCTTCATCATCACTTCCCTTCTTCACCACTTCCCTTCCTCACCACTTCCCATCATCCCCGCTTCCCTTCCTCACCACTTCCCTTCCTCACCACTTCCCTTCGTCACCACTTCCCTTCTTCACCACTTCCCTTCCTCACCACTTCCCTTGGCCACCACTCCCCTTCATCATCACTTCCCTTCTTCACCACTTCCCTTCCTCACCACTCCCCTTCATCATCACTGCCCTTCGTCACCACTTCCCTTCCTCACCACTTCCCATCGTCACCACCTCCCTTCCTCACCACTCCCCTCCATCACCACTTCCCTTCGTCACCACTTCCCTTCCTCACCACTTCCGTTCCTCACCACTTCCCCTTCGTCACCACTCCCCTTCATCACCACTTCCCTTCGTCACCACTTCCCTTCCTCACCACTTCCGTTCCTCACCACTTCCCATCGTCACCACCTCCCTTCATCATCACTTCCCTTCTTCACCACTTCCCTTCTTCACCACTTCCCTTCGTCACCACTTCCCTTCTTCACCACTTCCCTTCCTCACCACTTCCCTTCGCCACCACTCCCCTTCATCATCACTTCCCTTCTTCACCAAACCCTTTCTCACCACTCCCCTTCATCATCACTTCCCTTCTTCACCACTTCCCTTCCTCACCACTTCCCATCGTCACCACCTCCCTTCCTCACCACTCCCCTTCATCACCACTTCCCTTCGTCACCACTTCCCTTCCTCACCACTTCCGTTCCTCACCACTTCCCATCGTCACCACCTCCCTTCCTCACCACTCCCCTTCATCACCACTTCCCTTCGTCACCACTTCCCTTCCTCACCACTTCCGTTCCTCACCACTTCCCATCGTAACCACATCCCTTCCTCACCACTTCCCTTCATCACCACTTCCCTTCGTCACCACTTCCCTTCCTCACCACTTCCCATCGTCCCTTCCTCACCACCCTGTGTCATAGCTTCTGATTCTTTTGCTGTGTATTGTTAGACTATGTATCGTTCTGTGATCTACCACCCTTCATCATAGTCATTGCATCAAGTAAAAGTCATTCGTAACTCGGAAGTATTGCTTCCCAACTTCCTTTGATTACTTAAGCTTTTCAACGCGCGACATCGTTTTAAGCTGCAAGAACGCGGCAAGGTGCTTCTGCTCCCGCAGCAAGCGGTCAAAACCTTTCCATGTCTCGACAAACCTCTTCGGCATCTTCACGGACTTGCCTTCGAGGAGGTTCGCCAAGGTCTTGGGGAACATATTTTGGCAAGCCTCTTGCCAAGCCGTGAAGTCAAAGGGCAGGGCCTGTCGTGCATGGCGGGTGCACAGCTTGTCGGTTCTATCAATGCCAACTGACGCTGTGTGTGACAGGCGCGCAAGCCCACACACAACGGATCTATATCTGCGCGGTGAGGCCAACCCTCAAGAATTATATATCATGAGCCCCTGCCTTGTATGTGAAAGGGCCTTCCTGCGGTCCATTCTTGAGGCCTTCCAACAAGGAAGGCAGCAGCGTGAGCAGCGTGAGCTTGTGCGTCCAGCCCGGTCGTTTGCTGGGCCGCTCCTGGCGCTGCGGCTGGCTAAGCCGCGTTCAAGGCGATTGCCGTGCTGCATGTTCTGTTTGCGTGCCGAAATTCTGCGAGCCGTCCTCAAGTTTTGAAGTATTAGCAATTCTGCGAAAGGTGAGTGCAGAGCTGACGGCCTCGTGCCATTCACCGCCATGTGTCTCAAGTACTGCGCCTGCCACGAAAGAGTGACGCCAGGTCATACGAAGTGCTGCACCTGCCACGCAAAATCTTAGCAAACCTGAAGATCTGATGCTCCAAAATGCAACCCCTCTCAGGAAATCAGCACGCTGACCTCCCGAAATGCATCTTGGAAGATCCTCTTCAAATGTTCCACACCTGCCATCATCTTTGAACTGCTACGAACCCCTCACGTTTTGCTCACTTTGGCAAGGTGCAGAACCCCTTGTGCCTACCACACGAAAGCACATCCAAACCTCAAAAAGTGCTCCGAGAATGGTGTGCCTTGTACATTTTGACCTTCGCGCCACAACGGCGTGCACTTTTTGAATATCTCAGCTGCCAGAAGTGCTCTGAGGCTGCGCTGCTTTTGCCATTTTCACTTCCACATGTGCTTCGCGCCAAATCGCCAAAGCGGTGTGCGCTTTTTCAACAGTTCAACAGCTCAACTTCCAAAAGTGCTCCGAGCATGGATGCAGAAGCGCTCCGAGTGTGAGGTCCTTTGTACATTTCTTTGTACATTTTGACTTTGAAACGTGCTTCGCGCCACAACGCCGCACGCCTTTGCAACAGGTGAAGTGCCAAAAGTGCTGCGATAATGGTGTGTTTGGTACATTTTGACTTCAACCTACGTTTCGCGCCACAGTCACGTGCACTTTTTCGACATCTCAACTTCCAAAAGTGGCTTGAAGCTGCGGTCTTTTTAGAATTTTCACTTCCAAATCTGCTTCGCGCCACAACGGCGTGCAATTTTCCTCTCTCAGACCGCAAGATGGCTCCGCACCCGCCGCTTTAGCGAGGCTACTTTTCGAGCCTCCGGAGCCAAAACATTCGAAAAACACAGTGCTTCGCGATGTTTCTACCTTTTCGTGCACCTTGATCTTCTTTCTTCTGACTCTTTCTCTTCTCTGATTTGTTTCTTCTTCCTTTCTCTTCTCTGACTCTTCCTCTGCTTCATCTGTCCATACTGTCGGAAGTTTTACTTTTAAACTTCCTTCGATGACTAGTTACTATAGTTTTTGTACTGACAATATATATATATGTGTGTGTGTCTGTATGTATATATATGTGTGTGTGTGGACATATCCATATGTGGATCAATCATTAGTCAACGGGATCCCAATCATCCCGAAAACTCTCCTTCTTCCAAGTGTGCTGTCAGGTGTAACCACCACTTCAAGTTTGGTGATAAAAAAAAGAAAGAAATCTGTCAAAAGATATTTAAGTATTGATTTACAAGCTATTCAGATATGTTTTAATAATGATTATACGCTTATATCATGATAATAATACACTTGTATAGAGATAAGAATCTCAAGTATTATTATCATTATATACAAGTGTATTAAATTATAGGTATGAGTCAATAAGCAACTATCATTAAACTATCATTATAGTGTATGATTCTGTATAATAATACACTATACATAAGCCTCAGATCGTTGGTTCAGTTCGGGATCCCCAGAGGCGCCTTGGCCATCTGCCTGCTGACATTCAGTCGTGCATCCTTGGCACAACCGATGTTGACGAAGACACCATACCTGGCGCGTAAAGTTCCTCAAAGAAAAGAAACTGCGGTGAAATTCATGTTAAAAAATGTTACAGTATGTATATATATATATGCATATACAGTATATGAAACCAATTCGCTTCCTGGGTTCCCAAACAAGTCAGCCCAGGGCTTCAATGGGCATCGACGGAGCGCACTGATTGTTGTTGGTGACAATACCGTCAACAGCCAAGCCCACACGTAGCTTCTCGATAGCTATGCCTCAGATAAGCGCGCGTACCATGAACCTTCCATGAACCAAAAAGAGTTCGAACTCAAAGGCAACTGAATCATCTTGTTTCATAGAAACACTCAGCATGCTGGTGCCCTCAAACACCTAAGTGCTTACCCTGGGGTAAACTGAGACGTGGGAAACCCATGATTTCTCGATAGGAAAAGGATCTACAAACAGTGGCTTTTCCATATCGAACTGTTTATAGTTCTTGCTGGGTGTGGCTGGTGTTCATATTTTCTTATGGCCACCTGTGTTTGAAAGCCAAAATCAATGGTGGAGGTGGAGCTATAGATTCTATGCTGCCATCGGCCATCTAGAATTTAAAATAACAAGAACCGCATTTCATCAAGTCAGGGAGGAAACCTTCAAAAATGATTCCTGGTCTTCCAGGGTATGTTTCAGAATTTCATGTGGTGACGTTGGGGTGGTGATTTAATTCAGATATGACAGGGTTGCTTCCTGGCCACCCCAAAGACGTTTGGAGGTGAATATGCTAGATTCTTAGAGGTCCAGTAAAAATACCCATTTTTGTGGATTGGATGGAGCAACCCTTATTTCTATGGTCAAGATCAATGAGGCCAATCAAACATGGCCAGCTGGGAAAGTCTCGAACTCAACGGGCATCTCAATAGGAAATAATAGGAATATCATCGAACTAAATGGGACATCATAAAATGTCATAGGTCAATGCCCACATGCCACTCCCTCGGGCCTCCGTTTGTCTCTCTGGTTGCGGGCGCCGGCCGTTGCTTCGCTGCGGGTCGCTCCGTTGTCCGCTCCCGTTTTTCGGGGGCGCCTTTCCCACCGGCGCGCGCTGGGCCAGCCGAAGCGGCGCGCTTTGGCCTTGGAGTCATGGGGGATCCCATGACGTCACCATGGCTTAACCGTAATACGAAGTCATGGTCAAAAATGTAATCTGGGATGATGAGGGGAAACCGCCATATTTTCGGAAATGTCCAAATGTGAAACCAGATGTTGATATGTTCATCCTTCAAGCATCATTGATCCATCATCCATCTTTCGTCGTTACCTTTTTGTTCGTCCATCGTGCATCAGAGCACCAAGATACCCCAGAAGCGTCAGAACAACGCCCTGTAACGGGATCACGACAACACGCATGGTGTGTATCTCAGTGCCATAGGTTACACATGGAGCTCTCTTCAATGTGCGAACCTTCACCCTGCACCCGAGTTGCTGTGCCCGCGCTGGTGCCGCAGTCGCACCGCCGGAGGTTCCTCAAAAAGGCCAAGGATTTGAGAGGCTTTGAGCTCTTGGCCATGGTAGGAGGTATGGCTCAGTAGATATTTATCGCGCTTTATTTCTCACAATCAGGAACCAAAGTCTCCAATCTCTTTCAGGTCAATGAATAAAACTAAAAACCCAGAGATGCCGCAGTCGTGCAAGCCGTGGAGGCATGGTTGTTAAAGTTGTTCCGATTTTGTTCTGATCATTTCTGATCCAAACCTTCCCCTGGTGCATCCGTTTGTGCCTCCTTTGGGCGCCGCCCGTTGCTTCGGTGCAGGTCGCTCGGGGCGCTCGGGGCGCTCCCGCACGGGGGGGCCTTTCCCACCAGGGGCGCGCGTTGGGCCAGCCGAAGCGGCGCGCTTTGGCCTTGGATATTCTCAGATTTTCTGTTGGACTCTCAAAGCCAATCAGTGCCAATCCCACCACTGAAGCCTTCCATCAGTTCCAGGCTTCAAACAAAAAGCTCTTTCTAGACAAAATATTGAAACTATATTGCGTGAAAGAACTATCCCAAACCTTTGGAATTCGTACCGGTTTGTACTGGGCCATGAGGCGCCAAGTCGGCCCGTGGCTCAACGTAAGTAGGCTGGGCCCAATGCCAAGTATGTCCGTGTTCAGCCCGTACCCTGGCTACCATACTCCTCAAACTGGAAAAACTGTCCCCTAATCACAACATGTTGCGGGTGCTGCTCGTCGCGAAGCATTTGGAATAAGTGAATATCAAGAAGCAAATATAGATCAAACATGGTGCTCCCCATCCCCATCCTATTTGCAAACCTTCAACCATCCGTTTGCTTTCAGTGTCAAAAAAAGTATGTTTGCGTGTATTGTTCCCCACCTGCCAGGCAAGGGTCTCTAGATTTTATCAGAGTCACTTCCCTCCCTCCTTCCCTCCTTCCTTCCTTCCTCCTTCCCCCAATAGCGGACCTCAGCTGGCAATGGCGGGCCTCAACCGCGAGCTCCAGATCTCAGTGGCCATGTCAGAGAGAATGTCAGAATAAATGCCACATAGAATGCCAGAAAGTATGTCAGAATATATGCCAGATAGAATGCCAGAAAGAATGTCAGAGTATATGCCAGAAAGAATGTCGGATAGAATGCCAGAATATATGTATATACATACATACATCCAATAAATATATATATATATACTTCCAGATGGTATGATGTCAAAATAATATGTCAGGGTGGGGAACACTCGAAGAAAGCAATTTCTTTTTGCAAAGTACTGAGCTTCCCAAAGTGACCCAGAGGCTGCCACCCAAGTTGCTGTGCCCGCGCTGGGGCCGCAGTCGCGCCGCCGGAAGTTCCTCCACGTGGCAGTGATTTTGCCCGTGGCTTGGCTTTCGCCTCACAGTGTGACTTTGAGAGTTTGACATATCTTGACATCCAAAAATATAGCGACACCAAAATATCAATCTTCTTCACACTGTGACTTCGACAGAGAGTTTGACATATCTTGACATCCTCTCATGGAAGATTGAAACCAAAATCATGAACGCGTTTCACCTGCGTTATGTTTCAAGCGTTCGAAAACCTGTGCAGCTTGGAGACTGATGTAGATCCAACACGTGGCGCTTCGGCTGGAGCACCTCGGCGACCGATCAGCTGGTGGAGTTCAATCTCAGCTATTGGCAAAATTTCAGGATGGTTTTCTGGTTTTCTTTCGGATTCAAACATCCCTTTTATATCATTTTACCAAATGTTTATCTTGGCTGAACTTTGAGTAGCCCATATCCTCCAAGGCGTCTACGGGTAGTCGCAGCCTGCCAGGGCCAGTACTTTTCCGGCATTCCCAGGTGACTGGGACCCCTGGGAATCTGAAAGAGGGATGAAATCATCCAGGTGAATGTCGCAAGAATCAACATAACTATATGTTATACCCTCTGGTTATGTCAAAATAGCTATTGAAAATGGCCATCAATAGTGGATTTCCCCATTAAAAATGGTGATTTTCCATAGTTATGTTAGTTTACCAGAGGGTATTGTGTTGAGATCTTCACATACTAAATTTGGTCGTACTGGGCGGACGTCGTTTCTTACCCCAGGCACCCAGAAGTTACCCCATCCCCATGGCACACAGGGTTACCCCAGGCAAACCGGAAGTTACCGGCTCACTGGCACCACGCCATCGTTGGTTTGGCAAACAAAGTAGTCAAAATGTGTCCGTGCCATGGCGAAACACATATTTAATACCATCTCCTTCGGTGATAAAACCATGTTGAAAGTTGGCAACCGCCATTGGCACACACGCATTGACAGCAAAACAGCTGCTTTCCATCCAAATGAGAAAAGAAGCCAATTCTGCAGCACACGCCCCGTTTTCTTGTCATGACTCTGGACATGGATTCGTTTGATTTCGGTACTTTAACTATCTGTTTCCCAATGGCACACCTAGTGCGAAATAAGTCGTGCAAAGCATCTCTGACCCGAGCCCCGGCGTGATCCTACGCCATTTACTAGAACTTGCGCCAGCCGCATGGCACCTTGCTTACGCCAGACATCAATAATCTTCCGCCAGGTGGAAATCCCATTGGCACACCGACGGTCAAAGTGGACTAACTCTGAAGCAGGCAATACTATGCGTTTAATTTAAGCTTGTTAACCAAAAGTTGGCAACCATATTCCTGTTTGAACAGTCAGAACTATCATCCTCCACATGGCACACCAAGTTTCATGGCATTCCAACATACAAACTTGGATGTGATTGACGTCACATTCCTATGGTTTCTATGACAAATTCTACTTCATGCCAATCAACCCTTTCATCCACTTCCCCATGGCACAACGCTGATCGGAACGATTTTTTTTCAGGTAATATTCTTATGCTTTTGGTTTCTTCCGCACAGCTTCCAGCCCTTTCACAAATCTCTTCGTTCTCCTCTCAAAAACCGCGCCTTACCCAGAAGCAGCAGCACAAGCAACAACAACAGCAGCAGCAGCAGCAGACTAAGCAGCAGACCATTGCAAAGCCTTTCCAAAACCTCTCCGGGCTGGGTTTTGACTGGCTGCAATTTAAACGAGGTCCGAACGAGGTGCAAACGAGGTCCGAAATCAAATTTTGGGAGACTGACCCCCTAAGTCTCCTGACATACTCTTTGGTAGCCACACGCTTTCGCATTCTTTTCAGAACAGTAAAACTCAAGAGCTTTGAGCGGTGGAGCAGAAGAGGAAACCAAGCCAAGCAGCAGCTGCAGGCAAGAGCAAAAGGAGACAGAAGAGGAGACAAAGGGCGAGTAAGGGAGACAGAGGGGAGACAAAGGGACCGTGATAGCCAGGTAAGCATCGTGTGCCGAAGTGCCAAAAAATACATCAGTAAGTTAAAGTCATAGGCGCTGCCCATGTGGGCCTCTCCCCATTCCACATAGGCACACCACGATTTGGCACAAGATCTTGTCATCGGCACTTGTTACAACATCGACCCAGCTCCCAAACTTGAACCCACTAGCACCAAATGGCAGGCACACCGATGTTGGCACAAGATCTGTTGTGCTGCACAAAATCATTGAAATACCCAGGGCCACACATTCTCTTTGACCGAGCATGCCACTGCGTTTGGATGTCACAAGTATCAAACTAAGTACACTCATAATAAACAAACACGTTTATGACAACCAGTGTGCCCCTGCATTGTGTGCCCTGCAATGGACAAACAAACAATAAGAAGGTTTATGACTACAAATGGTAGATTCATGTAGGTGAAGTTCAGCGTGCCTATGCGTTTTGTGGTCTTACAATAAGCGATGATCCGATGGAATAATAATATCATATATATCCTTTATACACACTTCCCCACGGCACACCGACCTGAGACAACTTCAGGGGAGCCGAGACAAGAAACAACATTAACCCAGTATGTGCTAGACCTGTAGCCAGCTTGTTTCGGAAAAGACTCGACTCATGGTTGGGTTCTGCCAGTCACGTCAAGAAACAGCATGGGTAACAATCACATCTTCCAGCCACATCTTCGCATCACATGACGCCAATAGCCATAGCTTCCCCCAAGCCTTCCACGCTCCTAGGTTTTTGCTTACTGGTCTGCGACATTCTACGAAATCCCCATCCATACTGTTTCGTCCAAAGAAAAAATAATGAAATACCCTCTGGTAAACTAACATAACTATGGAAAATCACCATTTTTTATGGGAAAACTCACTATAAATTGCCATTTTCAATAGCTATGTTAGTTCCCAACGCCGCCCCCAGGCAACTGGTCACGAAATCCTTTTTTTGCTTTTTTTAGGGTTTGGGGTGGGGGGATGTTAACGTCCCTGTGAACTTGCTCACGTCATGTATGCTTCGTGAACTTCGGGGTTTGGGTGGGGTGGGGGGGGATGTTAACGTCCCTGTGAACTTGCTCACGTCATGTATGCTTCGTGAACTTCGGGGTTGCCTGGGTTATATATATATATATATACAATATTAAAAAAATGAAAATCACATTTATATATATATACACATATGTATATAAACATGTGCATACATATACATTTATTTTCAATATTGTATACAGGCAAATGTACATATATTATTGTTTTTATTTATGCGCATAAATATATTTCTCACTTGCGTACACACATGCACACACACATACATATATATATATATCAAATGTGTGTATATATATATATCACATGCGTATATATATATAATCTCTATATATATATACATATATACTTTTGTTTAGACAACTTAAATTAACTTGTCGGGGAATGTTCCATTGCACTTTCTCAAACAATTGGCCAAAGCTTGCAACGCTCGCTGATAATGGCGCAAGAACAAAAGAGCACAAGGCGCTCTTTGGACAAAAGGTGCCAAAAACCACCAGTTGGCGGCGGCGCGACCTGTTAGTTTACCAGAGGGTATATCCCATTAATATTCCATTAAATCACTATAAAATCCCATTAAATCACTATAAAATCCCATTAAATCACTATAAAATCCCATTAAATCACTATAAAATCCCATGAAATCACTATAAAATCCCATTAAATCACTATAAAATCCCATGAAGTCACTATAAAATCCCATTAAATCACTATAAAATCCCATGAAATCACTATAAAATCCCATTAAATCACTATAAAATCCCATGAAATGTCATGAAATCCTCATCGCCCAAGGCTTCGGCCCCAACTTCGCCTTGGCTTTCACTTGTGCCTTCGCCTTGGCCTTGGCCTTGGCCGAAGCCTTAGGCGTGGCCTTGGAGTCCTTCGCGGCCGCGGCCTCAAGTGCCTCCTCGGCCCCAGTGACAGTCGAAAACTTGATCCCTGTGATAGTCAAATGCGATATATAACTTATATAATTAATGCGTTACAATATATTTATATATATTTATATGTATGTCAATTATATGTTAATTATGTGTTACTATCTTCTGAGACAAATAAGCAATTTACAACATAGCGAAAAAGAGATGTTCTGACATCAACATTGATTTTTTTAAAAAAAAAGTGGGTGTATCTGGCAATGGTGACTGTTACTGGGATAGTTACTGGGGAAATCATCCAGCAAATCTCTTGATTTTTCTTGGGCGTTTTTTTGGGCAGAGAAACTGAAACACTGCGGCATATTTTGCCCCATTCAACATGGAAAATGATGCTAAACCATGCTAAACCATGAAATTTTGGGTTTTACCTTAATTTTTGAGACAAACCCAAATTGACTGCTGTATCAGTGACTAGAGAGAAGTGTCCTCACACTGGGTATTTCGATATGCTGAAAAGAGATCTGGCACTGGGGATTCAACTGGAACAGTTTCGAATCACCAAAAAAACCCTCTGGTGATTCAACGTAGCGAACCGGAAAATCCCCATGTTCTATATAGGTAAATCCCCATGTTCAATAGGTAAATCGGTAAATCACGATGCTTATCGAAGTACATAGGCAATGTTGATGGTTTACCTATTAAAAATGACCCATTTATAGATGGTTTACCTATTAAAAATGATGATTTTCCATAGCAAACTGTTCAATCACCAGAGGGTTATACGCAGGTGCACCTCTGGCAAGGCCACGCTCATGCGGCCCTGTTCCAGGTCGAGTTTGTCGATGATGCAGTCCTGTCTGTTAGGAGCTGGAAAACATGGTTTAAGCATCCACAAATGGTGATTTAACATGAAGTCCTATGATTTTAATGGGATATTCCAATGTTCGTCCAATCTCTCCACTCTGTCTCTCTCTCTCTCTCTCTCTCTCTCCTCTCTCTCTCTCTCTATCTCTCTCTCTCTCTCTCTCTCCCTCTCTCTCTCTCTCTCTCTCTCTCTCTCCGTGTTCTACTCAGGGAGACAAGTTCAATGATAAGAAGTGTCAATCCGTATAAAATGACTTGCGTACATATACTTACATGGATATCGGACATTGTGCAGATTGTACATAAACATGTGGGATGGACAACGAAGATCTGGGAAATGATAATTTAAGATTTGTTGAATGCGTCTGAGTGTTCATTCATGTAGGATTAGACAAGACTGGGTTCGCAACGCATCTATGTGTAATACGATTCTATAGGTTTTGGTTCCCTTTCCTAGCCTCTTCAGCACTTCAGCCAGGTGCAGTCGGCCTAAATGAAGCTGTAGAAGTGGCATAAAACCTTGAGATTTCCTTGAGGAGCAGTGATATCAGTGTCAGTTTTGGCATACCTTCCGGTAATCAAACATGGCTGGAAAATGCTCCATATTTTTCCCCTTCGGCGAGTTCCAGCCACGGTCCTGTACCACATCGCCGATTCGGAATTTCCGGCCGATGGCAGCGGGCACATTGAGACGAGCATCACGCACCTCGAAACGCCACGGCCTCTGGTTATGACTAACATAGCCATGGAAGCCATGGCCCATTTATAGATGAGTTTCCCAGCTAGATACCTCCATTTATGGTTGGGATTTTCCATGGTTATGTTAAACAACCAGATGCTACATACCAGTTACTTACGATTCGGGGGATGATCCTCCAAGCACGACAAAGCACGACACCATTAATCTCCTCATTTTGATTTGGAAACTGGATCTGTGTGGGTTCTAAAAAATTGGGTACCTCCAAATCCTATGGTTCATGAAAATTATCATGAAAAATACCATGCCATTGACGACTAAGAGGACGACATGTTGGGGTATGTTCCCATGTCCCATGTCATGTTCATCCAAAAAAACTGCGTTCGGCAAAGACGTCAAGCTACTGCCCCCAAGTCGACAAAGACGCCATAGACGCTGACATTGGTCACCTCGGATGCTCTGGGATGGTCATGATGACAGATTAACCAAGCGGTGACGGCCGCAGTTCTAGTAAAGATCTTGGGTATGGACTAAGTTTATCTAAGTAAACCTAAGTTAATCTAAGTTTATCTAAGTTTATCTAAGTTTATCTAAGTTTATCTAAGTTTATCTAAGTTTATCTAAGTTTATCTAAGTTTATCTAAGGTTATTCAAGTTTATCTAAGTTTATCTGAGTTTATCTGAGTTTATCTGAGTTTATCTGAGTTTATCTGAGTTTATCTGAGTTTATCTGAGTTTATCTGAGTTTATCTAAGTTTATCTAAGTTTATCTAAGTTTATCTAAGTTTCTTAATTACCTTTTTTGACCATATCCCAAGATATCCCAACGATCCAGCGATCTCATGAGCGACGCCCAAGTGGCAGTCCCTTCAAAGACGTCGCCTTCTTGCAACTCTTCCAGCGGTGTTGCACCTGGGACGACAGGATGGGGCCCCCCAGTGATGTTTGTTCGTTTATAAACTCCATGAAGACTATAGTTATCTATAGTTATATCTACCGTAAACCATAGTTAAGTTAGGAAATCTTAGTCTATTTCTAAGAAATTCCAAGAATATAACTCCCGATCACCTTCTTTTCCTGTGGGTTTGTCTGAAAAGTGGGTGTAACATGGTGTAACAAATCTTCCACTAGTGAATCATCATGCCGCCCTTTGAGATTGCTACAAATGGGGTTTATTAGGTCCCACCTTCAAACACACTCATCAATTACATGGATGAAATTATATAAACCGTACCATTAATATCCCAGAATTTACCATTTATAGCCAACACATATAGCCCAATACTGTTGGTTATCTCATTTATATCCCATCAAAACCCATTTATTCTAGATACAACAACGAACAAAAACAAGGTAACGTCGTCCATTGCGGTCCCGCTGTTTTTGTTTGTTTTGAAAACAAGCATCTTGCTATTTCGATAACCCTTATGGCACTTTCTGTCACCATGGATTTTGCGCCATGTTCAAATGCCATGCGTTTTACAGCACTTTGTGTCCGTTTTGTGCTATTTCCAATGGGTTTTACAAGTCCATGTGCAAATCAGCGAAAAAAAAACGCTTGGAAGCCAGCAATATGTTAGGATCGTGTTGCATACATGATAGACCAGACATAGACACATACCTTGCATACTTGGACATGTACACTGATTCTTATGTACATATATGCAAGTATATATATATATATTTATTTATATCCATATATATATATATATGTGTGTAACCTGACACACACAGACATGCACACACACACATATATATATATATCTACATATACATATAAATTCGAGACCATCAGAAATATCTAGACTTACAGGAAAGCACATCTCTGACACTGCAGCCTGAAAGTGTCTTGCAAGGCCTGTTTCTTAACGTAAACATCCCACCCCACCCCACCCCAACCCCTACTGGCAGCGTAACATCATCAGCGTACCATGAACGTTAACATCCCACCCCACCCCACCCCAACCCCTACTGGCAGCGTAACATCATCAGCGTACCATGAACGTTAACATCCACCCCACCCCACCCCAAACACCCCATACTGGCAGCGTAACATCATCAGCGTACAATGAACTTTAACATCCTGTTTGTTGAAAACTAGCAAATTATGGCAGCGTAACATCATCAGCCATGAACGTTAACCTCCCACCCCACCCCACCCACCCCGCTGGCAGCGTAACATCATCAGCGTACCATGAACGTTAACATCCCACCCCGACCCATGTTTGTTAAAAACTAGCAAATTCCCCGGGGCCGTATTGGACGACGTCAGCAAAAAGTAGAAATGGGATCTATGGCCATGTCATGGGATATAATCTTTATGATAAACTCAGAATACATAGCCCAATACATCATTATAGACCATTAATGTCTCATGAATATCCCATTAACAGGCCATTAATCCATTGAATAGCGAAAATTGGATACCATTAAACCAATATAAACAGTTAAGCCATCCCATTTTAATGGAAAAAGTGTGTGTGTGTATATATATATATATACGCCCGCACCGAAGGTGCTGGGGCGTGATCTTCTGGATGGCACTCGTAAAAGGTTACAGGTTTACCTGGGGGGGGGGGCATTTTTCGGCCAAAACCTCCTGTTTTTGATAGGTCGTGACGCTCGCCTTCAAAAAACACTGTAAAAAACAGTACGGAAGACACCTGTTCGTGAACGCGCCCGTACAAAATCGGCAAGCGAAAAGTGAAAAAACCCTATGTTTTTCAACTTTTTGACCTCAATTTTTTGGTTTGCAACATCTTTTTTTGCGGTTCCGCAGGTGGCCGGGCCCGGAGGCGGATTTTTGAGTTTTTGGACCCGTTTTCGGACTGATTTTCGTCGTTTTGTGATAGCAGAAACACTGGTTTTTACAGTGTTTTTCTGTTTTCTGCATGCTTGACGGCTAGCTTCAAAACTTCCAAAAACCTCGTAAATTACGCTGTTTTATGTTACGGTGTGAATGAAAACATCGTAAATACCAGTGTTTTTTGACGTTGGTTAAAAAACACTGTAAATTACAGTGTTTTTGGCCACCTGACCCTCAAAAACCATGGTATTTGCAGTGGTTTCTGCTTCTCACCGCGCAAAAACACTGTAAATAACAGCAATTTCGCCGTTTTTTCATGTTTTTCGTTATTTTTTGAACTGCGTTGGTCCGCTATACATGGCTATCAAATTCTTCGCGTTTTTTTCCGACAATCAGTACTTTCGGATGTTTTTGGTCTCAATGGCCGACATCATTGGCAGTTACGAGCGGCTGCCCAACGATGCGGTGCGGGCGGTTGCCGTCGCGAAGCGACGTGAATACCATAAACAATTTCCGTCCCACTATAATCTCACAAAATATCGAAATATCGAAATAAGAAATCCTTAGAGATTGGAAATTGTGAGATTGTCACATTATCATTCTACCATATGAGTTTCTAATATGTTCAATCCCATAATTCACCATATTCTGATATTAGCATAATAATCCATTAGAAATATTAGATATCCCATTAGATTTTCACATTATCATTCTACCATATGAGTTTCTAATATTTTCAATCCCATAATTGCTAAAGCGGCAGGTGCGGAGCCAGCTGGCCAGATGAGAGATGAAAAATTGCACGCCGTTGTGGCGCGAAGCACATTTCCAAGTCAAAATGTACAAAACACTAGGGGTGCGGACCACTTTTGGCAGTTGAGATGTCGAAAAAGTGAACGTCGTTGTGGCGCGAAGCACATTTCCCCAAGTCAAAATGTACAAAACACACCATTCTCAGACCACTTTTGGAAGTTCAGATGTCGAAAAAGTGCACGCCGTTGTGGCGCGAAGCACATTTCCAAGTCAAATGTGTAAAAAACTGAGGGGTACGGAGCACTTTTTGGACAGATGTCGAAAAAGTGCACCCCGTTGTGGCGAGAAGCACATTTCGAAGTCAAAATGTTAAAAACACCAGGGGTTCGGACCACTTTTGGAGGTTCAGATGTCGCTTCGCTTCGTTTCGCTTCACTACACTACACTACATTACATTACACTACACTCCACTACACTAGACTACAGTACATTACACTACACTGCACTCCACAACACTACAACTACAACTACATAACTACACTCCACTACACTCCACTACACTCCATTACACTCCACTACACTAAATTACACTACACTACACTACATTCCACTACACTACACGACACTACACTACACTACATTACACTGAATGACACTGCACCACAGATAGACAGATAGACAGACTGATAGATAGATAGATAGAAAGATAGACAGATAGACAGATAGACAGATGAAAGAGAGAGAAAGATAGGTAGATAGATAGATAGATAGATAGGTAGATAGATAGATAGATAGAAAGCTACGTAATTAGATGAAAGAGAGAGAGAGAGAGAGATAGATCGATAGATAGATAGATACATAGATAGATAGGTAGGTAGGTGGGTAGATAGTCAGAGAAAGAGAGAGAAAGAGAGGAGACCTCAAGCACCTTTCGATCCATCAGTGGCTTCGCTCTGCCATCCCTGAATCACAACAACCAACCTCTCCCATAGGTTTCCTATTTTTGAAACTTCCGCCACCGCCTTGTGCGGTACTACTGGTATTTCTAATCTGATCATCCCATCACATTATCACTATACCATATGAGTTTCTAATGGAAATACCCTCTGGTAAACAAACATTGCTATTGAAAATTGCCATTTATAGTGAGTTTTCCCATTAAAAATGTTGATTTTCCATAGCTATGTTAAATTACCAGAGGGTATCCCATGATCTCATAATCCCATTCGAACTCCCGTCCGCCTGGATGGTTCCAAGTCCGCCTGGATGGTCGCGCCCGTGGTCTTGGACTCTTGGCCCGGCTCTTGGGGGCTGGGCTTCGGCCGCGGCTTCGAGGCCTGCAGGCAGGCAGTTGGTGACTTGCCTGGGAAAATCATGGGGAAAGGATGGGAAAATGTTGGACAAACTTAGGGGAAATGAAGGAAAATGCTGGGACAATGTTGGGAAAATGTGAGGGAAATTCAAGAAAATGATGGGAACATGTGGAGAAGATGGGTAAATGACGGGAAAATGCTGGGAAAAAGGCGGCAGGATGGCAGCCTGGGCTCCAGATCTTGTAGTTGGGCCTCATCAACCTCCATCACCACCTCAGCTGCCAAAAACACCGATTGATGGGGGAAAAATTAGATGATTTACAGCAATTCAAGTAGCAATTTCATAGGGGAAATGACGGAAACTTACCTCAAGATCAGCTCGTTTTATTTCTGGTATTTTTTGAGAGGCGAAATGAGGGGTTTAAGTTTACCTTAAATTCATTTCATCAAAAAATGGCTTCCACATGATGTGAGCAGTGTGCAAAATCCAAAACGTCACCCCTTCAAAAACTGCTTGGTCAAGAACGGGATTCCCAGCTCATAGATTTTGAGAATTCCGGATATTATAAAGGGTAGTATAATATATATATATATATTTATACATACGTATGTATGTATATATATATATAATTATATATAATGTATAGTACATCATTTAATCCCCAAACTAATCATCAAACAACAGGAGTGGCTTGCCACTGCTCATATGAGATTGCCTTTGCCAAGATTCTTTGCCAGCATCTGGGTCGAGGGACCTCGGTCAAAAAATTCGAAGGTCCCATCTGAATCAAATTCGTTGTTCGTTGAAAATCTGCAGAAAATCGACGATTTTCCATCTTCCAAGATTTTGGAGACACCTGAAATTTTCCACCGATCTTTTCAAAGGGCGGCGCGTGATGGTCAAGTCTTCAATCTGCATCCCCTTCTTCAAACGGCGCCCCAGCCTCAGTTGAACACAGGATGTAGCCGATGTAGGTCCCTCTGGGTCCCGATGGCTGGAAAATCCCAAGAAAAGTTCCTTTGAAAAAAATTGAAAGACACGGATCATCATCAAACTGCAGTAAATGGATGATGTTCCATGATGTTGCAGGTTGAAGTACTTGATGCTACTGTATTCTTCCAACATCCAAAAACTAGATTGGTTGTCCGGTTGTCCTACCAGAAATGGAGCGCCTTTTGCTCCTTGGAATGTCCCCATCTTTCGAATCTGGGGAAAAAACCGATCGCTCTGAAAGACCCTTCAGTTGATTTTCTAAAAAGAACTGCAATGACAAACGCCACAATATTATTGTAAACATATGTACACGATGTAATTACAGAAGTTACATACAACGTGATAACATGTGGAAAGAAAAAACAAGTACAGAAGCACACGAGTCAGTACCTTCAACGGTCAACATTATGGACCAACAGGACCGCGGAAAAATTTGGTGTATGTGGTACAATATAAACCCATAGCCAACATAAACAATGTGAGTACCATTCTTTTTGTATAGGGGTTACCGGTTACCGGGTTACCCAATCACTTGACCCAGAAACCCGCATTGGTCTGAAAATTCGCTACCCCATAATCTACTGATGAATCATCCCAAAACCCCATTTCTTGGCTTTTTGTTGGGGAGGTGAATTGAATCCATTTTGGATCAAATGGCCCATGTTCAGAGACATTCATAAATGGGCCATTTATAATGGGAATATAGTTGTTGGTTGTATATCCCATTATATATATATATATATAATATATATATATGTGTTTTTTAGTCCTATTACAGATATCATCATCAACTAAGCACTGTCACTGTGGTGTCACTATAGTCATCATCATATCACAATGTTGTGTCTTATAATTAATGGTTATACCGTTATACCATAGTATTTTCATTATTACTATTATATAACCATCATTTTTTCATCATGAAATATACATGGAGGTTTCCGAACATGGAGGTACCCCCAACAATCATCCAAAAAATTTAGGCCATTTTCAGATCTTGAAATAACCATGGTGACTATGGTGAGGATTATCCCTCCATTTTAAGAAACCCCCACATCCCATTGACACCACGTCATATCCAGACGTTTTTTCACCACGGCGACTTGGATGAAACTTTCAGCAGTCCATCTTTCACGGCGCCGAAGTTCACGAAGACGCCGAATCTCGGCGAACGGAACAAGTTGCAAGGAGGGCCAGTGATTTTTTGGAGGTTTCCCGGTGATGTCATGGTAATGTCATGGTTATACTTAATAAGCTAAGATATAATAAGATATAATAAGTGTTCATGATTGAATATGATTCTATGATTGAATGAGATATTGATATATGGAGGTTTCCAAAATTTCATGACGGGGTACCCCAGTCATCATCCAAGTCATTGGACTATGACTTAGTATTGAAATAACCATGGTGACGACTGGGGATCCCCCATTTTAGGAAACCCCCATATTTATTTTTCATTTGTATGATGTCTAAAAACGAGATTGGATTATCTCAAATTGCATGGACAGCCTCCATTCAATGGAGATAAACTGATAAACTGTCCACCCATGGCTACGAAGCAGTTGCTAGACAGGATGGTGACACATGTTGTGGATTCATTTTTTGTGCCAAGTCTGAGGCAATACCCAAGCTTGAATCAGGGCCTTTTCACCAAGCTGAAAGGTTGGGTCATTTTGAGATAGTTACCCGAGTTACCCCAATCCAATTCCGCGGTCGCAACCTCAGGCTGTGATGAAATGTGTTTCGGAAGTTTGCAGTGTAACATGGGATCCAATTCGTGAACATCTGGGCGTGTCTGAAAATAGGCTACCCCGCTTTTCATGTGGGGCATTTTCAGGTACCAAAGCCAAAAAAAACATAGTTTGATATATGTTGATTGTATCGTCCATTGCATTCTCACGCCATGGCCATGTTGGTAAAAATTGGTAACATGGCAATTTCTTATGATGGCATGGCGATTAACCCCATGTTACATACCATCATCCAATCCTATGGCCATGGGTCAAAACACGGCAACCAAGGGCAACCAAGGGGCCATCTTCCGGGCCATCTAGCCATATGGAATTAGAAGGTCCATCTTATCTCCATATCTCCATTTACTTAAACAGCCATGTTTATATACGTATATATATATAGCATATATATATATATATCATATATCATATGTATATATATATTGTGAACAAATAGATCCTTGTTCTGGATATCTTATTCTCGGAGTCCCTGATGTGCTGAAAGTCGGGCTTATCCCACCATGAGGCGGCAGCACGCGCAACTTGTTTTACTTGAGCCATAAGGCGTCCGATGCACATGTCATATGTATGCTACACATGCAGTGCTATTGTTGAGTTCCCTTTGACACCCCCCATGCCCGTGGTGTCTTCGGACCACGGACACGAGAGAGGGAACTTTGAATTAAAAGGGCTTCTGCTGCTCGAATTACGCCTATTTACATAAAATCTGCCATTCGGCTCCCCCTTTCCCACATACCCGACGGGAATAGTGGTTCCGGGTTCGCCTACTCTATGGCTGTCGATGCAATGGCGCGTCTTCAAGCTGTACATCGCGAATTATTGCTAGCTAACATCTACTTTTCTGCGTCGGCTAAGCAGGTCACTCACCCGACGGGAGAAATGGACCGCTTCGCCACCAAAGATTTACAATGCTAACTAACGAATTCACGTGCACTGTGCAGAATTTCGTGCAGATTGGGAATATTGATTGGTACGAACACAAACGAATTAGCCTAATGCCTCGCTCAGAGTCCGCTCAGTTGGTCTTTTCCTGATCATCTGTTCACAAAGACGATACCCATCTTATAGTCCAGTGATCATTTAGATGGACATAGGTGGTCGTCTTACTCCTCGCGGCGGACTTTCTTCCATTGGGGTGTATTCTGAGATTTCTCCCAACCTGCCGCGCGTTTCGGAGCAGCTTTCGGCGATGGAGGTTTCGCAGGTGGTGCTTTGGCTGGTTCATAGGACTTCGGCATAGCCTTAGCTTTTGGTGCACTGGCCGATGAGGATGACGCTGAACCAGTACCTTCAGGTTTCTGTGAAGGCTGTGTTGACGATCTGGCTTTTGCGTCTGCAGTGGCATGCTTGGCGGCGACGCTACCCCCGACTGCTTTGAATACCTCACTCACCACTTCGTCGCCCAGGGTTGGAGCCATCTTCATTTTCATCTCGGACTTTCCCCTCTGCGCCTCGGCTTCAGCGAGTTGAATGGCGTAGGCCATCTTGCTGATGAAGTTGCGAGGCAATGGAATACCGCATTGTTGGGCAGCAAAGAGTAGTTCCACCCTTTGTTCCTTTTCTCTCAGACTCAGATATACCGAGAAAGCTGGAAGTTCAATGCAGTTGGGGAAGCCGTGGCTCCCGGAACGGAAGAAGGTGTATGATTCATATTCGGGAAAAGTTCCCTTCAGCAATCGTCGGAGAAAGTTGCTGATGGTCACCCTCATTCCTTGTTTCTCCTTTGCATCACCCTGCATTTTATTCATTGGCATGAGGAAACCTAAGGACTCGGGAGTGTACCCAGCACATACGAGAAACTCCATCATCTTCTCATAAACCTCTAGAGTTTTGACGACAGGCATCATCATGTTTCTCGGCCGTCCAGAGTACATCTTCTCTCCCTCTGACCATGAGTTCTTCTTCCCTTTCTCCTGAAAGAGTTCGTCCAATTCCAGCTCCGTTGGTCGCTTGAGATTGCCATCCTGATCTTCGCCTGTATAAGGGCAGAAGTCGTCCAGGTCCAGTCGGACTCGCTTGGTCTCCGTCATCAGCGCATAGTATGCCTCTGGGGTCAGAGTGACTCTCTGATTGTAGTAGAGTCTGAACATTGCGATGATCTTTGACATCACGGCATTGTCGTACAAGTGAGCCGCGGCCTCGGAGACATCATTGTTGACAAGCCCGTCTCCTGGCAAACCCTTGCTTCCACACGCAAGATTCTTGGTCCATGCTGGTAGTTTGGTTGAAGGTTCATTCTCAGGTTCGACGTCCATTTCATCGTCGTCTTCATCTTCAACGATCTCGTCGTCTTCCTGCTGAGTTTCCTCCTCCTGATCCATTTCCTCATCATCGCCTTCGTTGTAGTCGACCTCGTCAGGGTTGAAGCCATAGTCGTTGGATTCAGATACGTTTTCTTGTGCTTGATGAACCGTATCCTTGAACAACGATTCTTCTTGTCGACGAACCTCCTCATCGAGCTCTTTCTTTGTGGCTTCATCTTCATCGTCTTCAGGAGCTTGTAGTCTATATGGTCGAATTCCACAGCTCTCAAGCTCTGTCCAGCAAACTAGACACACAGCCAACTTCGTCGGCGTCTCATTGAGGCAATGAGGGCAATGACGGCAACCTGAAGTTTGTACCCTCTTGCGTTCGACGATGTAGTCGATCAGCTTGATGCGGGCGAGGTATTGTTCTTGTCCGCCAGGCTCAATGAGGTTGTTCTTGAACTGGTTGACGATGTTCATCGCATCCATGGTGATCTCGTCATACGGTTGCTCTTCGGCGTCAATGCATTGACTTGCGACCCTCAGAATGGATTCCTTGGTGGCAACAGTTCTTGACTTGACAGTTCCTGACCGGACTACCTGGTCGTCGCCCGACGGGACGAACAACCGGAGCCATGTCTTGTTGTTCTGATCTTTCGGATCTTGAATCCATCCTCCTTTGATCGCAGAGAACGGGATGATCTTTGGGGAAACGATCTGTCCCGAATCGGTCAATCGACCACCGTATTCCACCATCACGGTCTCGGTCGGGATGAAGAGGCAGATGTAGTCCCCTTTTCGCGTATCAACGCTCTTCGTAATGGTCCAGGACCTATGATCCCATGGCACATATGGGTTGAAGAACGTGAACATACGATGACCTTCTCCAAGACCTCCCGGAATTAGCCCCTGCCTCCAAATGCTTCGGAGGTTGGTCTTCTTCGTGATGTGGAAGCAGACCGGCAGTGACATGATGGCGTTGGGTGCGATCGGATGCGAGAGCAATGATGACAGCAACAAGACGTCATCTCTGGAAGATCCTTCCTTGTGCCCCGTTGGGGCGCGGACTGCAACTGGATAGAGCAGTAGTCCCTCGTCGGGGATGTGCGTGTCCGCAGTGACCTTGTTGTCAATGCATGTCAGGCTGCTGCGATCAATGTCCTTGTTGATCCCGAACGCTAAGACTTGTTCACGCACACGACGTCCATATCGGGCACAGTGGAACATGATCTTGAACAGCAATGTCATGCGATAGTTCGCCTCCTTGACATTCCATGCACTTTGATCACTTGCTCTTCCTTTGGGGGCGAGGAAGACGTGCGGCCAGCGTTGGTACTCATGTCTCCAGATGGACTCACATTTGAGTACTTCCTCTATGGGCACCCAGCCGGCGTCGTCACAAAACAGACTCTGTGATTCTGATGCCTTCCCCACATGGTGTCGAAGGATCTTGTTCAGTGAGGTGCTCACCTTGTCCTCGTAGCTGTCAAGTCGATTGCCAGTTTCGAAGCGATAGTTTGCCGCATATTCCACACCACCAAAGTAGAAGCAGTTGAAGAAATGGGCTCCTGTGGTAGGGATGATTTTCAAGAAACCATCTTGCGGCGCTTCGATTCGTTTGTAGAAGGGTTTTCTGATTGTTGTCGGAGTAATTTGAGAGGAACTCTTGTACTGACCAGGAGTCGCCCCCTCCTCTGACGATAGCATCCCGGACCACTTCGTTGAGATCAACGACATTCTGGGGTCCCAGCTTTGTGACATCACGCCCTTCGATGCAAAACCTACCATACTCATCGAGGTCTCCAACTTCGGACATAGTCCTGATGCTGTCGTACCACTGGTACTCACTAAACCTCGGTTTTGTAGGCTCATCCGCTTGCCCTGACCCTTCAGTAGCACCTGATCCGTCCTTCTTGTGCTCGGGCGGTTCCATCTCGACGTCATCAGATGTGGGACTGTCAGCCTCGAGCGACGCTCGGACGGCCTTTAGTACCTTTCTGACTTCATCCTTCTTCTCATGATCACATTCAAGGTGGCCATGTTTGGTGCTACCACAGTACAAACACACATTTACATCTTCAGAGACAGTGAAGAGTTTTCCCAACGCATCCAAGAGTTGTTGTTTTCCGGAAATCTCTGAGTCCCTGACCACATCAGTGG